GGGGTATAGATATTAATGCAAAGGGTTATCGATGCAGTCTGATGAATATTAAGGAAATCTGATTCTACGAATATTACTATAACTTTAAGGCTCCAATAAATTAGGACGTGTTGACAGTAGCAAGAAAATTAGCGAATATTTTTACAAGGTTAGAAATATTGGTTTGTAATATTCGATGACAATCATTTTTAACTTTTAATAATACGTGTAGACTGCATTATTATTAGCGCTTGCTTACTTTGTAAAATGGTCTGGTTTGCAGGCATCAGCCAGTGCTCATCATGGAAACTCTCAAAGCATTCCGGGTCATTCTCCTGAAAATTCTTCGGTAGTTTACTATAAATTCATTATCGGTCATTGTATTGTAGTGACGCTATATTGGACAAGATATCTATATTGAGGGTTATAATATTTAAAAATATATAGGAATCGAATGTTAAGAACAATAATGAAAAATTATCACGGTTTAATTATGCGTTGGAAAAGCAAGGGAAAACTAAAACTGAACCGATTGATATCGAAGATAATGATAATTGTTCCGATTTATCCGTAGTACATGTACATCAGGCAGTACAAGTAAGCGATTATTAATTTTATGTTTTATTTAAGAAAAGTATTTTTTACTAAGGTTTAAAAATATGTATTTGTTACTAGACTGATACGTCCAACGAAGAATCTACGGTATTTCACGAGCAATATTGTGCTTATATTATTACACATACTGTTAATTATGCCATTACTCATCGATGTGCGTGAATGGTTGCAGAATTTAACGTATATGCTTTCTTTTGGACTCAGAATGCTGTGGAAAAGTCTGAAAATGAGATTTCACATAGTACCAAAAATAGAGAGATAGAAAGATTACAGAGTGTACGATATGAGAATCGAACTTATCATATTAAGCAATCCGTTTTGATGTCATATTAAATGATTCTGGGATTTTATCTTCATTAGACTATAGACGATTTAAATAGAGAAGCAGAGGATCGGATACAAAAAATTACCGAACATTCCAAATTTTCTGAAATGGTTAAAAAATATTTACTATGGCGCTTTTATCGAATAATTGATTCGATAGTGATGGTTATTTTGTAAATGTTAAACGTATCTTTGTTCTTTTTTAACAGTGTAAAAATTTAATTAAGGAGCTAATTGTTGAAAAGGTAAACCTAATATTTTAATACTAATACGCGTATTTGTGGCCGGCGATAGTACAAATATTTCGAATTACATTTTAACAACGCTTTCTTATTTGCTGGTTACACAATGTACTATATACGTATTTACGTACAGGCTCAAAGTGAAAAAACTGCTGCACGCAAATTATTACAAGAGAATAATTTACGTCTAGGACATTTTACAACTTCAAGGTTGAATCGTTAATTACATGGTTTGCTTTAAAAATATCAAATAATAAATCCTATGAATTTCTCAACAGACATGGAGCAAATTTTGTAGAAACCTGGGTTGATGGCATGGCGTTTAGTGAATTAAATAGGTTACATAATAAGTGCCCAATTTTTTATTCACCATTTTAGTCATAAATTTAATAAAGCTAAATCATAATAACATTTGATTTTTATAGAGAAAAGGAAGAAATTAATCGTCTTAAGGAGGAATTTGAAAAGCATAAGAAACAATTACTTAAAAGAAAGCCTCAAGTATCTACTGGTATGTATTTTGATGTTATAGATTATCAGCAGAATTACTATGTGTTCTTTTAATATTTATCGAATTTGATTATATAGCTAAAACGAAAGGAGGGAAAACATCAAATAGTAGCGAACATGATCAGTTTGTAAAACCTGCTAGTAACAGGTATCGTGCTGTAATTGAATAATATTTTTAAGTAATGATGGCATTATAGCCTAATGATCTTTTATTAGTTTGACTACTGATGAATTCTATGAAATGGAAGAAATATTGAAATTAAGAGCAGCTGCTATAAGGAAGGTAATCGATTACGGCCATAGATGATATTTAACGCAATGAGTCGTCTACGAATGCCGCTAGACTTTGGACGAATATTTTTTACCTACATATCCATGATTCAGTTTTCATTTCTTATTGACTTTATCCTTTCAATAGAGAGAAGCAGATGTTTTAGCTGAGTTGGAGAAATTGGAACGTGAACGTACTCTACATATACGGGAATTGAAACGTATTCATAATGAAGACCAATCTCGGTATGTTGGAGTATATTTTCCTGTAGATAATAGATATTTTTTATGAGCTAGCCTATTTATTACACCTTCGCAACTAAGTTACTATCTTGGATATGCAGCTTTAAAGACTATCCAATTCTAAGTGAAAGATACCTACTTTTGCATCTAATTGGAAAGGGAGGATTCAGTGAAGTTCATAAGGTTTCATAATTTGTTTTCCTTTTTTGCAATTATCACGTTGTAGTCATTAATATATGTTATAATATTAATAGGCAATGGATTTACGAGAGCTACGTCATGTTGCTTGTAAGATTCATCAATTAAACCGAGATTGGAAGGAAGATAAGAAGGCTAACTATATCAAGTATGTTTGATATTTGAACCTCAAGGAATTTAAATTTGTAGTAACGTAAAATTTTATTAATTAAAAATTTGTAATACAGGCATGCTCTTCGAGAATACAATATCCACAAAAAGCTAGATCATATTGTAAGTACAATGCTGAAATTTGAGTCCGCAATGCTTTACATTGCAATATTTTTGCCTGATTACGGTTACTTCTATTATTTTTAGCGTATAATAAAGTTATACGATGTTTTCGAAATCGATGAAAATTCGTAAGTTTCAGCAGAATAACGTCAAATATGCAAATATTTAATTCAATGATTTGTTGCTGATAAGTTTTTCTTGTGAACTTTTCACACTTACCTGTTAATGTATCTACGATGTAACTAGGTTTTGTACAGTTTTGGAATATAATAACGGTACGGATTTGGATATTCATCTAAAGCAGAGTAAATACCTTCCCGAAAGAGAGGTAACGTATCGATGTCTATCAGACTTGATATCTGATGATGTCATTTGTATAATCTTAATTAATGCTTATTTTAACTTAAATGAATTATGAAGGCAAGGTCCATTGTCATACAAGTGAGTTTTTATTGCTGTTTTGTTGAAATATAGTGTATTTTGTTGTCACTCTAATTATAAAACATGCACTTTTTAAGGTTGTTAGTGCACTACGGTATTTAAATGAAATTAAGCCGCCAATAATACATTATGATCTTAAACCAGGTAAGATGGAACAGTTTTATACGTTATTGACTGTTGTAAATAATTTCTGTGCTTGCTTGCTTGAAGGTAAATTAAATTTTAATCTTGATTTTGTGAAATAGGCAATATTCTCCTGGGCTCGGGGGTTTATAGTGGTGAAGTAAAAATTACAGACTTCGGTCTTAGTAAGATTATGGAAGACAGCGATGACTCAAATTCTGATGGTTTAGAACTTACTTCTCAGGGGGCAGGCACTTATTGGTATTTTCAAATTAGTTATAAAGATTTTATACTAGCATCTTTTCAATGTAAGATTATTAACTCCGCACATACACTCACTGTCCTTACGATTTATCTTAGGTACCTACCACCAGAGTGCTTCATGATTGGTAGAGCACCCCCTAAAATATCATCAAAAGTCGATGTTTGGTCTGTAGGTGTACTTTTATATCAATGCTTATACGGTAGAAAGGTAATACCGATAGTTTGCTATTACATAACGACATGCGGGCGGTTGCTAGGACCGTATTTGTTACTTTATGATGCAACTGTGATTTAATTTTTTAAAACAGCCTTTTGGACATGACATGTCACAATCGGCAATTCTCGAACAAAAAACTATCCTCAAAGCGGTAACTGTAGATTTTCCCAGTAAACCTGCAGTTAGTTCTGAGGCAAAGGTAGACCGCTTAAAATTTTATTCTTTATAGATAAACTTAATTAGATGCGAATTTATTTGATATTATTTGGGTTATTTTACAGAATTTTGTACGGCGGTGTTTACAATACCGTAAAGAAGATAGGCCGGACGTTTTAAGCTTATGCGACGATCCGTATTTAAGACCAAAGAAACTGGTTAATCAAAGTTCCAGTAATGTTTCCTCTATTTCAAGCAATTCCTTACCGTAATTCTTATTACCGATCATAACGCAGTCGTTTGTGCATCCTTTTTTATTATCGTAAGAATGTGCTTTATATGCTGCGTGTAATGTATGTACATGTCTCTAAGCTACACTGTTTTATTTAGTAATATTAACCCATTGTTTATTTATACCAAGTAACAAAATTTATTACAATTTTATTGAAATCTATAGTGTATAATAGCAGTGAGATGATCATAACTGTAACCGAATGCATTGGTATGATTATGATTGAAAGTGTACAACTGTACATAGAACATTGATCCATAACATCACATCACAAATAGAATAAGCAAATAAAATAGATGATGCCAACTTGAACTAATTGTTTTGCATGGCTTGAAATACCTCCTTACAACAAATAGTTTATTACAAATAATCATACTATGTGATCATAAAAAATACTCTACAGATTCTAATTACTGCATCAACATGAGACTGCCACTAGACAACGACCTATATGCGTACGCGTATAGAGTACTTACATTCTGCCAATTAGACAACAGCCTCCAACATCAGCTAGTTGTAGTTACAAAACGTTTTCCTTCATTAGACAAAATGAGCTGGACAATTCATGAAACGTTACACAGCCCTAGAATTTCTCGTAATCTGACCTCCAGCAGAGGATGCTGTTATAGAAATATACTATTCCGTCCTGTAGTAAAGTTCATTGTAATATATGAATTAGTTTAGCCGTTTACAGATATCATATAATGTACTATAGATTCGGTTACACCAATCTAAATTATTCTATTGTGCTATAGTAATAATGCAAGAAGATAAATTCTAGTCTGTTACATTCCGTATGGGAATTTGCATAATACGTACCTTAATAAGACCGGGTAAACTGCTCCAGAAAGAACGATTAGGGATGATATCAAGGCCTTCTTTATGTCCTACAAATTTCAGAAACATCATTCCACCGAGGAAGTATACTATTACAACGACGAAGAATCTGTACAAAAAAATTACCCATTTATTAGAAATTTATTATTATAAGTCAGATTGTTAATTGAGTTGCAACACAGATTGCAAAGAGCGATATTGCTTATTCCAGGTAATAATGGGTAATAGCTCCATAAAAGAAGTAGAGGCTAGTTGAGACAAAAAAGATAGTGGGATTGAGCCTTACATGATCACGAGAACGCTACCAGTGCTTAATCCCCCAAGGCCAGGAGGTACACATGCGCCAGGACAAGCGCATCGGTGAGTGAGATAAAAATACTGTTGACGAAAACAACCTCAAGATGAGATAATTTAGAAATTCATAAAGTAGAATTGATTTATGCAGGATAATGACAATTTTCTTTTCACAAATTTCATACCATTAATTACCGGAGATTCCTAAATGATACTTACATAATGTTCTTTGTGATCTTGAAATTCTCCAACCGTTAGGATAGAAGCTATATTGACGCTTTCATCGCAAAGTAGCGTTACGATAGCAGTTCTGTATAGATTGATATGACAATTAATTAATAATGAAGTGACAAGGTCCAAAGTAAATTTATTTGGTGAAACTGGATGAGTCGACTTAACTTAACGAAATTGTCATTATATCATCTAGTTTTTCAATAAGAACACTACTTTAAGCTGTGTGAAAAATGATGCTACATTATTTTACCTTCCTCCAGCGGTGTAAGTTAAAGTAACATTACCATCAGGCGTTGTACCGTATTCGGTGGAATTTTGGTACCCGACTGGGTAGTAAAGTGTACTAGAGGCCATTTGGCAAACCTGTTAAGGAGATGGCGTACGATATAGTCAAGATAGTATAGCGTAGCGTATTAAAATAGCACATTTAACGAGCAAACTAGTTTACTTAAAGCATAAATTTAAAATTTTGCCATCGAATTCAAAAACTTTTGAGTGTTCATATGTAAGCGTATTAACCGCTACTCGGTGAAGTTAATCATGGTTTTATTTCGAATAGCTATCGTACTAAACGACATACTTTTTAGAATGATTCTAGTTAAAGTTCGAGGCAGCGTAAGGAGAGCATAGTTTCCTATTGAATTCTACATATACAGTACAACATACACTTGCGAATGATGATTTGGAACGTAATCTACTGTAGGGTGCTCTGATGTATAAGCTGCCTAGTTATGACTGTATGCACGCGTAAATACAGTACAGAAATGATTATATAGTCTGAAAGAATTTACCGCTGCTTTATGGCAATTCTTTTCAGTAAATGGTAGGCAGGGATTGTAGGAATATTTCGTCTTGTCTCGCGAGGTATCATTAGTTCCTCGATCGGGAAAGCTGTCAGTTATTAGGCATAGAAAAATCATTCTTAAAATTAGAACAAATTGGAAATATTGAAAGTATTTGCGTTAATAGAGCGTATACATTACTGCTAGTCGATCTTCAGATCGATTTACTAGTTTCTGTAAATGAATCCATGTTCTATACTGTTGTTCCTAGTAATATTCGAGCAATGGTTTGTCTACTGCAATTATCATCGTTAATCTACATAAAGCCTTTGGTCGATTACTGCTTATATGCAGTTACGATTATTCGATCAGAGGAAGGTTGTTTAGGTGGGGAAATGTAACTGTTTGGCTGTGTCGCATTTCCCTGATTGGCTAAAATATTTGAAAAGATACTTTTTAATTGAGATACTTTCTGATTAGAGCGGTTGATCGGCCAGTCCTCTGGTCGATTACATGACTACCAGGTAAAGTTATTAAGTTTTAGCCATTTTGACAGTAATGATGTACAGGCATGCAGCACCATCTAGTGCCGTAGAAGACATTAAAGTGAGGTCTATCGTAGTCTACGGCACTTTCCCGCACAGGTAAACGGCACCTTATAGTAGCGCTATTTAATTTTGCGACAGCTTTGATTCAATTAGATTATATATTATGTCGCATAAAGCTCATAATAAATTAACATTATAAAAGCTTTGTTCTTCTAATTAATACAATACAGTAAGAGTGAAATAGATAGCTAGTAATTGCCGAATATACTACTGATCGTCATCTTTCACTGGAAGTAATTGCAATCAGAGTGATTTAGAACTCTATCTTTGATCACCTATAACATTATCAGTTTGGCATCATGCGTAGGTATACTGTACAGTGCTGTACTACAGATTTATAAACATGGCAATAGACTACAAGATAAGCTCTAAATTCGATTTGTAACTACTACCGATGGATTACTGAGCGCAGTCTTTAAATCGGAACTTTGCCATTGCCGTAGAGTAAAACAAATTGTTTAGACCTACGATTTTTTTGCGGACGATTACTTCAGTAAACATCAATAGTGAGAGCACTAGGGATTTATAAACTTGGTAATGTATTTCTACAGTACTGTATATCAAGTGTGGCTGTCATTTTCGTTGATATGAGAAACGATAGTAAGAAGAATCATTTTTTTTTAAGCATGAACTACCTACACAATGAAGAGATGAGACAGAAAGATAAATGCAATTACTAGAAATTTCAAGTAGTAATAAATAATAATTGATAATAATATCCCTTAAGGAATAAGGAATGATCAATTCCGTCGCTCAGCATTAGACGCGTGATTGTCGATGGATAGCCTTGCTATCTTTTGTTTTTCCAATATTGATGAGAGCGTTGTCCTGTATAGCATTAGCATTTGATGACAGAAACTAGCAGTGGCAACGTATAGGAACTAGATATTACATTGAAAAGCACTTGACAGCTTTAAAAATGATCCCAAATCGACATAAACGATGAAATTACAAGACTTACGATGGTTTTCCAGTCTTCGCTATCTCGTATAAGCTGATGATTCCTACAGGTTTGTTGTCTTTCATGTATTGACAAGTACAATGTTCATAAATGCCGTTGTAATTCTCGATTTTTTGGCAAGAGTACGTCTCTCCATTAATGTAAATTAGAAAATGGCTAAGAAATAGCACTAAAATCCAGGTAATCTTGACCATTTTGCTTAATAGTAGGTCTTGATTCACCGACTTCCAACTACTTCTCGGCAAACCTGGCTGGAATATTGAGTACCAGGTTGGACAATAAGTTTGAACCACGGCAGCTAGGGCTGATACAGTTGTTGGCGTCTAGCATTCGTTCATACCGTACACTAGTTTATTGACTGGTCATTCAGGCACATTACTATAAGCAAGGCTATCTCCTCCTTGCCCATACGAACGTATATTCCACAAGGTAGTGTATTAAACTCTCTACTGTACGACCAAACCAAAACAACCCAAAGGCATTACGTCATGCCAAAACAAAACGGTGCTGAAACGGTACTGAAACGGTACCAACTAGTGACTGCCAGGAACACCTGGGTTAGTATCAGCTAAGTACGGTATAGGATGGACTTCAATCAGTATGACATCATGGATAAAAAAATCAGCGATCAGTCGATACTGGAGCTCGATGGAAAGGGATAGCGATAGAATGAAAGGAATGGACGAAAATCATGGCAGTATTCCAAGGAAATTCATCGCTTTCACTTTCATTCATGAAGAACTACTTTACTGGGATATCTAGAATAGAGAGAGAGCTAATTTTGTTCCCTTCTATTAGAAGTGTACAATGAAAACTAGGACGTCTTGATATTGACTCTCGGTATTCAGCAATCTATTATTTCAAATTAGTTAGTAAATGGACTCCCATATAGAAATGAATTAGTAGATGTTAGTCAATACGTGCTAGTTTTGAATACTATCTCTCAAGCTTTTCAATTCCCAATGATGTTGTGATTGTCGCTAGAGACATTGGTTTATAATTGAATATAATAGTTCGTCATTGGTCATTTTACTTAGCATTTGCAAGCTTATGTTGATAACAGTTGCATGCATAAAAATAATATACGTGCATTAAGGTGTCTATTTTAGTTTTCAAATGCTAATTATACGCGTATATAGGAAATTCTTGAATAATGCATAGTTATAGAGTAGTGGTTGCCTTATCAAAATGATCACAGCACCATGATAGTACAATGTTTCATGGGTTATAAACTCGCTTATTGAATCAGTCTATAAATCTATCATTATAGACAGTTTGGGGAAATTTACAATAATCATAAAGAATGAATTCATAGCCAGAGACATCCACCGTTTCTTATTCATCTACTTGGTCGTAGATTTGGGCCAATATAGAGAGCGATAAATATTGGAGGGGTTAAGAAGAGATTTTTTCCTAGGACTTGGGGCAAAAGTGAAGTGATTGGTCGATCAGCTACCATAGTTATACCCTAGTTATACATTATAATATAATAGGGGAAGGTTGATAAAATATTTGCATTAAAAAATTGATACCAATGCTGGGCTCTTAGTCCAGAACAATCAACTAATAGAGAAATATCCAAAGTATTTGGTGAATAGATATAAACAGTACAGTCTAAAGAGAAAAAAATCGACGGATTTAGTAAGTAGCGGCGTACTCTTCGATACTGGGATATACAGTAGAGCGTAGGGCAAATTGGTACTCCTAGACCGCTTAATTCGGTCATATTTATAGGTAAAACGAGAAATTTCTTCCGTAAATATTTTACAAACTTCGATGAAGCATTTTATAAACTGCAATTGTATTAAATTAATGCCTTAGCACAATAAAATTAACACCTAGTAATATAGACTGCTGTGAGGTATAAAGACTGTTACGTTCTATGGGGGTACAATAAAAGTCTGTAAGCAAATGACTGGTAATATACAGTAGAATCACTTTTATTAAATTTAAGACGGTACTGTACAGTTCTAATGATGAAACTGTACCTAATATGTTATTGGTACTGTACCGATACACCACAAAGGTAAAGGAGCAACGATGACTTCCAACGCGATTTGACTTATCGTACTACAAAAAATTGAATTTATCATTACTTTCAGCAATCATATGTATGAATCCCACAAATTGCCGGTAACTTTGTCACTGCGAATTTTATAGTCGATTCTATTTAAATAAACAGTTTAGAACGAATTGGTATAAATGTTATACACTACTTCGACGTTTCAACTGTGTAGGCGTATTTCCATCGTCACAGATAGGTCAATTTCTGTAATTAGTAAAATAAAAGCACCAACAATGACGCGCACATTAGCTCATAGAATTAGGACTCTAAGGATGAAAGTTAGCGTTCGTCTACAAACTACTGTATAAAGAAGTATAGAAATGACTCTCACCAAGACTTTACATACTAAAATATTTTATTTTTACTTTCAGCAACAATATTGTGTGCATTACAGTTGTTTACTAGTGATACAGTATCATGATCTATCTTCCAGAATCAGCATTTACAGAACTGCAACACGTCAGTAGCATCTACATATGTAGCAAAATCACTAACTCGTGAATGTTTACAATTTACAAAATTCAACCGATGTGGATTTGCTTCGTAATATGTGTTAGTGATATGAAACAAGGACACAAATTAGAATTGAAACGAATAGGGGTTTATCGATTATCTGTTAATATCGACTACTTTAGATTTTATCATACGATGAATCGGATCCACCTCCACTGCATCGAGAAAAGGTAAATGCAAACCCTTCCTGCAAATAAAAAATATGAGAAAACGAATTTTGAGATAATTCTATAGCAGATTAATAATACTAATTGCAAGTGTAAGATAAGAAGTACTGTACTTTAATAAGTGATGGCAAACTAGACCAGAATGATACATTTGGAATCGCTTCAAAGCCTTCAGCATTGCGGACATATTTCATAAATATTATGCCACCAATAAAATAGACGGACAGTAATACAAAGAATCTAAAATGTAAATTATGAAGACAGAATCAGTACTTAGCTTACAAGCACTTAACTATTAATGCAAATCAGAAGGGGCTATTAGCCAACTTTGTTACGGCCTTTGTAGCTACTGCCTTTACTTGCAGTAACTTTAGATCCTTGATATCATTGATGTATTACAACATAAGATTACAAATATAGGAATAAATTTATAAATAATTTCAATGCGTACATGATTAATAGTACACTTCCACCGCTTAGACCTCCAGGCCCAGAAGGACAACCGTTTGGACAGGCACATATAGTCGAAAGTTCAGCAAACTATAAAAATAAGTATTGCATATTTGAGTAGCAATTAACCAAATATGACCTGATTTTACTTATTTATGGCTGTTTTGAGTATGCGATATGTAATTGAGTTTCAAGAGTCATACCGCTTAATTAATTTCTATTTCATGATCCTAGATATTATACTAGGTGAAATAGAATAGTCACTAGTGATACCAATTTAAGTAAATCCTTACATAATTAGCACCATTGTTTGCTAAGGCTTCGAATACTGGCTTAGTTGCAGTTTTATTACATACCAAGGTTAAAGTGAACGTCCTGAAAAGAAAGGTAACAATTAAAAATAAAATTTCCTAGTTGTAAATACGAGAAACTACAGTGTTTCATACTTATAACTCTAAATATGCTTACAAATTTTACATAACGACAAAGACAACAAACTGTTTCATACTAACGTTCCTATAACTCAACGACTGAGCTTCAATTGACGGAGTATAAATTAAATACAAAATATTGCAAATAGTATGATGTTGAGAATAAAGAATTATAGTACCTTAATTTCTGTTCGTATAGGTGCTTATACACAAATTGAACATTTTTCTGAGTATTAACTTGGTATGTAACGGGTGATGGTAACCCGATTGGAACATACTGTGAAGGACTTTTTAAGGTCTGGCAGGCCTACATGTTCATGTAATAATTAATAAAAAAGTAGTTAAGCAGTTGCTAATTAAATAATTAAGGAAATACTCTTCAATTACTGTGCAATGCGGTAAATGATTTTATTGCATTACATGAGTCAAGAATATCAGCAAGTATTACTAATACAGCTGCTTAAATGTTTAATTGAACTTGGTAGATTGAAGTTGTATTATTGCTATTTCTATTTCAAATTTTGACTGTAAGAAGAGTATCCTTGTATTGTATGTGAAGAATAATGACAGTCAGCATGATGCAATAAAAGTTCAATGGGTTACAGTGCGCGTATTTCACCTAGTTTGTTAATATATTATCATAGTCTATTTGCGCTTTTCCATACCTCTAGAGTATGATTTTTACATTATTAGAAGTAGAGAATGTACTGCACAGTATGAGAATTGAACACTATGAAGAGTGATTCTTACAGTTACAGTTATAGATTTATTAAAAGTGAATACCATAAAAGTTTGCAAATATTTTAATACTCTACTCATGACTATTTAGTTAGTATTTTATATACAATGTTGTAGCATAGTATTTAACAGTAAATTAACACTATTAGGATGCCCTGTCAGATACGCTATAAACTGTCGACAAAGTGAGTAAATTTGTAATTGCTGTGAAGGAGTAATAAATACTGTGAACGCGTGAGTACACATATGTCGTGTAGGGTTTGCATGAAACACAACCATTAATTTAGGCAGATTTGTATTTACATACCGCAACATCTTTACAGCTACCTTTAGTTGGAGTTCCAGGCTCAGTGAAATTGTAGCAGGGGCTATATGAAATACCTTCAGCACCTTTATTGTAGGTATCGTGGAATCTAAAAATTGCAAGATTTTTAGTACCGACAATAGTACATTAGTAATAATGATTCGCATACATTGCGCACCTGCAGTAGTAGCAATATTGTATGCCAACCGCGTTAAGCCGATCAATTATTACGATATACTACGTAAAAACTGCATTCTATTGGATATTCTCCTACACCCGAGTTGTTATATTGTACGTGATAAAAACTGATGTATAGTATAATGAAAGCATGGAGAATTTGTAAAAATTATAGCTTTCTATATCCCCAAAATATAAACGCGGATTGGGTTGCGATTCTTCCATGGAAATGGAGATATGTCATAGCATTGGTGAAACTGTTAGATCCATTCGATTAGACGCACCTACCAATTTTTACTGTACTGTACTCTGCCATATCATATCTACTGTGCGTATAATGTCATCCAAATAGAGAGATCTGGTAATGAAGCTGTACTATATAGTGTCTCATAAAATTGTTTTATCTGCAGGAACATACAGGATCATTATTTCAATTGGTTTTCATTTTTGTGATACATGACGATAAATGATATTCATGGGCATTCATTGGTTATAGTAATAAAGCAACGATGTGCTCATTTGGCGAGAATAAAACTTTTAATACTAACACTTAACAAGCTTGTACTGTCCACTAGTATAGGGAAATAATTTACTATTAAAGTCGGCTACAGATTGGTATGGAATCGATATCTCCAAAGTTGAATCTGATCATCGACGGTTGATCAGGGAGCCATTTATGAGTACAGTACTAAATGATTATATCAATAATTAGTCGATACCCTGGAGGATAATTATTACTATTATTATTAATTATTTTTAAAGCAGTGTCAATAATACTCAAAAATGGTAGCTTAATAATCTAAAATATAGTATTGCGTGGAGCGCATTGACATTAATTCAATGATATCCATTAATTATGCAATGTACTCTATCTACTGTAGCTTAGCACGTAACATCCATACAGTACTCGGTAGAAATGAGTCATTTTAGGCTTCCATGATGTTGTTCCCTGAACTGATGTAGTCAGTCAATTGACTTCCAAACTTTTTCCGTTTTCTAGCTTGTCTCTTTAATATCTTATTACAACTACAGTAATGTCTCTATGTTGCATAAATCGGTAGTGATTACTTTTGAAAATGGGATTTAATCCAGAATCGATAGGCGAGGGATATCTCCATTGCCGATTCTACAAGATACATGAATTATGCTCTGATGGTTGATAGGGATGCCCTTGTATGGTATAATGCACTAATACAGTACAGTATAGCAAAGTGCAGCATGCGCGGTTTGTAGTTGTGCAAAATTCATTACGTAATTATTCGCCAAGAATGGATCAAGTTTATTGCTATCGCATAAAAACATTTTCATTTTTACACCAATGATCGAAAAGTAGAAATAAACTGTTTAATCAAGCAAATACCTACTCTAGTAATAAACTGTCCACTTTTAGTAATGCCTATTCTTGTTTATTTACATGATATACCATACTACGCGTAGACTGTACCTTGGCTTATGGTCATTATTTGCTAAGGAGAATAAAGACACAATTCCAGCTACGTTCCCATTATTTTTCAGTTGGCATCCACAGTCTAAACCGTTGACCACATACTTGGTGCAAATCGATGAGCTAATAACCTGGCATTGAACTGAGGAGCTGAAGCAGGCGACAATGATTAAAAGCAAGAAGAGGTTCAAATTGGCTTGCATCTTGTACATTAAGCGCTCTCTAAAAGTGGCCAACTGCCTTCAAAGTGCTCGTGTGATTGATCTGGAGCAAGATGAAGTAAGTCAGCGCCAGAAGATTGATGTCCGTATCATACAGGACTGTACGGTAACTGTCCAGTACAGCGTACAGTATACTGTACTGTCGTCCAGTCACTCCACTTACAGACTACAGTACAGTACTGTACAGTGTACAGTACAAATTTTGACAAGTCCCCGCGATACTGTACTGTACCGTAGAATAGATCATGTGATTCGTGCGTGTTTAGCCATGGAAATTGACCTAGTGTACAGTAGGTTTTAGCCAGGTTTACCCAGTCTGTCGTACTCGAGTTCTTGCTGAATCGACCTGGTCGCAGTAATCTTTTAGCAAAGCACAGTAGCATAGTGCAGTACAGTTTAAAATGATCAAAGTTACAATAACGAGCAAAATAAAGTAGCAACTGCATGCCGATTGATTCATCATAAGTTCACAATAAGCGACCACTGCATTCATGAATGGAAAGAGGGATGCAAAGCGGTCATTCCTCCATACTAAAAGATGAATTTAATTGTTTTAGTAGTCATTCCAACTGGATTGCCTATCTGCAACGGTACACTGTACAGTACCGCACAGTAATAGCCGCTCAATTTGGCGTGGGGTTCATTTTACAGTACTGTACACTGTAGTATAGTACTGTACTGTACAGTACTGTAAGCAGTGCACAATGCAGTACTGTACTGTACTGTGTACTGTAGTCGAGAAACTGCGCCGCCGCAGACGACACTACGCTTAACTACGAACATAACAACTGTATTGTACTGTAGTCTACACTAGATACAGTAGAAAGGGCTTTGAATTACTCAATACTGCGCCGCCGCAGACGATACTACGCGTAACTACGAACATAACAACAGTACAGTACTGTACATACAGTGTACTGTAGTCTACTGTACTGTACAGTACACTACTGTAGATACAGTACTGTAGAAACGGTTTTGAATTACTCAATGCTGCGCCGCCGCAGACGATACTACGCACACTACGAACATAAGAACTGTACACTGTACTGTGTACAGTACAGTACAGTGTGATCTTTTTCGTTCCAGATTATTAAATAAGTACTGTAAATGCTTTAATATTGACCAAATCATGTAAAAAGTAATTCAAACGATAAGTTAACTATTCAGCTTTATATTCGTATAATTCTTATTACGTTTTGATTCACACTCGTGATTTTAGGGTACCTTAAAGTACTCTGATTCGAACTGGTTCACACTGTACTGTACTGTACTGTGCTGTAGTCTACTGTACTGTACTGTACTGTACACTTGATACAGTAGAAACGGCTTTGAATTACTCAATGCTGCGCCGCCGCAGACGATACTGCGCTTACCCTCTTTGCACAGACTCTATCTCGCTCGATGTCTTCGACCAGTGCTGTCAAAAAGTTCAAGCAGACTTCAACAGCAACCAAGCGGTAAAAAATGGCGACCAACACTGGCACAAGTGGTAGTTCTAAATATGGTGGTATCGAAGGAATTGTACGTATTGACAGCAGTAAATCAGTAGAGTAAAGTAAAGCAAATAGAAAATCGGTCATGATAGAGGTGTATATATTCACAGCGAGATAGCGAGTAGGATCAAATAAATAATCAATGTACTCTACTGTATTAACGCTCTGTTGCTCAGAAGTGAGTACGACACACGTCAAGATATCTTTTATCAATCGACTTGATCCACTTTTGCTGCTATCGTAGCAATAGATTAGGTAATTAACTCAATATTCATGTAGTAATGCGATCAACTCTACCATGGACTATACATTGGTTGATATTGAAGGTTATCACTTCAGTGAGTTATTTCTGGAAAGTACAGTAGAATTGTCAGTGCCAGTGTTGAGAACAGTCCAACTTTCAAATACTTGGGTTACTGTACAACACCCATTTTCCCCCCAGTATTCTACTCTAGACCAAGTCTCAAATTTTGAATGACAACAAGTAATTGCACGGATAGCGTAGTGACTACTTCTGCAGTAATACAGATCTATTTAGAGTATCAATGTCGTTGCTTGTAAATAATCATTTAATTGAGTATTGCCTGCTTTGTATAGGACAATCAGCCTGATGTTTTCGAAACTGGTGGAGAACCAACCAAGGAAAAAGAGAAAGAGAAAGGTAAAGAAAAAGAAATGAAGGTAAATCAGCTTAATACACAAACAATAAATTGCGGTAGCTAGGATAATGATGATATAAGTTGCACAATTACTTTGATGTGTACAATCGTGTTGTATACTGTACTTGTAGTAGAGTAATAGTTGCCCAAAATGCTACCAGAGGCAAGTCCAAGAACTGATTTACTTTGCATCATTTTACAATATGCTCGTTGTTATGTCATCGAAGTATGAGTAATGTAAGCTACCATACCATACTACAGTACAGTACAGAATACGTGCATTGATTTTGATCATTTAATTTAAACGAGCTTTCTGTTCAAAACTGTAATTAGTATTGAATATTCAATATGCCTCAGTGTTTCAAGTCGTATTCTAGTTGAAACTGGATTTGACCCCTTAAAAATTAAGAAGCACACAATACATTAAGACAGTATTAAGTATGGTAGGTGTTCAGATAAAATGCTTGCCATCATACCTCAAGAACAAATGTTAAAGCTTCCGCAAGCAAATCTTTTCTTGGATATTATGCAATACTGTATTGATAGCTAAATAATAATAATAAAATTTTAGGGAGGCATTGAAAGTAAAACGGTAGAATTGATACCGATGAACGCTCAAGCATCTTACGAACAATTTAAGGATAAATACATAGATTCCAAGGATGCAGGTAAGAATGAAATAATCTATTCTTACCCCCTAAAAATTGAATTAAAAAATACAATTTGACTCTAGAAAAGATGTAATAATCTTTACAACTCGACATGTCGTAGAAATAAGCCGCGTATCGCTGTTAATGTGTCAATACTACATACACATTTCGGACTTTGATAGGAATTGAAATTTAAACTTAGTTCAATGTATACTGTAGTAGCCGGCAACCCAGCTATCCTATTACTTATCTGAAAGTTCTATTGAATGACATTGTTGCGTAATGTTAGTATGAGGTAAATTCATAAACTTATTGAATAATTTTATATTCTTGTTAGACTTCACTGATTCCATAAAAGATGGTCGAAATATTGGCTACGATACAACTGAATACGAATTAGTAAGCTCCTGTCTCGGAAATGATATGGACGTATAGTATCATAACGAGATTATAATCTTTTAGCTTTGTACTATACATGTGCTCTATCTAATGTCATAACTTGGACGTTAGGCTGGTGACGAAACTGAAACGCCATTGCAAAAGTACCAAAGATTGAAAATTGAAATTAGTCAATTTACCGAAGAAATTGACAAAATTAAGGTAATATAACATGCACGATATTAATTATTGATATGCTATAATTTGATTTTAAAACTTTTGCTTACTATGAAGGGAAATCATTACATTAAATCGACTTTATCTATTTACGAGCATCAATTCTGTTTTCGAATATTATATAGGCAACTATGACGGAAGAAGCAGATATCAATCCTGTTGAATTGTCAAAGCATGTATGTTTTACAAAGATTAACATGCTAAAAATATTGATATCAATGATGCTTTACCAATGTTAAGTACCTTAATCTTTTTCTTTGTGTACAATTTCAGGTGAAAATCCTTCAAAAACAAGTCAGTACTGCAAATAAATTTCTCAAACTATCGCTTCCCTGAATTTGTGCTTATCTTATCCCACTATTAAGTACTATTAGTACGTAGATTAATGACGATGTTTTTATTTTTAATTTATATAGTTGCTGGATACAAACATTGAAGATTTGGCTAACGTTGATGTAAGAAGCTTTCAGTTAAAATTTCATTTACTATGCAGTGTGTATACGATATGATATGTTAATTGCCTACTAAGAGTACTTGTTTTGATTCTTTACGTCGTATACTTTAAATACAATGATATTCTAGGTCAAAGGAGACAGCGATATATCGAAGTAAGATTGACGAAATTGATCGCTTTTCTCTTTGAAACCACTATTTATCTTACAATATTGACTCCCTGCAGGAAATTACTAGCACAGATCGAAGCATTTAAGGGAGGAAACAAACCTGCCAAAGCTTCAGCTTCAAGTGGCGACAAGGTTAGCTGATTCATTCTCAAACAATATTTATTTTATATACCAGAATCTTTTAATAATAGAATTACGAAATTCGTAATCATATCAATCAATCTGATATCAACGTTATTTATGTAGAGCAATACCGATTACATCACATATCAACTATATTACAGACCAGAGCAAGCAAAATTTAATGTGTTATCTAAGGTAGTGTGGCCCTTTATTAATTATGATGAAAATATTACTTTATACATTTTTCAATTAATTGACTAATGTTACTTACCTTAACTTTAAAGGCCGCCGAAGTAGAACAGAAATTGCAAAAATTAGAACAAATTGTCGGCAAAGATAGCAGGAGATTAGTAAGAGATTTATATACATTATCGTTCTAGCAATGGCTAACGAATTGTAGGCAAAACTGGAAGCTAACTTTGCAATTTATTTGTTATATAGCCAGCTATAACGTCCGATTTAGATCCAAATAATAAATCATTAGCGGTAAGTGCTTGATAATGTGCTGTAAGAAATTATCAAGGTGGTTTTTCTTAGCTAAGTTTGATACGGTTGCATTACTTTATATTCCGTAAAAAGCCTATTTTTTTATTAGCACTTAATGCCTCTTGATTTAACATAACTGCAATAGGCGGCAATCTACGCTCTACAAGCAAAATTTTCCTTATTGGATTCGGCAAAAATTGAACACGTAGATGCTAGACTACAGGTCTGTCTTGATTTTATAATTTCATTAAACACTGATTTACAGCTTATAGTAATACCGTATTGCATAAGTTATGTCTTATTTTATGATGTTCAAAAGTCATCCAATTTAACGAAGAGATACAAAAGTACTTAAGAGTAATATTGTTTTATTAATTATCCTTATCGTTGGCTATTAGGCCGTTCTCCAACGTATTAATGAAATAGCTGAAAAAACTGAAGGGATTGATAAAGCTGAAGAAAAATCCAAGGTTTACTCGAATTTTGTTTTACGGAAGAGTAACTCCGGTAGTAAACAATACATCAAGGATTTCATGCTCAATGAATATTAATGCAATTTAGGTATCCGAAATCTACGATTTTATGTCCAAATGGGATGCTATTGCCTCCTCCATACCCGATATTGTACGAAAATATCATTTTCATTTTATTTGTCTGTTCGTGTTTTTGCGATTGAAATGTAATCAAATTTTTAACTTATGATACTATTTTTGATACTGTCTTTAGACTGCCCGATTACAAACCTTGAAATCATTACATCATCAAGGTAATGGATATATCCTTAATGGACATAAATTGGATAAGTAATAGTTTTAATTGTCATCGAATATTTATTTTAGCTAGCACCTTTGCTATAAATCTGGCCGGATTCAGCAATGCCCAAGATCAAATTTCAAATGCTTTACAATCGCAAGCTAAAGTCCTTCGTCAGGTAAGGACACTATAATATTTATGTTAGCAATTTACTTGAAATGTTATGTCTTAAAGTTTAGCGATACTGTGGTATTTCAATCATATTCCGGTTCTCACTTAACAGGTTCAGGAATCGCTTGTGAAAAATATGACTGTTATGCAGTCGAATGTCTCCAGTATTGAGTCAAGAATTGCTACTTGCGAAAGTAAATTGCGGTCTTAGGATTGATATTTAGGTTATTTAGGTACTGTACAGTAAATATTGCTTCAGTAATATATTAATAGCGCAGTGTTCGACATAGTTGTGACACGAACACATGAAGGTAGCATAAATATCCTATAATGTCTTCTCTGTTGTCATTTTGCTTCATTATTTTATTCGAGTGAGTTTTTTTAGTTACACTATCCTAGAATGCAATGATTACTGCATTTAGGATCAATCGTCAATTTACAAGTTTAAGGATAGAAGTAGAAGATAAAATCTAATCTATATTTATTACTTTCAGCATACTAAGTGAACTGCTGATTGTTTAATATTAAGAACTATATTAGCGTTTAAAATTTTGTTATGTTCAATCTATTACGGTGCTGTAATATTTTCTTGTACTTGTTTGTCTGACACCTAAATGTATTTTGAAAATTTTTCTTACACAGGCTAATAAACTATACGTACAAATTTTTTGCAATTGTTTTTAAGTAAGAATTGTAACTTATGATTTATTTTCGAATGTTTGATATAATATGCACGCCAAAGCAGAATAAGTTATTACTACAATACTTAAGTTACAATTGTTGTGGTCTATCTACCGGATTATTTACATATTCTTGAAACAAACTTCGCACGCCTTTAACGAAGATTCTTAAATTTCCAGAACGATTAATTTGATCGATGAGCGACTGCAGTCCAGAAACGCTTGGCACACTTTCAACCACTACATAAATAAGTGAAAGTTAGCATATAAATTATATTATATATGATCTACAGTATATACAATGTGATGTGAATAGCAATAGGTGTAGTTTGCATTTTCTTGATTTACAGATTGAGCTGCATACATATGTTTGTTATACCAGGCTTACCATAGTATTGCTTACTAAGGCTGTCAATTCCAAAACTAACGCAAAATTCTTTCTGATCATCGTTGGGATCTATTCTAGTATAGATGAACTTCATTTTCTTATCTACAGAGTAAGACTAGCGTTTAATTTTATGATAGTTCTACGAAATTTCTTACAACTGAATCTATATCAAAGTAAGAAAAATGCCAAGTATTATACTACCTTTCGTCTTTTCAATCTTTAGACCTAGTCGCTCTTGAAACATTTTTACAGCTTTTGCATAAAATTCGACATTAGTAATCTTTGCTGCCTCGCGCACGGATGAAATCTCTGCATTAATGAATATATCAAAACAATGTCAGTTTTTACTAAGGGTAAAGAAGTTTTCACTTTAAATCAGAGTTCTATATGTCACTGTGCATCGTATAGAATAGCAAAAATGCGGTATTGATTTATCACATGGTTTGGTTTCATATGTTTAACAACCTAGACTATTATATATGTCAACTTTGAACGATCATAATATCTTGCGCTGTTATTTCTGTTTAAACTTTAGTGATAAAAATAATAATAGCAAGAAATGTAAATCTAAAAATCTGTCCTTTTCTTACCATACCAAATATGTATGAAAAATGAATTAGCATTTGGTAAAGAATTTGATATTGAAATGAAGCTTCGATAGAATCTCTTTTAACTCATATTTACTATCCGAAAGCTATAATCGATTTCTAATATTTCTATACAGTATCTACTGTAAAGCGATACTATTACAAACGCAACTATTAGCCAGTTTGTTCAATAGCAAAATCAAAGCAAACTCTTACGTTCTTTTTCTTCCTGTATTTCTGTAGGGACTTGCTTTAAGCGCATTTGTATTTGTTCATTTTTGACTTCAACTTGTTGCAAATTTGATTCTTCTTGGTAAATTTTTGAATTTAAATGAGTAATTTTGTTGCGACCTTGTTTCTTTATTTCTGTAAAAAACAGGAATGTGGTAGGCTCAACTATCAGCAATGACTAGCATTACACCGTACAGTAGGATCAGTTAAGTCCACTGAAAACAGATTGGTCCATTGATGATTTTATCGATCTGTTTTAAGTGGCGGTAGCGTGGACTTAGGCCTGGGCAACTGGCTTGATGAGTATAAGTTCTATCATCGTCAGTTTTATGAACATGAAGATGTAATTGTAGGGTAGTCCGTGATAATACATATATATATATACTATAGATCTATACGAGTATAATTGCAATAGTGTGCGAGCTTGAATTCTAAATTTTTCTATTATCTCGATAGTACAGCACTGGGATCAAGTGAGGAGGAGATTTTGTGTCAATTTTTGTACACTACAGAGTACATCTAGACTTACCTCGTTGACGACGGAGATTTTCACGCCTAGCATCATTTATGATTTCATTATAATCGCTAGCCAGACCTGTAATAATTATATAATAAAAAATTGTTGAATTCTACGGGACGTCCACGTACGTATGTCAACATTGATCTTTTCTATTTTAATTTACTACCACATCATTTGAGAGTTTGTAATAATTCATTTTTTATAAATGGCAAAGAGTTGCAGTATAAAGCGCGAGCAAATAAGGGTGCTGTAATACCTTGGAGATGGTTAATCGTTCATGTATGTCTCATTGGTAACTTTCAGAATGCATGGAGTGCGCGCATACAGTACAGTAGTGTAGTACTTGGTAGTTGTTTGAAATAACAAATTCAAATATTATAGATTGTGGTTGCAATGCATATAGAGGGTTAAGCTTCGATCTAATCTATTGCAACGTTGTAAATTGATTGCCATTCCCTGAATAACTAATCACTGGCACATTATCGTATAGCATGTTGTCATTGATAGCCTATTCAATGTCGTCCTAAAGGCATTGATGAAAATGTCAACACGAATGGAAATCAATGGCAAAACGTCGAGTGCAATCACCCAAGGATCGTTGCAAGATTTTGAATCGTGTCCTCTCTATTTTCTGGTATAAAAGGAAGTATTATACTACAATAGAATCCCTTCATATAGTATTAGATCGATTTAAAAATCAATGATAATCATGTAGCTCATGATCCCTCGTAGAATATGTACTGGTGAGAATTGAGTGGATTAAGTTTGGTGTTTTTTGTCCCCTTCAACACTGTCAACCAAGTTGAACCAATGGAACATGGCAAAAGAGAATCCCTACTTACTTTTATAATTTTCTAACTGGCAATCCGCTTCTTCAAGTGAATTTTCCAAATTTTCATTCAATGGAGTCAAGAATTCATTCCTATACTTCTCTTTAACAAGATTCAGGTGATATTCTAACTGAGAGGCTTGAATTCCTTGAAATGTTGCGTTCTCCATGATGGATTTAACCGTTGGTCCACCACTACGACAACAATCGCTTGCGGTTCTGCTTGCTAGAATGAATATTTTCCCGTATTTCCTGATGTCACAGTATGATGCCGCAGGATTGTACCGCACACTGTATAGTCTTCAATTTGAATTTTACCGCTGTAATATAGACCATAAAGGGATCGAATCGAACCGGACCGAACCGGACCTTCTCCGGTCTACCGTTGTTTAACGGTTTCTCGATACCAAAGTGACGTCATATCGTACAGTACTTCTGATACAGTACTTTTTACTGTAAGGTACAGTGTACAGTACTCGAAGAAGGCCTGGAATCAGCATTCTTGGACGGACAGACCTTTCGGCCTCATTTCATGAAAATATTGTTTCAAACACTTCGTTATGACATTACATTAGTATACGAACGGTCGATTTTCAATGGACTGGTTTTTTCTCATTCAGCAATATTAGCTTCAATCTTAATCTTATTATCCATGACTAAGTTTTGCTTGGAAACAGTTCTATATATAATCGTAGATGTTATTTAAATTAGTACCAAAGATTTCGAAAATAGCCACGGAAGATTTATACTACAGTAAGTAGGCATTTTTCGACATTTACTAGACATCATTGGGTAAGGAAAGTCCGTCTGTCCGAGGGTAGGGTTGGCCCATGTCTTTCTTCCAGGAGTCCATGATCAGTTGACGACTGACCACTACAACATATTGTACCTGGAAGTCAAGTACGCCACTACTACTCGTACAGTAGTCCAGTCATGATACAGTGCACTGTGTTTACCTCTTGTTAGGGGGCTTTTTTTCACCACTTACGATAAAGTCCGAATCAACGATTGTTTACCCTACGTTACTGTTTCCGATTGAACTAACTCCAGATTTAGTCCATGATTTTACTATTCAAGGAAATTGCATATACTGTAGAGAAGCATCCAGTTACGAGAGCACTACACCCGTCAGTAGAAAAAGTGCGATCGAGAACAGTGATTCGGTGTACTAAAAAGGAGACGGCTGACTACTGTATTTTCCTCATCATCTCAACGGAAACCAATGTGTCTCAAATTCGCTTTCAGAAGTAGTGTAGAGTAGAATAACCCCAAAATATGCCAAGCCCCCCTCGTTCCTATTAATGCATGATTGGAGAGATGAAGGCAGACAAAGCGGGGATTACAAGTACTTCATTCAATGCGTTTTAGTTGCGATTTATATTTGTTTGCTCAGATCATCCCTCTCTGTCTAGTCCCTGGTGGATTGGTCAGATCGAGAGTGCGCAGTCGTTAGTAAGGTGAATACAGTATGGCCAGGCCACTCATATCAACTGTGGAAGGAACGTCACAACGGCGACGGCAGAGTGTACAGTACATACTGTACAGTGTACAGTACAGTACTGTAGCACAACTCATGAATTCATCTATCCGAAACCTGTCATGGGGTTGCTCGAAAGTCGAAACGGGAAGTCCATCGGTTGCTTGGTGATCGATGATTTCTATTGATTTGAAACATCATTGACTGGCTTAATACTGCCCTATTTCCATTTTACAGGAGACAATTTGAACCTGTTGTGGTCCATTTTACCTTGGTTGACTTTTATCCAAGCCAATCTTGTATGACTTGAACTAAGCAAGACAGGACGTAAACATCGATTGGCTAGCAATCATGCAACCTTCCGATTATTTCGCTTGGATGGCAACTTTGTCAACGATAGGCCTCTATTTAACCGGAATGTAAGATCCACTTGTTCACTTATTCAACAAGATAGATATCACATTTAAATTCTTTCGAACATCATTAAAATCGCCTGTAGTTAAAAAGAATAATGCAACAAGTCACCATTTTATTCATACCACGTTGTAAGAGGATGTTCACGGCGATATCGTCGGTATAATATCATGTCCCACTATAAGTGCGCTCAGGTAGCGATAGCTGTTATTCAAAGCGACGGTAGCCTACTGAATTATGAAGATGGAACACACATCCATTCACATTTTTTTTGGGGGGGGGATATAAATATGGCTGTTGGCTATCTTATATCTTTAGCCTGTGTGGCACCTTGATGCATGGTGTGTCTGAACTGCTTTTCAAGGACACTTGCAACGATCATGTCATTTCGTCATAGAACATTCAATCCTGTTCACTTTCAACGTGATATTCTTCTTCATTGTCCAATCTACTATTGTAGAAACCAGTCAACAATCTATAAATATTTTATTGCTCGTCATGATATCTCAACTATCTCCATCTGCTATTCTCATCAATTCTTCAACTAAACACGATCCATTTGTATTGCCTGAGGATATTCTCCTTGATCGTCATTTGTAGCTGGGGACGACCGAGCCCCATTCATCATACACGACTGCTTTATTACATACAATCAATGCTAATACATCGATGATAGAGTAATCGAGACTACGCTTAATAAACAGTACCATGTGCAATTGTACATGGCTCTTTCTTTAGTAAAATCACTATCTACTTTAAGTAGGGATTAGAAGAAATCTCGTCTCCGTGCATAAACTAATGATAGTACTTATCCGACTGCTTACGGTAACGTGCGAACTAGAAATGACCTGATTTCAGGGAATAATCGTATATCTTACTCAAGTCATCTTTCTCGGATATGCTAGGGATAGTTGCAATAATTTACTTGTAGGATTATATTTTGGGGGTATTCAATGTGAACGTGAGTTAGAGTACTTACTGTGGTTAACGGTGATTATCATAGATCGGTTTACAGACTCGTACTGTAATTGTCCATTATTATTATTATGTCAGAGATCTTTCAGTTTCAAACTGAGGCTGTAAAAAATATACAAGAGGTTGTGCTGTAATTTGAATTTTTCACTCATTATTTCTCAATCGTGAGTCAAACCAATGATAACGACTGTAAATCGATTATTCTACAACTATATACGTTTAGTACATATAGTGTAGTTAGGAGTTGCACTACTGTACTGTATATTATTGTCGAGATGAAGCAGAGACAGTAAGGAAATTTAATGTCGCTATCTCCAAATATGTCGCAAACCTGCTCGCACAATTCATGTGTTACAAATCAGACTCGGCCTAGCTACAAAGTTATACTAAGTAGCATAGAAGTACCGTGGAGGTGTTTCTATCGACTTCCATCAATACGATTGTTACATTGGCTATCGTTGTTGGAAACTTTGAAAATTACTGCTCTTCAAGTGTAAGCCGCTACAACGCAGGACTAGGAAGCATTTAACAACCGTGCCGATCACTAAAAATACTACTGTAGTTCGAAAGGGATTCTGTTTCCAATTTACGCTTAAAATTAATATAATACCACCATAAATTCCCCTTTTGCAAATAGTTGACATTTACAACATTCTGCACGTACTACTGTTTGCAATGGTCTTGTTTTATGATCATTAATTGTATTAATCACTGACTCCCTGAAGCTCATAACCATGTGGTATTGTATTACTTTTACTAAGTCAAAGTCTATAATAGTAGCTCTTAAAGCCTAAAAAAGTTTTACTACAATTAATTCATATCTTTACTCGTATCATGAATAAATGCTATGATAAATATAGATACTGGAATAAAGAGTAAAATTTTAACTCTAAAATAATCAATCACTACTTTGAATCTATTCAGTCAAACATGCAACAAAATTTTTAAAAATGGTAGTTCTTCCAACGTTCCCTACTTTCCAATCCTGGCATGCTTGACTAGGTAAGCGTCAATCTAGCTTTCCAGAGTGGATTTATAACGACTGTATTACAACTGATGCCTTTGCTAAATTAATGTAGTAAAATCAATTTTTTTATAGTTACTGATACCTAAATTGCTTCGTATGCTTTCAATTTTATTGTTACAGTTGTACTCTTTGGCTAAAGTATGGAATGCTATTGCAAGATAAAGCTTTAACCATAGTTAATGTTATTGGTGTTGTCTTAGAATCTATTTATGCAGTAATCTATTACGTGCATCTTAGTAACAAGGTAGGAAAGCAGAATTTGCACTTGTTCTTTCTAATATTATTTATTTATGCACATAATCGTAATACAAGCATAAATTTATCTATGAGCTACCATTGGATTCCAGTACAGTATCATAAATGTTGATAATACAGCTGTTTAAATCGATTATGTTATTGCGGTACTTGAGTAATATTATCACTTATGCTAGTAAACTTGGGTACAACCAACCCTTTTACTAAAGTTCCTATCTTCATAAATCAAGCCATCTTGGGTCATCGGAATAACATTAGTTATTTTTGAATCATTCTTCTAGAGTTCAATCAATAGAATGACACTTTATGCCGGAGCTTTTATACTCTCAGTATTAGCCTATGTAAAATATGGCATCAGTAGTTATGACGTTGCCTTGAACCTATTAGGTATAATCTGTTCTCTTACAACCATCATAATGTATGGGTCACCCTTAGCCTCGGCGGTAAGAGCGATAAAATTCAAATTGAAATAGTAGTTGCTAGTTTTTTGGCAAATTATGGTTATTGTTACAGTAGCATATCTACGATGCTTTTATCATGATATTTCAGTAACACGATTGCTAATCTTCGCGTGATTACAGCTAAAAGTCATCCGAAATAACAGTAGTGAAAGTATGCAGCTATCTTTGTGTTTAGCTAATGCACTAGTATCCTTCGAATGGGGTGCGTACGGCTATATTATCGGCAATCAATTTGTCATGGTAAGTAATGACATAGCGATGTAATTGAATGATTTTATACCCGTAGAACTGTGCATGCTGGTAGAATGAATGGCATACGGTTATAGTCTTATTTGAAAATATCGATAAAATTTTTTGACTCTTCAGATTCCAAATACAATTGGTGTAGTACTTGGTGTTTTACAGCTTGTGTTATTCTTTCGGTATCGTGTTGAATCATCCAAAACTGACAAACAAATACCAATATAGTACGGTAATGGAAAATTTAATTGGGAAATTTCTAAATTGATCTCTGAGACGTGTACAGATTCTCCATATGTGTGAATTCTGAGACGCATTTTCCGATGATTAAAAAGTTGTCTGTGTAGATTGCTACTGTAAATTTCATTTATTTTGCCCCAATAACTTAACTTATAATTAGATATTCACTTCATGGTAGTTTTGTAGGTTTTTAGATATCTGCCTAGGACAGTTGATACGTGATTTGTATGTCGATTTAGAATATTTGAATATTACACAATGAACAAATAGTAACCTGAATGTACTGTACATAATAAAATGGTTCATTTTGAATTGATAGGAATAGATGCGTTTATCTAATTTTTCCATATTCTTGATAAAAGAAAATTGTTGTAATCAATAAAGCAATGTGTATATCATGTTAATAACTTGAACGAATTTATTTTCATTGTTCATTGAAATAGTAATCGATTAGGAGGTGATGATGGTTAAAATTGTACCTGAATGTATTCAGTTGTCATATTAATACCGGTTTAATGTGTACATATCATATTAACGGATAATTCGTAGATAAAAGCTTCAAATAATTAATAAAAATTATATTTCAACTTTTTGCGGTTATAAGAGAAATATCGTAGTCTAACTTTGTCAGAACATACGACATTTTATCTTCGCCAGGAACAGCCTATGAATTAAAGCAATGTTGAAAATTATGGAAATTGTAGTGCCTTTTATGGGATAGTCTCTAGATCAGTAATGCAATTACGATTAGCGTTAATAAAGTTAAGATACCTTCATTGCGGTTAGAAGATCCTTGAGTAGCTGCCGGTTTAAAATTAAACTATCGTGAAGATCGAAAACTCCTAGCAAGCGTTGATAGACTTTGGATATCGCGAATACTTCATTTACATCTGATTCTAGTGATCAAAATAATCCAAAGGGTAGTACTGTAGAACTGGCGAAAGCATTAGTATAAACTATTATATTTATAAGTACTTATGCACAATATAAATTGCTGCAGTTTTGCTTCGAAAGGGCACTGTATTGCCTTATCATCTTGTGCAGTATGAAAATAGTAACATTCCAAACAGACTATTAAACAAGTCCATACCTTGTATATAACTTAGCGAAACCTTTAAAAACTGGGTCATAAAAGACGGATCCCGCAAAATTGTAATGCAAAGATCCAGTAAAGCTGGCTGCCAAATTAATTCCAGTTCTAGGATGATATTATACATTTCCCTTTCAAGACTAATATCTGGTATGCAAAAGGCTTAATTGTACTGGATAGAAATATGCGTATTAATACCTGTATCGTAATTCGAAACTGCATACACTGATGAGAACATAAGTTTTGCCCATAGGGTTACGTCATTGAAGGAATTTTCCTGATCGATCGATACAGTCTTTAAACTACAGAAGCATGATAATAAGCATTTACTCACAAGTATCAATAAGTGTTCTTCACAAGAATTAGAGGTCAAAATGTAACCATAATGTATAGCAGTAACCTAATTTCGTCTTAGACCTACCTTTCCAAACATTTCAGCATACCCATAGCGGTTTGGATAGGGAAATAAGGATGTGAATTCTAACATATAATAATGCCATATCTTAGCATGATATAGCCAGTAGCAGCTCTGCACTGTATACAAAGTCTATATTTATTCATTATTAGTAATAAATATACCAGTAATTCGAGTAGGGCCCTATTGAATATTGCGATGTAATCTTTATGTTGATGTAAACGTCTTAGCTGCCATGCTGTGTGCTTTTGAAAATGTATATAATCAGTTAATGACTTTGATATCCACAGTCGATCACCCAATAATAACTAACTAATCCTACAAATTATTGTGATGGCTAGTGACAGTGAATAAAAACCTCTAATATCAAGCAATGTCTTTCCCAAAATTCTTTCTCGGATAGCTCTGAATCATCGCAGATAAAGGACTATAAAAAAATGACAAAGTAATATTGAATTTATAAATAAATAAGAATAACGTTTGTCAAATATCATGTTACCTCTCGATTCCAATATAGTATCGGAGTAAACCTATAACTTTTTAAATAATAAGGAAAAATAATTGACAAGAAATCCACCACGTCTCTATCTATTACAATACAGTGTCATGATTGGATGTTAATACCTTGTATAATGGTCATCTAGAAGGCCTTCACATTCTACTATTTTCTGCCTATTAGTTCCTAGAATACTGATTTTGTCAGAAGCATCCAACCATAAAATTAATATTATTATGAATTATTACCCGATACAATGGATATTAAAAAACTGAAGTAATTGACCGCGGTAGCAGTCGAAGGTGTATTTTCACTATTAAACCTATTAAAAAATCAAATCCGGTTGAAAAAAAAATCAGTCAAGGCATAGTAGATAATATTCTTAACATAATATTCTAGTATCATACCTATCGAATAGAATGTCTAACATATAATTACACGAAGTCTTGTCTAAAGCATGACAACGTGATGCTAATGCCTTCACTAGTTGCTTATGAAAAATTTCGCAAAAGTACAGTATTTCGATAAAATGTCGTTGAACATTCGTAGGCATCTTTAAAAATTTTTCTGTCGCAGAGTCTAACAAACAATTACAGTATAATTAATTTGTAGAACAATAATGAATAAGTAACACAGGATGTATTAAGGAAATAAACTACAAGGTTGCTTTAAGCATTTTACCGAAATACTCTATCAACAATTCGTTCAAACGCATCAGCAGAGTTTGGTTGTGAAGGCCTGATAATAGACAGGATTTAATTATTTTAATGCTAACAGATTCTAAAGCGGATCCTTCCCATTCCGGTCTTAGTATATCTTGCGGCAGGGAAATTAACCAGTCTTCAAGTTGTGGCATTATATAACTAAGAGTATTACAAACATGCTTAAGCTCATAAGAATACTTGATTTATGCGATCGATAATAAATCTAAATCATAAGCATGATTATAAGCTAACCTGCCTGCGCCACAAACGATATTTTTTTGCTCTTCATCGAGCAAACCTTGTAAGAGTTTTAAACATTGAATTTTAGAATTTGAATGTTCATGGCTATTTCCATAATAATGACGTATAGCTTCAACGATATCGATCACGTATGCTTTCCCTTTGCCTAAATTAGTAGATCTTGACAGCCAAGGAGTAAATATTATTATTATTATTTCGTAAGGTGTTATCCTCGAATAGTGAACAAGATTGAAAATATTTAAAAATGCAAGTATTCCGTGTGCGAACCTGTTTGATAATGATTTCAAGAGATTGCCGGCAATGGCTATTAACCCGTGAGCATTACGTAATACTCGTGATTTCAAAGCTTTGATTGCAAAACTGACTATATGTTCGCAAGTAGATAATCTTTGAAGAGGTATAAAATTAATGAAGTAAACCATAATATCGCAGATGATTAAATTCAAATTGAGCAATTGCAGGGTGAACTTGTCGGAAGATTTGCTTTCATCGTTGTTTGACCTACTCGAATCATTATAGATATAATGTAAGATAAACAAATGGGAATAAATGGATGCTATCATTCCAGAAAGAATATTGAAAAACCTTTGGAACAAAATTGTGTGATAATCTTACGTACTTTCTCCCTTTTTTAACTTCAATCGCCGTTAATGGAAAAAGACCAAAGATATTTTGCTCAATATCATTAAAATACTTTTCCAGAGTAACACTAGAATAAGACCCATTTTCTCCTGTCCTACCGAATTGTTCGTGTTGTTCGCGAGATACCTGGCATAACAATTGCATTACCAATAATACTTCTTCCATTAAAGATATCAATATTTCCAGCAGTTTATCTCCATCTGTATCTTTGCGTATTAATTTAGAGGGATTACATTCTAACCATATATTCGTCAGGAGGGGCATGATGGTATCAATAAACTGCTTGAATTCATCACGAGCTACAAAAACTGTACTAAAATCAGGAGGACTGTTAAACTTGATAGTGGCTTGCTGAGAATACGTATGATAATTGAATTTGACATATGATTTCTGCTCAATACGATCATATTCTTTTGCTCCATTATCCTCGATCTTGCTATCAGTATAACTCTCTCGATAAAGTGATGTAAGAAATCGTCGTAAGCGATGCAGCACCTTGTGACGAATTTCATGAATATTTAGCTTGCCCCTTAATCTAACTGTTAGAGCCCGGGATGGCTGTTTGGTCTCTCTCTTAGCTTGGCTGAGTGCGTTACTTTGGGAGTTTGGCGTATTAGCTAGCCCTTGAGCGCTAGTTGTATTACACTGCTGAGAAATAATATCGACAATAATAGGTAATAAATCTCTTGAATGACGAGCTACTAAACCTGGAAAATGATCTAATAAGATATCTAATATTTTGAGAGTATCTATCCGAATATTGTAATCAATATGCGTTAAACCACAACATAGACGAGCAACCATTGAAGCGAAAAATGGTTGCAATGTTGATAACGAGAGCTGACATAAAAGGTGTTTCAATATGATAAACAATTCATGTCTAACTCGAGCATCGATATCAGTCATGCATTCGGTAATTTTGCCCAAGATAGGGCTCAGATTAGAGATGGCATACTCTACATGAGAGGACAGAATATCCTTGATACCAGCAAGGGCGTCATGCCTTACATTTGCATTGTAATGCCTCAGCTGAGAGAGAAGAACCTAAGTAAAATAAAAGAAGATTACATTAATTCTGATGCATCGTACTTGACGTTACGTTAGCTAATTCACATTTTACTGTGTTCTCTATCGATCTTAGCTATACCTATCATTGCATCAATCCAAGAAAATCATACTCTACTCTAAATGCAGCTAAATACAATTACTTGCAAAGGTTGCTTCCTTTGGCTCAGCGGCTCTTCATGACTAGCTTGGTGTTGATTAGGTAAAGCAATGGTTAATGTTTTAAAACTAGTTTGAGTTGCATTCTGTTTTTGCAATTTACGGCCAACTTTTAACTTTGGTTTAACAAAGTCTTTCATTTTCTCCTTCTTCTTTTTACTACTTTTACCCATGTTTCAATATTGATCAGGGGAAGATTGGCAGATCTCTACGACAATTGGTATACAGAGATTCACACTGATGGCGTTCAATCTTTATCATCATACATCATGCAGAATGAACTTACTGTAAACGATGCAAACTGGTCTTTCCAACGATATAGTGATCTTTTATTACTTCTGTATTGGATAGCTTGTCGATTTGCAGCATCAGCAGTAGAATTAATCGGATTGTGCAAATTTGGTTAGCTCTTTTTGCCCTCGTTTGCAGTGCAGTTTTGCTAGGACACTTCCAGTACGGTATGGTACGGTACGGTACATCCATGCACGGAGTACTGGAAGGAAACCAACTGGTCACAGTGGTCAGTGGTCAGTACAGTACAGTACAGTACTGTACTGTACGGTACAGTGTATTGTACTGTATGAACTACAGTACTGTACTGTAACTGAAGGATTGTGAAGACAGGCTGACGATCAAAGAAGGAATTTGATTAATAGGTTAATTACTAATAGTTACTCCGGCATTTAATTTATTTAAGCGGCAAAGAAAGACTTTAATATATAGTATATTAATAATGGGAATAGGGATAAGGCTTATGTAACTCCTAGTAAGGCATTCGATGTAGTTGCCTCTAAGCGGCTATCATGTTGACTGTACAGTATACTGTTCATTTTCATAAGTAGTAGTAATAAGTTACCAGAGACCACTAAAGAGAAAAAGAGCGAAAGGAAACAGTCGTTCACTATATTGATAATGTGGAGACAGAATATATAATTACATATTATTTTACTAGTCGTTTCAAATGGCTGAAAAAATGGTTTTGTACAGTAGTACAACGATTCTGTGCAATGGATACTATATGTACTTTAGGTCTTTACAGCGATAAATAATAACAGAATAACATAATACGGTATACAGTACAGTAGTATGTTTTACAATAGAGGTAAAAGAAAACTTCTTGAGTGCTTTCACTATTGCTCTGATGATTTGATATCGTATCACAGTAATACAGAATCCTTATCCTTATATCTATGTACACCATTAAAAAAGCTTAACGAGTGGGTACCAGCTCGTTATACTATATTAAAATAGAATTGCTATAGACTGCAAACGTACGCGTATATGTAAATGAAACAGAGATAAACCGCATTCATGTACACCTATACGTGTATGCATTTTTACATTCGTATTATCATAATCCGTGAAGTGCTATTCTATATGTGTAAAAATTACAATTAATAAGGGACAAAAAATTATCCCCATTTTAGCTACTGTACACAATCATAAATGTTCACGTGCGTTAGAATACGGTATTAAAGTTATGTTCATGCTAGATTTTGTTCAGTTATTACGTTACAATTTCTGCATGGTATGTCGTTATCGTACGCGATAGCATATCTAGTTCGAGAAAACGAAATGAAGAGAAATTCGAAAGCTTAACTACGAACTGGCAGTTTTGTTACAATTATATTACATCCCATATTGTATGGTCCGATGGAAGGTCTTTCATTCTACTTCTATCTGCGTATGGCTGTCTAGTTGATAGCATAGATAAATAATATTGTAGTAACTGTAAATAATTACTGTTCTTTTAAAAAGAATGATACTGATTATAACTATGCACTATGAATATCACGAGATTCATCGCCATCTAGGCATAGTTATCAATAAATCCATCATTGAGTCATAGACACCATCATAACATTCTGCAGGAATAAACCGTAGTATCGACTGCAGCGGTAAATAATTATCATATAATGTTTCGTTAACTCTTAATGATGAAACTATTCAGCTTTGCACTCGGGAGCCTATTTAACTAGAATCGAAATCTTGATAGGCCTAATTTTTATTTCATTGCCATCTCAGCATAGTTATCATGCTATATCATTACAGTGATATCGTTCTAGTTAATTATCGATGTACTGTACAGTATACTTGTATATCATACACATGATGGAGAAAAATAACAGTAGACATTAATAGTCTCCGCAATAGCTCACGTATAACAGTCATTTATGAAATTGATAAAGTTCGCACTCTGTGAAATTCGGTGAGCTCCATTACTTTATCAAGATATGTTGTTGGGCTACTGGCGCAATCCCTAGACTGCTGGACAATTCAGGTCCTCCGAATATTGTATTATCAATAACTATAACCAATAATAATTCATCACTCATCAAGAAATAATAGCAGTCTGGACTGTCTGCATTTGTTGCTGTTGAAATGCCAATGATCGTGTTATGCGAAGGTTGTTTTTCTACCCTAGAGTAATCTCTGATCCCTAGGGAATCAATGATAATATAGTAATTTGATATTATGAAAGAAAGGGTAAAGTTACGGCTCCAAGCCCTCAGGTGCAAAACTGTTATTGCTATTGAATTTTCCTTATTACTGTATTGTCGATATGCATAGACAGAGAACCCAAAGACGACGCACAGACAAGCGGTTGCAGTACGCGTGAATAAAGTGATGTAAATTCTTTCAAAATCCCTGTCAATGACATTAAATGAAGCAGGATTTACAGTATATAAACACTTGCTCATATTTGCAACTTTCATCTGACAAAATCATCATGGCTTCGTAAGTCAACGCTAACAATCATCGTTTAAATTACCCTTGTAACTTACAAAAACTCTTGCTAGTTTCTTTACTTTCCATTTTATTACGTATAAACTAGTCGCACAAGGATTTATATTATTGTCATATAGTTGCGCAGTTGATTTTAGTGGATGTGTCCACTTGTTGAATTAAATTAAATTTATCTTTTGTGTTGAGAGCACAGTCTTATGCCTTGATATTCTCATTTTTACCGCTTCCCACATGAATTATACAGCGCAATTACCTAGATATTTTATAAATTGCTATGACCATCTAGATGTAACGTCATTATAATCCCTTTGGATTTCTAGGTCAATTAATCCTGCCGTATTATGGGCCCAGCGTAAAGATCGGTTACTCATAACTATTGAGATAGAGAATATTACTAATGAAAATATTACTATAGACAGCAAGAAGCTTATTTTAAGGTATGGACGTTTTTAAGTCAGTCTCTAAATTTGTACTCGACCATTTAACTTGGAAAATGATACCTTGTAACTTTAGATATCATTGATATGCAACACAATTTTAATATGTATGGTAATCATTCTGGTTATTATTGAAGCCACGACGACATCATAGATCACTTAACATAAATTAACTAGCTCTAGTTGCAGATCGTCAAAAATAAAACCAAACAACCTTCTCCACCTGAGATCAATACATTATCCTACCACTACCAGTTACCAATTAATTATTAAAGATAAAAAGATAATGAAGTTATTAACTTCCGATCTCATCCTGAATTCAACAAAAGACTTAAGTACCACGCCCCACTATCACTAGTTGTAATCTTGGCTGTAGTTTATCATCGTAATTACCTGGTGATGTCACTAGTAAAGTGAGGCAAACAACTCAGTAACACAATTTTAGAACATCCAGAGTTGTTGCCACAACAAAAACTTTTACGTTCTCGCATAGGGCTATAGAATACCAACTTTTGTGATTCCTCGACATTAATGTAAATTTCTTACATATCCAATTTCTGCTATTATCGTATAACATAACACCCAACAAATGCACAGCAATTTTGCCTGAATAATATATAATAATATATGCACTGTGCGACGTACCGAGCCAATTCTAGGAATTAGTTTGTAGTATGGACTAACTTTGTAATAGTTAAACAAGTTATGTTACTTTAAAATATAAGATTCTACCCCTATTTAACGGGACTAATATATTCTACTTATTTACGAACAGTTACTTCATAGTATTTTCATGATAAAGTGGCATAATGCATAATGTAGCATAGCAATATTTGTAATTGTGTATGTATTTGCAAGCAGCCGATACCGTACGTAAATGACATGCATCTCATATATTGTAAAGAAAATTCCAAGAATTTCTCTTCAAGCATAAAATGCTATTTGGAAATTAGAAAACATTTAAATGAAAACTTCTTACATCTTGTAATTTTTTCGAAATAATTGAAATTACCTTGTATGTTCCAATATCAGTGTATATAAGAAATCTATTAAATAATTTAAAAACACATGTTGGATTTGCAATGATGCCAGTGCTAAAGGCGGTATTGCGAAACAAAAACACCATTTAGAATTTGAATTTTATAAGGACATTATTCCTGAGGTACGGTAACTTTACGTAAAGACAGCATTTTATTAATTGTATACATATAGCATTTCTGATATCATACTGGATCGCACTAGAGTAATTAGTATTAGTATTCTATTATAGTAAGTATCATTTATGGATCCTGTGAGAGCTGACATGCCACTTCTTTTTATGAACGACTGGCGATACGTCAATTTTTACAGGAATCAAAGCAGCGCAAGTCAGCTAGAGGATATTATTTTCAAATAAAAAAGAAGGAATCAGGTCCATACTGGCCAAGAATGTTAAAACAAACTCAAAAGGTTTGATTTAAACAAGAAATTAATACTTCTCCTTTCTCATTGGTTTACATATTAATGACGTTAAATATTGCAGTTTACATGGCTAAGGATTGATTTTAATAAATGGAAAGATGAAGATGCAAGTGATGAAGAGATTATCAACGATTTAAGTCTTACTCCGGTAAAATTTTTCGTCCCATGACACCAATAGTTATTTTAAAATATTTCAGGTTGTACTAGAATCAATCACCTTATGAATCTGTAATGTAATGATAGATCAATCAATTTATACATGCCACATCAGCAGTTCCTTTAAAGATTATTGTTTCACCTTCATTTTACTGATAGTGTTCTAGCGCATTAAAAAATTATTTATCAATTATTGAGTAGATATAATTTAGTAGCATTGGCGATATACTATATGCTCTATAAAGACTGATCATCATTATTCACCCGTAGCAAAGTAATGCAATATTTTAGCAAATTTACTTGTAATATTATTACGTTAGTTAAGCTGCGTTAATTACTAAATTAACGATGTCGTATTTACCGTTTGATGCGAACAGTTGTATCATACATTTGTTCTGCGTTTGGTCTATGTTTATTGTTGCTATTGCTTTAAACTGTTACCTAAATGACAATAATTCAATTTAATTACGTGACATTTAATTTTTTGATATCGACATTTTAAATGATGCAACAGGTGGGAAGTGCCGAAAACTTTGATCCGGCCGTAAATTTATACTTGCAAGATTAGCCGCAGATCATATTATAATGTTGATTAAATTGAGACTTTGGCTTTAAACTGGTTTAACAGTATCGTGTTACGCAGTCAGAAAAGTTGCTCTCCTATGAGCTATACTGTACACATTAGGCCCAAATAGTATTGATGCAGACAACTCTGATGCTGGCTGAGCCAGCCGTGCATGCTTTGATTTGATATAGGCGATATCGATCATTCTTGCATTATTGACCAATTAAGCAGATAATGAGATGCGTCATGAAATAATGGAATTTACTATAACATTTTGTTATTGCACCGTATTTACCACTTTAACTGAAGATAGATATTTTTCATATAATTTTTACTATTTTATAATCATATAGAAAAGTATGACAGATTCGGACTCAAGTGATGCAGGTAGGTGAAAAGCATTATAATCTATATAATCTGATACTAGATAGAAGTAATTTTTACATACTTTCAACGTTTATATGTTGTATTTATTTACTATATAATTGACTTATTATCACATTGGTACTGTATTTGCAATGACTATCTTAGAAATATCCACATTAAAATAATTGGAAAAGTCAAGGAATTATAAGATCCTCTCAATTTGTAGTCTACATAAGCTTTGCTTTGGGTTTATGATTATTTATCTAATAGATATCGCTAGTTTATCATATTGTACTGAAATCGTCGTTGCTTCTTGACTAACAATTTTATCACGTATATTAAAGTAAACTTCTGCAACGATATTGATTAACTGTTGCAAATTTCTTACAAGGTGTATGTTTAGCGAACTCTATCCTGTATCAAGGTTGTAATGTGTTAGTCTTATTTAGCGAACTCTATCCTGTGTTAAGGTTGTAATGTATTAGTCTTATTTAGCGAACCCTATCCTGTGTTAAGGTTGTAATGTGTTAGTCTTATTATTTGTTCGATCGCTAAAGTAGAAGATTGATGTCTATTGCTATTATTTTTAAGGATACTTGAAGCAGATCACATAACACCATTGCTTGATTATGCAGTACAGTATATAAGACTCGTTCATAAAATTAAATTGTTATAGGACAATAATAATAAAGGTAACGTAGTTTGGTAAGCATAATATATACGCGTAAAGAATTAATTAACCAGAAGAAATGGAAACGTTTCCAATTTTAAGCCAATCAGAAAATGCGGAAAACAAAGATAGTATACAGTATATATACATGTATTTGTCAATATATGTCTATATACTGTATACATACAGTAGATATATTACTAATACTGTACGTATTAGTAAATTACTAGAACGTACTGTACTGTATGAAATGTGTTGTTAATGATACGTATGATAGTCATTTCATCCCAACGGTAGTAGTATTCCTACAGTGGTATAGTAAATAGATGAACAACAAAGACCATAATTCAGCCTAAGGAAATCTTTTTGTCAACGATCTTTTGCATGTACACTGTACAGTACTGACAAATACTGCACTCTTATATTTATTGGAGCAGAGGGAGTTAACAGTTGGTCAAAATATTACGGTCTACTTATATATCAATACAGTACTGTACAGTAGATTACATGTAGAAGGCAACCCAAAATAAAAAGTAGACTCCACCCTTCCGGCTACTTTGCAGGGTCTAACCTAGTCTAACGTGATTGACCTAGTGTTGCCCGAGAGAACATAACGGCATTGATATTAAATTTGACTCAAATGCCACATGTTGTCAACAGATCATGAAAACCTTGAGTAATAATTGGCTCTAGATGTTTCTATTCATTTTAACTGCAGCATTAAGTTATTTTATTTCTTTGAAATAAATATACAAACCAACCATCACTGACTGGTACATGTACGGTCGGTCCAACCAGCATGCAAGTCACACCGTAATAGTCGTCCATTACGTATATATACTGTATATATGAGTAATATGACATACAGTATATAATTATTATTATTTATTAATTAATAATATACCGAAAGTAAAATCGGATCTTTTTCTGATCTACAGTAGAAGCCCATAATTCCCACGTTTTAGTATACAGTACAATGTACTGTACATTTCGAAATTGAACAATTCATGATGGCGTAGCGTACCGTACCGTACCCATTGGTCTTTCAAGTTGATTGCTGACGCGAACAATAATTTCTTTCTAGCGTTCCGTGCCAATGGACAAGGACTACTTTTCTACTGTAGTCAGGGACTTACTGTACTCCTCAACAAAATTTTAACCTCTTTCAAGACGGAGGTTAAAAAAAAATACTTAATAAAAATGTACGCAATACTACAAGCAGTTCGTGTAGTCTACGGCCGTGTGGTGCTAGAATGATGTCAGCGACTCACTGATGTACCACCGGCTGACAGTTGCTGTAGCAACATTTATACAATACAAAGCCTGTACACTACAGTGTACAGTACTGTACAGTATACAGTACAGAACTGTAATGTACTGTACCGGATAGGAAGAGTACCACAGTGTTCACCATGACATGTGGAGAAGTTCTAGATTCTAGAGTGTTCGCTGAGGTAATTGGACGGTGTAGAAGAATGGGTGCAGTTGCACTAGCAAGTATTCCATACAAAACACTTATCGATATTGGATGGAAGACCGAAAAGAATCACGACGCCCAGACAGACGACTACACCGATAAAATAGTGACACTGCATATTGACTTGCGCACGCTTACAATTTCTACCTTGCAAAATCATCATGGCTGCGTAAGTTAGCACCATCATCGTCCTCTAAATTACTATTGTAACTTACAAAAGTTCTCGCTTATTACTTTACTTGCGATTCTGCTGTGTCAACTAGTCATCCAACAATTTTAGTATTGTCGTAATAAAGTTGCCTAATTCATTTTTGATGGAATGCATTCATCTTTTGTAGCTAGAGCGTAATCTTCCGTCATTTTCCTTTCCATATCAATTTTGCACTTGGTAGATCGTTTTACTATGGCTTTGACTAAAAATGAGTCATGTTACTATAATACTTGTAGGTTAACTCCTCCGGTATTGTGGGCTCAACGTCAAGATGTCTTATTCTTAACTATTGCTCTAACGGATATCCGTGAACCAAAGATTGATCTCGACACCAACAAGCTTTCTATTGAGTAAGGAATTTTTATATTCATCTCTTGATTTCTTCTCCAATTTGGTGTATTTTGAACATACGCGTATGACAGGTATAGTTTTGATTTACGGTACTCTTGAAAAATAGTAATACACGGTGCTATAAACGCATAATATTATTATCTTAGTCGTTCCACACGTTTAATGTGGACTAAAACACGTGTACTTGTAAAAGTTGCAGTAATTGAATAATTGGAACAAATTAATGCACACTCGTTTCTTGTCATATCGTACTGAAAACGAAGCTCAGCATGGAATTAGTTGTCAACTTGTCATCGACGATAAAAGGGATATTAACTTTTCGTTATCTTATCCTGGATTAGAAATTAAAACTAATACTACTACGGTATTATAGTTCCAATTTCGATTGTAGTTAAGCGTCATACTGATGCAATGGTATGACTGGCCAGGCGAGGTAAAAGACTTCCGAAACGAATCTGCGGAAATCCTCTACACTAGTCTTGCAGAGTTACAGTAACTACTCCCCTTTGCTCGTACTCTCCATTTCATGAAATGCTTGAGCTTAGCGCTCATAAATGCACAGCAATTTCACTAAAGTAATTACCTCTGTAGCAGGCGCACTGTACAAAGTAGTTGGGTTTGCTTTACAGTGCACACGTAAATGTTCAAATTGGTTTGCAGTTACGTAACAAAATTTCGCTAATACAGAAAGACACTACTGTATTTAAAAGCCGAAGTAAACTGTATATGACACATAGATACAGTATATCTCTATTTTAATAGTACTAATTCACTGGACTATTTGTGAGCGATGACATCACGGTATTCCTGATAAGGTGGTGTAATAGAATGACATAATGTATGATGTACGATATTGGGATTTGCAAGTACCTCAAATATGAATTGCAGCTTTATTGTACATACGAGGATATTTTACCGTAATTGTACAATACTAGTGTAGGTATCTGACATACGTAAATCGGTAAATGACATGTAGACACAGTATAAATCTTATACGTATATGAGTGTGGTGTTGAACAATCTACTACTGAACCATTTTTTGACGTATGGGAAATGCTATTTTGAAAATTAGGGAGCGCGAAAAGCTTCTTAAATCTAATTAAATTATATTTTTCTAGTGATTTAAATTCACATCATCCGATATCCGTATGTGCATAGTTTATTATTATAAATATTTCTCATACTCGCCTATTGGATTCGTTGTGATACTAGATGCAAAGCTGGGACTAATGGTGCAACATACCGTTTAGAGTGTGAATTTTATAATGAGATTGAACCCAAGGTAAGCCAGTATAGTAGTGCTAATTTGTTATATATATGTCATATCTACTACTGATATCATATTCGACTTCACTCGTTATAAGTATGTTTTGCAAATTGTATATAATTATAATTACGGATTTATCGAAAGTGACATGCCGCTTCTTTTATGGACGACTAATGATTAATACGCTAATTTTTGTAGGAATCAAAGCAGAACTTAACAAGTAGACAATTAGTTCTAAATATTAAAAAGAAGGAATCAGGCCCTTACTGGCCAAGAGTGCTAAAACAAGCGCAAAAGGTTTGACTTTCACAATATATTATTACGTCTTACTCGTTTGCATATTAATCAGGGATGTTATATATTGCAGCCTGGCTGGCTAAAAGTTGATTTTAATAGATGGAGAGATGAAGATGAGAGTGAAGAAGAGAGTAACGATAAGCCAGATTTTAGTCAGGTAAATTTTTCCCATTCTACTGTTTAAAGGTCACTTTTAAGTTACAACATTTTCGCTTTTGCCTGATCAATTACAGCATGACACGTTAATATAGTTAATCCGTCAATTGGTAAATTTAGGATTTGTTATTTTACTTTGATGATACTGATGCTTTAACATGTTGAAAGCATTTGCATTTGTCAAATGTCTACCATTAACACTAATAATAGGCTATAGCCTAATAGAAACTTTATTGACTGATCATAATTATTAACCGTTAATGATGCTATGGCAATATCATAGAAAATATTACTATCATAAGTATAGCTACGCTAATTACTAAAAAAACGATATTTATTTTTTCTTGCTTACAGTTGCTACATGCTTTACACTGCATTTTCTCTTGATTATCTTTGCTGTTGTTCTGAACTGCGATTTGCAATGACAATAATTCAATTTTTAATCCTGAGATGCGAACATTTTATGTTGATACAATAGATGATGCAAAATATGGGAGGTGGCGGCGGTATGCCTCCAGGCTTTGGAGAAGGTGTAAGTCTATCCTTGATGAAACTAATAGCAGATTACGTTATTGCGAATAGTTAAATTGAGACCTTTACTTCCAACCGTCTCGACGGTGTTGCATAATGTAGTCAGAAATTGCTTCAACTTGTCCTGTGAACTGTGCACGTTGCGTTATGATAACTACGATATCGATCATTCTTGATATCATTTACCAACTGAGCAAATAGGATTTTATCTGTTATAAATGAAATTTACTATTACTTTTATTATTGTAATTATATAAATGATTAACCGTAGATAGATATTTCGCATAATTCATATCGTTTCGCTATTACCTAGGATTTGGGTGACTTACCAGATTCGGATGATGATAATGATGATAGTGATGATGAAAGTAAGTGAAAGGATTACAATTCTGATATACTGGACATAGTATGCACACTAGGATACTATATTTATTCTTATTAATTTTACGCAATTTCATATTTGTATGTTATGTTCATATACTCTGTAATCTACTTCTCATCATACTGGTATTTCCTTTGACTAGAAATGCCTGATTTGGAAAGTTAAGAAGCCACAAGATTCTCTCAATTTGTGACTTACAAATAACGCTAGCTTTTCATTCTGGCTTATGATTAGTAGTCTATCGAGCATTGCTAGGTCACTGTTGTACCGAATTCATGATTGTGCTAGTGCATACAAAATAATTGTCATTGCCTTTCGACTAACCATTTTTTGTCACGTGTGTTAAGTATATTTCTGCAATGATACTGATAAATTTACGACAAAATGTATCTTTATGAAGTAGTTCATTTAACTGTTGTTTGTATGTCCATTTACGAACTCTATTCGGCATGGTTCTAATGTGTCACTTCCACTACTCGATAGATTACTTTGGTAGAAATGTATTTTGCAGTTTCCGATGATAATTAAACTGACTTACCTTTCAGTTTTCCCTGATTATGGTACAATAATAAATAATGGTAGTATTTATCCGTACTAGGCTAAACTATGATCATTGCAATTGTAGTTCATTTATTAGTCGTACATCATATGGTACCGTAGCGCCAAGTTGGCCTATCTAGTGATACTGCTGTCATAGGGAACACTAGTGCAAACTCCCGTCGCTTTGCTGACGGTTTACGATAATGTGCTCATTTAACAGATAGTATTACCATTTGTCGTAGACCTGTCAGAGGTTCAGTAACTTTATACCGTGTACTGTGTAGTAGTAGAGTGTATGACATATACTGATATACATACCGCATTTCTCTAATCTTCCAGTAACTCTCCATTTTTAGCTATGTGGAACACTCTTACCCACTCATTCATACTGTATAATATATATATATATATATATTAGTGCAAGCTCCCGTCGCTTTACTGACGGTTTACGATAATGTGCTCATTTAACAGAGGTTCAGTAACTTTATACCAGAGTAGAACTTGTTACAATACCTAAATCGGATATGTGTTATTGCACAGAAGGTAGTCCATTGCATTTACAGCGTGACTTATTTTGAAATAATGCTACGGTACTTAATATGGTAAGAAGTTTTTAAAATCAATCAATGAGAGAGTAAGTTTAAAGACGTATCACTGTCATTTCATAATACGGAGGTTAACTTAATTAACAAGATCGAAGTACAGTACCATAAACTACTGCATACACCGATGTATCTAGAAGTTCATGACAGTACAGTTAAATACAAGGCACATTTACGCCTACATTTCTATTTATTAACATCATTTGTGCAGCAGCTGTTATCCGAATATGAATTAATTGTACACTTACACAAGCTATTTCGGATCGAGGGTTAAGTGGTTTCCAAGTAGTACCATCGCAAACACGTAACTTATTTCCTGTCCCTCTTCTTTTCCTTTTTATTCAACAGAAAAGGACTCTAGTATGATCTGTAGTTTCTTAGACGCTGGGAACTCTGCAACAATTTCTACTATTAGTACGTATTCGAGTGTGGACGATAGTAGCAGAGTTCTTTGCCTGAAACGGCTATTTTAGTCGATTTTGTAGCTGATTACGGTAATTTTAACACTGTGTGCTACAAAGTGCAAGTTTTATTATTACTATATTTGTCGATCTTTCAACATGAGCTATGCCAAATGATACTGTTGTAATTCTGCACTGTCATTCGGCAGAAATTGCTCTGCTTCGGTTCTCCGGTTAGTCACAACACTGAAAACGACGAGTGTTGACAATTCTGTATTTGCAATCAAATACTTTTTACTTTGTGAACGAAATGACATAAACCTACAAACTAGAACTGAGAACTACCACTACAATCCCTCTTCCACGCTCTATCTTGCTTTGTTATATCAGAATTACAACAGCTCCTGGCGATTACGAAATTGAACATTTGCCATCGCTAAAGCTCGTGGCAACGATTAGACGCAATCTGCACCAATAGACATACTGTACTGTACAGTACAGTATGTCAGTCTGTCCGCTATTGGGCTGAGCCTTGACACTGGTGCACGCACAGTGGTAAGTGCTTTTACTAAGAGGAAGAGGTTTTCATTACCTCTAAAAACAGGTGTGGAGTATTACCACGGCATGAGTATCAGTACGGCAAGATGTCGCAGACTTGACTATACAATACAGTACGGTTGAGTCGCATCGAGGTTGACAGGCTTTTGTGACGTACATGCGACTACTCAACCGTTGAGAACGCTACAGCGTGCAGATATGATAATTAAGTTCATAGTTCATGATACAGGTCATCGGGTCACTGGTTACATAGCCAAGACAAGATGGTACAGTACAGTTCGACCTGACCTACAGTACAGTAGTGTAGTGCACCGTCACGGGTCGGTCTCGTTGGCGTCAGTTCAGGACCGCTCGTTGACGTCTTAGGCCTCACACCCAGCTCCAAGAGGGGCAAGTCAGCGCATCTCTGTTTACAAGTTGTCACTGTACTGTACAGCAGCAAAGGAAGGGTATCCAACATGGAGAGAGTTGATAAAATCTTCGGCCATTTAACCAATCAAACTGATTCCAGCAAAGCTGTACTGGATTTATTGCCAACCAGTAGTGCCTCCAAATTTTCTCAGCCTCATCCTGATGATGTCGTAGTTGTCTCTGCCAAAAGAACAGCGATATGTAAAGCAAATCGAGGTTCATTTAAGGTCGGTCGATCTTCTTCCTATCCATTATTTTGCGGAACAATATTGCGTCCCAAAAAAATCCAAATGCTTCTTCCTAAAATAGAACCTTCAATTTTGGGACTGTACTTTATACCAATGTATCCAATGCATTGAATCAGTTATCACTTTAAGTTGATGTAGATGGATACTTGTCAAGGCGACTCATTAGTACGAGCTTGAAAGTTGAATTTGAACTAGTCATCCATACGAGTGCGTCGATCGTGTCTCTTGTTAGCGTACAGTTGTTGTAGTCGAATTCAATGGCGTAATGTTGCAAATTTTGTTGCATTCATAAACTGTAAACTGATCTATACATACGTATCCTGCGCTTAGGACACACATCCAGCAGACCTACTAGCGGCAGCATTTAATGCTGTAATGAATGAAACCAAAGTTGATCCTGAAATTATTGGTGATATCCAAGTTGGTAAGTTTCTTGCACGCATTGAAGGAGAATTGAATTGGCTACCATAATATTATAAACTTGCAAAAACCCCAGAAAATTCGGCGGAATGGAATGCGATTTTAAGTTAGTAGCATGCCACACGTACAACCCGATTACAGTAGTAGGATTGAATCAAAAATGATAGTACCAGCAATCAGGAATTTTCTACCGTAGCGTTAATTCCATACTGCAGAAAACTAAGGGGGAAAAAAATGATCTTTTTACCCTGATATACCATGTTGACTAGATAAATACAGTAGGTTCAAGGCAATCTGGTTGACAGTAATGACAGCAACGTTCCTAAACTTCTTGTCAGCGTCATTACCACTGTACTGTATAGTAATATTTTACATGTTGGACACACCGACATCCATACTATTGTACTGTCTAAAACTAGGACTACCCTAATTACCTATCAATCTCGAACTACCCTATTTGGATTACTTTTGGATATATCGTACTGTTTATAGAATGTTATATACTGTATATAAAGCGTAATTCTGCACCTTTGTATCCCAATTTATGGCATAGATGGTAAAGTGCTCCGCATAACCGTAGCATGATTCATCTGTAACTACCCTTCTGAACATTTATTTGTTAATATTCTAGCAAACATTGTATCAGTATTGGTCTATTGTCATTGCAGACTGATTGAATAAAGCATTTCTACCTGCAACGAATAACTATATATCTTGATTCATTTTTATATTGTAGGAAATGTTCTCCATACTGGTTCTGGAGCAGTACTCGCTAGAATGACTCAATTCTATTGGTAAATGTTGTTTATGTATACAAAATCTTCGTATTATTATCAATATAGTATTAATTCTGAAAACACGTTTATACAAGGTGATCAATTTATGGTCAATTTACTTACCAAATACCGTAGGATGTACTACTTAATCTGAAGCTAAAATAAAATTTGGGTTACGTACTGTTTATTACGCGATATACGATAATCGGAATTCTATCAAATATCATAGTACTATTTATATAAAATCTTATTATCTCATTTGCAACCAACATTTTTGCACAGATGCTACGTATATTATTGTACGTACTGTATAGTTTAGGCCTGGTAAAAAATACGATATGTCATGTATGGTCATTTTATAGTATAATTATTTATCACCCTTTCTAGTGGATTACCCGAGACCATCCCTCTCAGCACATGCAATCGTCAGTGTGCGTCAGGATTGCAAGCAGTTGCTAATATTATCGGTTAGTATGCAATATTTATAACTGATACAAGTTACTAAATTATTTAGCAATACTACTACGATAGAAGTAAATATCATCTAGTAACTGCTGTCCTTCGTAGTTTGCATACTCTGAAATAAAACAACTTTTTGTAACGCTATACATGGCTAATTTCTGAATTCTTAAATCGATCATGAATGCAGAAGCTCTACTTTAAAGCTCAAATCTTTTTTCTGCTTTTTACAAAGTTGGTATCTTTGACTAATTATACGCATACGTGGTCTGTATTATATAGGTGAAATTAAAACTGGAGCAATTGACGTTGGCATTGGTGCTGGGTAATTGATAGGAAGTAGTCATTAAAGCAGCTTTTTGAATACTTACAGATTCAATTTGTATTAAATTGAATATTAAAAAAAATTTATCATTACTAAATCTTATTAAATTTACAGCCTTGAAAACATGACGCTACAAAAAGTTGCGGCCGATGATACCGTTTTATATCCGAAGCTCTTGGAAAATGAATTAGCAAAGGATTGTTTAATACCTATGGGAATTACATCTGAAAATGTTGCTCATCGGTTTGGTATAACTAGACAACAACAGGATTTCATGGGTTACTTATCTCAACAGAAGTATGATGCTTTAGTTATGAAGTTGATAATATTCTGACGTGTCTTTACATGATACTATTTTAAAATACTCGCTTAATAATTTCGTTGATGACTTGCCAAAAATGTTTTTGATACTATTTGATGCATTGTTACTTCATGATTATTGTTACTATACTATACTAGGGCTGCTAAAGCGCTAGAAGAAGGCAAATTTAAAGATGAAATTATTCCTGTGAAAACCCAAATCAAAATGAAAAATGGCGAAACTAAGGAGATTCTAGTGAGATTATTAAAATGATGCCTTAAATTTACTGCTTAATTGTAATCCGAATTAATAATGCCTATATTTTCCTCGCATTGCTGCTGAATGTAATTTCTTTTTATAATCTATCGTAATCTCCAAAACATATTTCTATAGGTTGATACCGATGATGGTATCCGTAAAGGCACAACCATGGAAACCTTAGCCAAACTAAAACCAGCTTTTAATAAAGATGGTTCAACTACTGCAGGTGGTTCATTCTATCTAATAGCTTATCCTTAATTTATCCTGTGAAAAAAATAAGCAAACCTATCTATAATAATCATAATCAAAAACCCTGTTTATCAGGCAATTCGAGTCAAAGAAGTGACGGAGCGGCCGCTGTCATGCTTGCTAAAAGATCGACTGCAGAACGCTTGGGTCTACCAATTTTAGGGAAATTTATTGCATACGCGGTAATTTGTAGTAGACGTCATAGTACAGCACCATAATCTATACAGTGTAGTGAGATGGCATTCCTTCTAAATTTTTCTTTCATTTCTACTGTAGGTAGCCGGTGTGCCACCAGACGTTATGGGCATAGGTCCAGCTTTTGCTATTCCAAAAGTTATGAAGATGACCGGTACAGATCCTTAATTGGTATAAATAGGGCTGGCTTAAATACGATTAATCTTTTTATTATTGTAATACATTCACAGATTTGTCCTATGAAGATGTTGACATTTTTGAAATCAATGAAGCTTTCGCTAGTCAAGTAAGTTAAAGATAAAAGATAATACAGTTTATCATAAATATTGTATTGTTTATTGACGTTTATGTTGGAGAAAGTTCAAGAATGTAATAACCGTAACGGAAATTTATTCCATTTTAGGCGACGTATTGTGTGCAAAAGTTAGGTATTCCTTTGAATAAAGTGAATCCTAATGGTGGTGCTATTGCTATGGGTCATCCTCTTGGATGTACTGGTGCTCGTATGGTAGCAACTCTATTACATGAACTCAAGCGTCGCGAGAAGAGGTTGCTAATTTTAATTGCACACGTATAGCTAACTGGCCATTTTATTTGATTACTTTAGTACAAGTATATTGCTCAATAATGCGACTTCCTTTCTTAACAGAGCTTATGGTATTGTCTCAATGTGTATGGGCTCTGGCATGGGAGCAGCTGCAATATTTGAACACAATCCTGCGGAATATCAACAGCAGTAACTTTGGATGGTTATGCTCATGATTGAAGCAAGTGTCGCCTTTCTTCAACTTCCTCCGAACTTCTTTTAGCGCACAATGCGCGTTAATTGTACGCTTAGTAAAGTGCTTCGTGGCGTAATAGAACGTTTAACTGAGTATGTTATACATAAGGCTTAGCTTAAATCGAAATGATGTTGTAGGTTCCTTGTAGCAATATCAACATATACGGTATTATAGTTATTCAGTATAACATATATAATATACAACTAGTATAGTGCTACACCTTATAGGCTAGTTGCGCCTGTCTTAATGATATTGATGTCTTTACAATATCGAATAGTCCGTACATGCAAGAGCGTTAATATTGGTATAAAAAATTTAATAAACATTATGTTTCAGTTAAGCGGTGTAATATGTGGGATACATTTGGTAAAATGACTGCTCCATTGATGTATGTTATATACATCCTAATCCTACCAAAATTTCAGCTATTTTTTCGCTTTAATGCATGACTTCATGTTGGTAATGCACTTTTAATCGAGAATGTTTATTACGATGTACTTTAAAAGCCTCATAGAGGACATCTTTGGTAAACATTAACCAATTCTATATATCTTCTCAGCGTTAGATTTGCTCACGGCTGCGGTATCTGCACTATACAGAGCAATAATTACAGTGTATGATCTGCAATGTAGTACTCACATGCCTAAAAAACTGCAATCTTATACTCCAGCATACAGTATGACCTATTGGAGCCTAAAATATGCTACGCCATATAAGCAATTAGATTCAGATTCAACATGCAAGCTAGAGTTCGATTTAAAGATTTAATCACTAGGTACTGTAGTATAGATGCCAATTCTAAAACTATCATACACATAAGATGCGTAATTTTTCAAATTTAACTGAGTGTATGTCTATAAGGTTCAGGTATAGCTCGTAATAGATCTTTTTCCTCCATAAATTTTCTGTTGAATAATCGCGAATAGGAACGTTGGCCACCGTCACATAAACATGTGACAATTGTTTTTCCGGGTCCTACCATCTTTGCTACTTCAACTGCAGCAGCCACATTTAAACCAGATGAAGCACCAACATAGATACCTTCTTCATGTAGTAATCTAATCAATTAGAAAATCATAGTTTGTTTCTAGTTAAAGCTAAGTGTATAACTGCGTTGGCACACCATCGAGTAAATATTAACTGCTACTTAATATGCCAATGGTTAACGTACAGGGTATATACTAAGCGCATGCTGTAATAACAACAATCATTACCAATCAAATTTGATATGATTTGAAGATAGCAATGCCTCTAGCAAATATCTACCATGTCAAAAATTAGCGTTATCACATTACTTCATTAAGAGTCATATATCCGCACCTAAATGTCATGTTTACTGCATCAAAATCGCTAATGCTAACGGCGTCATCGACTGGAGCACCCTGCAAATTGGCGGTTACTCTACCTTGACCTATTCCTTCTGTAATCGAACTACCTTCTCTTCTTATCAGTTCGCCTAAAGGAAAGAATCAGTAAATTAACTAATTTACGATAAAATAAATAAATTGGTAATCACTGTTGGCGAATAATTCATAATTATAATAGAAGATTAAATCGATGGCTATTGACAGCACATGAATGCCTCTTTTCTATTATTGCATTACGTAATGACTATACTTTAGTGGCCCTTACCAGTTTTAACGTAATTATATAAAACGCTGCCTTGAGGATCCGCTAATATCGCTTTGATATTAGGGTTAATACTTTTAAGAAACATCGAGGTTCCGGCTAATGTACCTCCGGTACCAGTAGCAAAAACGACCACATCAACGGTGCCACCTGTTTGTTTCCATATCTCTGGTCCAGTCGTTTCGATGTGGGCACGTCGATTAGCTACACTGTCAAACTATGGCATTATGCAATGAAACAAGAACATCAGATAGTGTCAGCAATAGAGCTTAAAATGTGCAATGATCCTGAAATGTAAACTGAAACAGCATAGGTCACAGAGATGGACTCGTTTAATATAACTAGTCATTACTTGAACTCACACTGTATACGATTTAAGCTTTACTCAGCCGGTCTACAAAACAGATGCTCGTATTAACTCGCAGTCTAGGATGGCAGAATTGTTGCCAATGCTTATTACAGTTGTACACAATGTACAGACTACGAGTAACTGGAAGTACTTGAGTTAAACACTAGCTAAGTGCCGTACCATCTATAAGAAATAAACGTTTGGACAACTGATAAATTTAAATAGTCTGATGTGTGGAATAGGCGTATCCACTATACAGTATACTGTATACTGTACAGTACACTTATATTCATTTGTTATTCATCTCACAGTAAATGTTATGATTGAATCATAGCAAAAAGTCTGCATGCGCAGATATGTTGTCCATGTGTATCGTTTGCTTTAATCAATGGCGTATCGCCTACAGCTAGCTGTAGGATCTTAATCCATTCTATTTAATTATTAATTGTCAATCTTTCACTATCGACGATTTTTAAATGCAGAACTTGCACGTTAAACAAGCATGACTGTTGACAGCATAAATGGAGTATTTGTCTCAAGTACCTGATTGGTCCAAACAGCATTATCTAAACTGTCTGCAAATCTCATGGCCTGATGATTATAATTGTTAGGATCATCGTAAGGAACAGCTGGAACAGGTCTAACGTCCGCTCCCAAGGCTCTCATTAGATCAATTTTTTCCACAGATTGCGTATCAGGCATGTAAATAACGCATTTATAACCCAAAGCATTACACAAATGAGCTAAACCTATACCGGTATTTCCAGCAGTTCCTTCTACTACCGTCCCACCGGGTTTCAATAATTGCCTCTCTTCAGCATCTTTGATTAAATATAAAGCAGCTCGATCTTTCACTGAGCCCCCACAATTTGCAAACTCAGCTTTAGCAAGTATTGTGCAACCAGTTTCTTTGCTCACTTTCTCTAAGTAAATCATGGGTGTATTGCCGACCATGCCAGCGAAACCATGGCGATATTCCGTTGTTGCATAGCGTGATAAACGTCGTGTGACTATTCCGTAAGCTGTTGTTAATGGATTGGAAATCAAATCAGCTCGTTTGACTATCTTGACAATTGAGTTTGACATAATGCTGCAAAAATAGAGACTTTGCACCTTGGGAGAGACACAAAAATAGAAATACTCTCCACTCCTGGAGGCCCTGCTTAAACGTTCTTGACACCACGTAATACGCAGTTGCAACTTGTACTACTCTAGTGAGCAAGAAGCGAGAAACGCCTCGTCATCTCTGCAAAGAACTGGTGTCACCCCCAACGGTTGGCATGGCGCGGCTGATTTGAAGACTTAAGACGATTTTGACTGTCGGACATGCAATAATACAGTACATTAGTAATGTATTATCATGATCGAGGGTGTCACTAGTTTAAATCAATTTGACCCAAAAACTCCCCAATGATCTTCCGCAAATAGACTGCAGTACAGTACTGTATCTCAATGACACGAGCGGGCCCACCCTCGCTCATAGTACTGTACTGTACAGTACTGTACACTGTATGAGCTCATAATACCGTACAGTACAGTACAGTACTGTACTGTAGTAGCCGAGGATGACACAGTGCATAGTACTGTGCATTGTACACTGTACATTGTAGACAGGATCGAAAGTTTCGAATACAGTACGGCTGTCGACATACTATACAGTATCTAACTGTTTAGTATATCGAACTGTTTAGTATGCCTTGAAGAAGGTTTGCTCCCAACTCTAGAGTCTCGATGGGAAGCAATGATAATGAATTAATGATACAATAACACTAGAAGTCGAAGAATCCTTCGATATTATCGCTACTATATCAATGACTGTCTGTTTATTTATTGATATATTACTATTTGTGCATATAAAGTACAATACTGTAAATAGTTTGCATCATAGACTACTGTCACAAAACAGCTTTCGTGATCGTTCCTAAACTAAACTATCTACTCTTAAGGTTCCCCAACAAACTCCGCAGATCATCCGGAAAGGAAAACGAACTTATTCCTATACTATAGTAAACATACAGTCCAACGATAGGTTTAGGTTATTAACTATTTTATTGGTAACTATTACAACTTAGTACCAGTGTACTCTAGCTTAGCCACAGTGGAACTGAGATTAAAAATTAACATTCAGAACTGCCCATAAAACTTACTGATGAACGAGAAAAAAGGGAACGGCTTTTGAGGGACTAGCTATTATAATACGTATAGTTTCCGTCATGAATTCAATACCCGGGACTATTTCATAAAAAAATGGTGCATTTTGATACTTCATTTCCAGCAAGAAAATGCAATTTTGTGTGTGTGACATATACAAATCATGGGAAAAATCGAAAAGTCCATGACGATGTATTAGTGATGCTAAGGATAGCACTCTTTCCTTGTAGTAGTCTCTGAAGTACAGTATACAATACTATCGAGGTGTGAAGCTCAATAAAGATGCTCGAAATATGTGGAGAAAAATGATGCTTTTATTGATTCATTTAAAAAATGGATGAAAACAAGCCTGAAGAATGGGAGGACAGAACAGCAACTGGAGAAAATGCAAAAGCTTAGGCTTTTACCTCTGTCGTTCAGACTAGACCAACATACTGTGCTTTACATGTACTGTAGTAATATCTAAATCATAGCTTATTTGTCTGTTAATAATTATATGATTAATTAATAAAGCTGGCGAAGCGTTGCTGAATTTACATTTTAAATTTTAATATGGCATGCTATCATGTTATACAAGTTCACGTTAATGACTACCGGGTGATTCGATGATCATAATAAATTAATGACACAGTTAATAGTTCGATGTCAACCAACTTTTTAAGGGTTATTCTGTGAAGTAAGAAAGTTATCATATAGTATTAGGTATGATCCTTCAGCTAATACTGTAGTCACAACAGCTTTATAGTATTATCTGCCACTTCCAATTCGAAAAGGCATCGTTGGTATAACTTAAGACAACATCAGCTATTGACTTAAAATGAATGATAAAAGACTGCCTGTTTTGTTTATTAGTAATGATCGTGCACTGCGATATGTCATGACATTTAGAGGATGATGGAAATACATCTAGCCGATTGAATGGATACACTGAATTTTATAATCATGAGATAAAATTCGACCTAAGACTACACAAATCGATTTTAAAAGCAAATTCTATCTATAGCGATTGAAATATATCAAGCTCGTATTTATAATTATATTATACCTTTGGTTAGCCATGCAGTAGTAGGATACCGTGTAGATGATAAATCTCAACCTCAGAAAAAATAGTGGATATACAGTAATTCAGTCTAGTATGCCATGCACTTATGCAATCAAGAGGTAAAATAGTAATTATTAAACCACTTCAGGATTATTATTAACTGAGAATGGAGTAACATCAGTGAATTTTCTAGATAACTGTAAAAAAGGTTGAGCTACCTGCACTGCTTATAAAGGTTACCATTTTATATGGTCATCCTGCCTACAGCACAACGATCGATATTACTGTCTGTTCACAGTAATATCGAGTAGACGGTAGGAATACCTCTATTGACGTTTTAGTGTACCCAAATGGTAAAAAAGTTCATTTTCTATTTATATAAAAACTAGTACGTTATCAATCTTATTACCGTACCTAAAGTCAATTCCAACTTATAAAGTAACAGTTATTTTGACATTATAACAGTCAATTCTCTCTTTAGCCAAAGAAAAGAACTATGTATTATCAATACATGGGGATTAAAGAAATAATTCTAGCCGAGCTTAGGAATAAACGGTTGTAGAATGAAATTTGTCAGAGATCAAAAACGATTTTGATGCCTATATATTAATGTTTTACGTCAACATAGTAGACGTAGTATTTCAGATATTATACTAATCTACGGTACTGCTCTACTTCTTCACTAAATCATCTAGCGTTTAGCATAACAATTATAGCATTGTTGTAATCACGCCTAACAAATACTATACCGTACGCAAGTTGTACTGTTTAACATAGATGATAACTATCACTGTATATTTTAACTGGTACAAATAAATAATCAGCAAAAAGATCCAATTTTAACGTATGGCATAATATATAAACAATAGGCTGGATAATGCTTGCATATAATAATATATATATATAAACTTGGATAATGTTAAAAAATGGACAATAAGAAATCATAACAATAGCGTCTGATACAACGTCGTCTATTTAACTTTAAAGGAGTTCGCTTTTCGCCTATCTATTATAATATTGCTTGTACTTCCATCATCATCGCACTAATTTTTCATCGTAATCAACAAGGGTCATTTTTCCCCTTCTATTAACGATCGATTTTAAGCCAATCCAAGGTAGTATATTTGAGAAGTAAGTTGACACAAATTGGATAGAATAACTTGATTTTGAGATCGAAAGATTCAATAGAAGTAAATTTTCAAAATAATTATTCCAGAATAATGTAAAAGTGAAAATTAAAGACTAGAAAGACTTGTTTTTTTTCCCCCGTTGTATAAGAATTACTTCTTGAATGTAGAGATTAATAATAGCGCTGATAATGCGCGTATTTTAGAAAAGTGGTAGCTATAATATACCGTAATTCAACTATAAATATTGAATATATGCAGTAGCTCATCTCTAACAATGACAAACTAACACGGCCAGCAAGTACTGTATGAATTCAATGAATACACATAGAGCAAGATAATAGCTTACAATTTACTGTTAATCAACAATCTTTAAATCAATCTATTTATCCAGTGCTACTATATCAGATGCTGCAGTAGTACTGAGATAATGAATCGTTGAAGAGTAAGTAAAATCTAATCTAGATGTAAGCTAGGATATTTTTAATTCAACTACCACCAAATTAGAATATCAAGATAGATTTTATTATCGAACACTCCAACTTACTGTCATTCTATCTCGTAATAATAATAGCCAATTTGTTGAACAGCGATTGAGATATCACTCTTCGTCTCTTTAAATTTGACTATCTTCAATTGCTAATCGATAGCGTGAATCATGGAAGAAAACCTGAACCAGCCGCCACGTTATCAACGCTATATGAATTGGTCTCGAACAGCTACCAATTTGACTGACATTGTTCGGCATGGGACAGTCCAAACTTGTCAACTCATCCAACAATTACGAAAAAGGATTGACAATATTTTCATCGATTCAACAACTAATCAAGATACCAATCCACCCTATTTCTTACATCTGATGTGTGGCGATGGAACAACATCAACATTGATTAAAAGTTGCTTTCAACAAATCGGTTTTGATCGCATACGGGCAAAAGGCATAGAATTATGTGAAGAAAGGATCCAATTGTGGAAATCAAAATTAAGTTCTGATGATTGTATCTATGACTACGATTTAATTGAAGAAGGTTTCAATTTTGAACAATTTAGTGGCAATAGTGATACCAATCAACATGATGGCCAGCGTAATCAGCCCATAAGTATCTTTTGGCAATTTAGTACTTCCTATTTATACACCATGAATGATAATACTTGTGGCACTCCGGCTGAATTTACTGATCAACCACGACTTAAATCAGCTCTACTATCAATTCACCATCAGTTAGCAAGTAATGGTATCGCTTTCTTAACTGATTTATGCCCTGGGCTGATGGGTGTCTTAACAAGTTATTTCTCCAAAAGATCTTGTCCGTATGGCACGTTAGCTTTAATTCATGCTTGCCAAAAGGAAGGTATTCCCTACAGCGTTATAACTATGAAAGATATTATACCGCTACCGCAAGTTAATGATAATGTGGAAAAAATAATCACCGCGGAAAAATTGGATAAAGCATGTGCCGACGATCAAGCTAGACAAGTTTGGGATATTTTAGAATTTATCAGTCATACACCACTAGAAGAAATTGGTATGGAGGATTTTTTAAAATTACAATTTCCTGCCTTTACGTTTCAACATTATAATTGGCAAAGACGGAAGCAATACTATCAGGGATATCAATTACTGGCAAAATTCTGCAGTCACCAATTGCCGTTATACTATCAAACTATCGTTTTAACATCGCGTCAAGGATTAACTGAATTAGTTAATCAAATTCATCAGCAAGTTGCTGACATTAATCGTCAAACAAATGTTGAAATTGATTTTGATCAAGTTGCTGAGTTTAAGAGCCAATTTGTTGAATTACTTGATCCACAAGGCCCAAGTGAATCTTCAACTTTTCAATTTACATAATACATGTTTCCTTTTTATAACCTAGAGATATGAAGTGAAGCCTTTATATTCAATTGACAGTCGATGATAAAGTATGGTTATCAATATTGTAGATAAAAGTGAATTTCTGAACTAAATTTCTTTGTTAGTATTAGTATGTAAAGATATCTTTATTAGTTACTATATAGCTTTCGATAGGTTATAACGAGATAGACGTTACACTACCTTACGTATGAACGGTAGGGTTAATAATTGTATCGACTTAGTCAGTAATCCGTAGAGAGTTACAATATCATATATGGTAGCGCAAGATCTAGTAATATTCTATTTTATGGAGCTAATTTTTGAGCAAATTTGTATGACTCATAGACTCGTGCAAGTGTATTGATTAGATATAGCTTTCAATACACAGAGATAACGAACTATTAGGATATGATAATTCACGTAGATATACTGCTATAAATTATACTGAATTAATGCAATATCAAGCAGTACGAAAATATGTCCAGTAAGATATAGCAGTAACATATTGACAGTGAAAAAACTCATAGTAACAATAAGTAATTACCTTCTGATTTACCATATTACATAATATTAGCTGAAGTAATGCAACCTATTGAGTAGAGATACAGTAATAACGTATAGAAAAAAAGAGTGTAACTAATATAGCTTCCGATCGGACATTCTCGCAGACCGTAACTATGATTGAGTGAGGACTTTTAGTCATTACTTTAATTTGTGGTAATTGCAACACATAATGATGGCTTATTATAGTATAGTTACAATAAATGTTCAGTATAATTTCTACAATGTGCAGTACTATTTATTAGCCGTATTATTATTCTAATGATCTCGTCAGTCATAGTTAACAAGTAATTTTAGAAATTATTTGCAGTCCTATCTACACATTGTAAGGGAATGGCTTTCTATTCCTACCTTGCAAACTATATATTAAAAGATGTACCACGATTGAATATACACTGTCTCTATAAGTGTGTACAATTGTTGAACTCTTCATTGATGGTTTCTTATCAAATTGATTTAATAGCTTTAATCGCATTGACACGGCATGTACTTAGTCTACAATCGATATTCCTTTAGGTTATAAGAATATCTTGAGGATTGCATAATTATCCTTGTATGAATAGGTTATGAAATTATCTACAATTTTTCTTGTACGGCGCGTAGATAAAAATACCTACCGTAAATTTGGCATACCATAGTCAAAATAGGGAGTAAGACAGGCATAAAATCGGATGATATTTGATGTCTTGATATCCCGACAACATAGTTGTATCGAAATATAACATTGGAGCTATAATGGAGCAAGGATACCAGAGCCGATTTACATTTTGAAATCTAACATTTATAGGATTTATACATTACCGTATATTGTATCGTAGTTTCTATCTTGAAATCATGATATACTGTATAGTAAATAATTATCATTGATTATAATTATCCTTGCATCGATTGCTATAAACTATTTCTGTTTTTACTATTTTACTCCAGTCGGAGAGTCAGAAATCATCTTGCTCTAATCATATAAACGAGTCTACTGTCTGAATAATAAGCCATGTGTGATTGGAAATTCGCAATGGTGGATATGCTGTACTCGCGAGAATTCAGATTCCTAAGGCGTAACTGGACCTGCATTCAGGAATATTGTAAAACCTGTCATTGTATTAGTCGAGTGACTAAGTAATGATCGGATTTTTGTAGAGTTAACAATTTGTAATTATAGCGTATGTAATTGTCCATTCCTTGCAGATATCTACGTTACTACGTATAATACGTATAATATGAGGGGATTTTGTGTGTTACTTTAATTAGATGAGTATATCTTTAATATGATATGAGAGAGATTCTAAACGAAGAAAAATCCTATCGTTACAACTAGTTACAACTCTACATGAAGTACACAATATTACAATACGCCATTTATAGCATTGTATCATTGAAAGGATGCTTTACGAGTTCAAATCATAATGCGAAGTTAATAACGAAAGGAAATTCTTACCAGATCATTTTGATGTCACTTTATCACAGTGCTATACATAATATGCTAGATAATATTTATACAGCATTTTAGATTGCATGAAATTGTCTATTCTATACAGTGGAAAGTATTTCATAAATGCAATTTACAGCACTGTTCGGAAGAAAGGTTTTACTTTTATGGTTGTGAGTGGTGACCATACAGGTTCTTTACCTCTACTCGCTGAGACTACTTACAGCATCATGACTCTTAATTGTACGTTAAATTGTAAGATTGTGTGCAATTGTCTGTTCGAAGATTCTAAATAGAAAGCATTCATAGAACACAATTTGCAGCATTGCGCGAAAGAAAGGTTTTTACTTTTATGGTTGTGAGTGGTGACCATGGAGGTTTTTTTTACCTCTACCAGCTGAGACTACAGCACGACTATTTTTCAATCGAACATTAGATTGTGTGCAATTGTCTGTTATAAATAAGAAAGTATTCACAAACGCAATTTACGACATTGCGCGAAAGAAAGCTATTTACTTCTATGATTGTGAAACCTCGAGATGGATGAAAAAGTCTAAGGATAAATTAGGATATTCCTGGGCAAAACTTAAAGAAACGGAGAGCTTAAGGTAGTTTCTTTCTGCGGGTAATTTGATACTCTGTCTAAGGTGGATAAAAAGCCTTGGAATAGAGAGCTTATGTTTTTTGGTGACCGTAAATCACATATGATCCGAAAGCTTTTTACTTGTACGCTTGCGAAACCTCTATGGTTGTGAATGGTGACCATAGAGGTTTTATTTTTTACTTCTACCAGCTGAGACTGCTTGCAGCATGGCTACTGTTCCATTGTACTTTAGATTGCAAGATTGTGTGCAATTGTCCGTTCGTTCTACAGTATATAGGAAGCATTTATGAATGCAATTTGCAGCGAATATTCTTATTCTGTGTGCTTCAAGTTTTAGACAAAGTAAGAAAGTGAACTTTATTTCAGAGTTTAAGTTTAACCATGTCGGTCATGTTGTCATCTGATCCGTCATGTTTTATACGAAATAATAAACTAACCCTCATTCTTATTCAGCGTGCTTCATGTTTTATACAAAGCAAGAAAGTGAACTTTATTATAGCGTTTAAGTTTAAGCATGTTATTGATGTTTTGTCGAAATAATAAACTAACCCTTATTCTTTCTTATTCAGTGTAGTTCACGTTTGTAGTGATTTCAGCTAATTACAGTAGTTTTGTTTAAGCAACACAGTGATAGTATGTAGTGAAGAATTGTATGTCTTCGTAAAGTAAGTGTTGATAAGGCTTGCATGATGAAACAGTAAACGTTTAGTATGTGCTATATAAGGCCGCAATTGATAGCCATATTAGGCAATGCTATTAAGCAAAGTACTAAAGTGATGGATGACTCCTTTGTAGAGGAGCAATTGATGATAATTTATAAGTCGATTATCCGGTTTATCTTAGCCATTTTCGACTGCTATGATGAGGGGAAGAAATTGGGGTTCTTCTCCGACGGACGATACACGGACGTTCATAAACTTCACTGCTATAAGTCAATTATACGGTGTTGACTATTTTGTGTCACATTAGGGATTTGCTTGATTTTAACAACTCAGAATTTTGAGTTGACGGATTAAGAACCTAGGGTTAACAACGCGTACACTACAATATTTTACACAAAGTAAGAAAGTAAACTTTATTTTAGAGTTTTATTTTAACCATGTTGGCCATATTTTGTAGGAAATAATACACTAACCCTCATTCTTATTTAGCGTGCTTCATGTTTTATATAAAGTAAGAAAGTGAACTTTATTTCAGCGTTTAAGTTTAAGCATGTTGGTGATGTTTTGTCGAAATAAGAAATTAACCTTCATTCTTATTCAGTGTGCTTCATGTTTTATATAAAGTAAGAAGGTGAAGTTTATTTTAGCGTTGAAGTTGAACCATGCCGGTCATGTTGTCATCTGATCTGTCATATTTTATACGAAATAACAAACTAACACTTATTCTTATCCATTTGATTTCTATTTTATTCATATTTTATATAAAGTAAGAAAGTGAATTTTATTTTACCAAACTTTTCTCAGGTCTGTTGCCATCATGCTGTTTTACGTCCGAGTGTCTACTGTATAGTACACCATACAGTCGTTGTGGAAACTTACTATGTGTACTGTATTGGTGCTGTTCAAGTGTTTTCACTCATCTTTGCCTGTCAGACAAACTTTGGCGGGAAAAGGGAAACCACCCCTCCTGTTGCCACCGGTATGAGTGTATAGTAAGTACAAGTACGGTATAGTAATCTACTGTTAGCTGTGACGGTGGCCACCGGCTGCTAATTCGAAATCATCCTACAAAATCGTCCCGCCAGGTATCCTTGGATATGTATCATGGCAACCAAAACTGTTAAGAGACCAAGTCAAGGTTAGATCTACTCGTCTCGATACGATTCTATATATATATACACTTATTTATGATCGGTTATCCAGTATTCTGCTACAAACGAAATGCAAACTCCATGTTGCATGCCACTTCGACCGTATATCGGTCTACAGTCGTCAAGAGATATCTGCGGGTTGTTGTTGTATGATATTGAGTATAGCAATTCTTCTGCAATAGAAGTTGCTCATGTTTATAGGCCACCAATGGAGTGATGCACGATCGAGTATCGTAGATACCGTAGATATCAACTAGTTGATGTCGGATGGAAATCAACTCTTCTACAAAAATAATAAAAATGAATGTTATGTGTCCAGATCACCAATGTATCGATGTAATGACTGGCTAAATGGTGTCCATCAACCCTTCGACAAGAAATGCTTCATGTTACGATTGCACTCATCCAATACTAAGTAGAGATCGATTAGTTGCTGTTAGATGTACATCCGTTCTTCTACGAAAGATCTGAATGTTTGAAGCCACGAATGCATCATTGCACTGTAGGGTAGATGTCGACCAGTTGTTAGTATGGCTTGCATGAATTCTTCTGCAAAAGAAATCAATCTTATAGAGTAGATATCGATTAGTTGATATATAATGTCCATCAATGCTCCTACGAAAGAAATGAATGTTATATGCCCAACTGCGGAAACGCCTAGCTGTAGAGTGCATATTCGGGTAGTTGTTGGTATAACGTGCATCAATTCTTGTTGCAAACGCAATGAATGTTATACAGTAGATATCGACTAGTTGCTGTAGGATGCACATCAATGCTTGTGCAAAGAAATGAATATTATAGGCTACCAATGTATCATTGCACTGTAGAATAGATAGCGACTAGTTATTGATAGGATGTGCATTCATTCTTCTACTAAAGAAATGCATCTTACTTGCCGTTAATGTATCATCGATGTACTGTACCGATAGCTGAACCTTCTGTAGCCAAACCTATGCGTACATTATAGTTACGAAATTGAGTTACAGTGATATTATATGATAGCATACAAAGTGTATCTTTTCCATTGAGATTGGAAACGGCTAAAGACATTGGATAATACTTAATTTAAAACGGTCATTTAACGCCAATTTTATATATTTATGGACACTATATGTACGGCATAACTTTGACTAAATAATATATTGGTCGATATTCCAGGTAATGAACTAATACTGGGAGCAACTGTTGACGATGATGAGCAGAACATCTTACAAGATGATGGCGATAGTAAGTATGATCACATAGCATATTCCAATCATAACAGTCACTATAATATTAGTTTATGTTAGAGATTTCTGCATGCAAAGATTGAATGATTGCAATACGTTATTAGGCAATAGACTTTCTATTTCATTTAAAGGGGTAATCGACCCCTAGCACACGTAATCATCCGAAAATTATTTTTGTTTATTTTATTTTATCATCACCAAATTATAATTACGAACGGTACTACAACTAGGAGTACTTGACATCATTAAGAATTGATTGATTATGTCCATAATAATTCCTAAAAAACTATTACGTAAACTTTACTTTGATTAGGAATACCATAATGAAATCGCTGCAACGTTTCTACTATTACTAAATTACCTGTAATCATAAATTGATAATGCTAAAAACTATTCATTAGGTGATGACAAAGAGGTGGAAGAAATTATGATGCTAAACTTATATAATTTCGATGATGACAAAATGCAAAATTGTCGATATATTTTAACTAGCCCCAGATCACTTGAGGTAATTATACCTAACCTAATCACCTCAATTCATTGTGTAAAAATATAACTATTAATTTCATAATTAATCAAAATTTAATACTCCTTGTCGTCAAATTTTGTTTACATCAATACTAGGCTTGTGCCCGTCACGACATCAAGGTACATTAAAAATTTAAAATATACTGCAATCTTTTGCTCTTTTCGCATGTAATATCTGCTTGCAAAGAAAGTTAAAGTACTATACATTTAATGCTATGCTGTCATTTCATTAATTTCTAACTTAACCATCAGCCAACGGAACTATTGTACAAAAGTTTATCTGAAGTAGAAATCCAATGTAAAGAAGCTGATCCCAATTTATCGTACAGTCAAATATATACCAATTACAGAGATATGGAGGCGGAAAGGCGGCGTAAGATAGGATATTCATAATATCACAAGCTGTAGAATGGAATTATTTTTGATAGGACGATTGTGGAGGAAATTGCTAACGACACTATGAAATTATTGTGTTTATAGGTAAATTAAAACTTTGTCGAGAAGAGCGCGAAAGAATGATGTGGCAGGAGAATGAAACAATAGCTACAGGTAGTCATTTCACAGTTTGATTAAGTTGCATCTGCATCTGAAGTTTCGATTTTGGCTGTTTTGAAATGATAAATAATATTTTTCATTGCCATTATAACCGACATGAAGACGTAGTTGATCCTCCTCATGAGGAAATAAAAGAATCAGGCCGAACAGGGAAAGTTTTACGAAAGTATTCTAGTAAGTTTTACGTACCTAGGCTTATGATAACGATTGATTCAAAGCTTAAAAACCTTTCTCTTTTTCTATCTTGAGTAGATGATGAGTTAGAAAGGATAGTCAGTGAATTTAGAAGAGAATCATTACCACATTCCGAGCAAGATGTTCCGCAAATGATAGTTAAGAAGCACAGCAAACCAAAGTTATTATCTGTTTTCTTGTAACATACACGTAGTATAGCAAGCTATCCAGAGTAATTTAACTACCCAAATACGAGTTTCGATATAACTGATGTTTAAAGTAATATAGTTGTTAATTATTTTAAGATCAAAGAAACAGCCTGCACGTAATAGAAATTCGAAAGTGATCAAAAACCGTAAAAAGAAATTGGAAAGCATTAACATTGGAGTACCTGAAAAAGTAACAAAGAATAATAAGCTATTGATGCATGTTATTTGATTTTTGTACATTAAGATTTCTCACATGTTAAGCCTCGAAAATGATCTATTATACTCTTTATACTTAACATTTTAATTTTAAATAATAGGATCGGAAAATTATAGAATTAATGCTTAATAGACATAGAGAGGAGGAAGAAAGTGATAGAGTCAGAAGACTTGCGAATTTAAATTGGGAACAACAAAGACTGGCTTTAGATGAAAAAATGGCAATGAATTTAAATCGCAAAAAGGAGGAAATTAGAGAATCAAATCGTGCTAGACTTGCAGCACAGGTAGATAATTAACTATAGGGAACGTAAGATATTGAATCAGTTTATTAAACAGCTTTATATTTGGATGTCAATTTGTTCGTAAGCGCAGTAAGCAGCTGATATTTAAGTACTGCTTCTGATCTGAACATATTTGTTGTAGGAACAACAGAAAGCAAAAGTTGACTATGAGAATGAAGTACAAAGAAAATTCAAAATAGAAAAAATTCAAGAGAAGGATGCTAAATTGGCAGCTATTACATCAGCTAAACAAAAGTTATTGGTAAATTACACACATACGTTAAGGTTGTCTTTCGTTCATTTGCAAATAAAATAAACAATTGACACATGAATAGGAACAGCAAATTCAACTGAAAATATTACAAGATCAATCCAAAAAAAAGAATCAAGTTAGTCGCGATATATTAAGTTAATTGCTAAAATATGTTAGTTGATACTCAAAATTATAAGGTATTGTATGCCCCTATTACGTTTAGATCGTACCTTGAAGGCATACAAAGATACGTATAACATTTACTTTCCTAAATTGCGTTAGTTACTATAAAGTGTGATTATTATTTAGTAATATAAACTTACCAGTAGATTTCTATAACACTACATGATTGTCCTGATCTGATTATGTAGCAATTGTACTGGTTAAGATATGATCAAAACTCCTCTAGGGTGTCGTTGAACTTTACGGTGTTAGGAAATCTTTCTTTCCTAGTAGGATTACTAAATTCTATGTCATCAACAGTGTAACACCGTAATTTCATGATAACATTGTAGGAGTACAATCTGAAGGTAGAGGAAGAATATCGAAACGCTAAAGCCATTCAAAATCATTTAAGAAATTTACGAATTGAAGAAAATGCTAGAATTAACCGTCAAATCCGAAGTCGTGAAGATCAACTTGTAAGATATCTAATCAGCATATGATAATATCAAATTTGAGCTATGTCATCATCACTCTTCGTATCTATAATAAAAGATACAATAAAGATATGTTATCAAAGTAGCTGTAATGTACAGCAATTCGCTACAATCCCTAACATTAAATTAAATTAATTAAGACGATAACTAAATCTTCCTATTGCCATGTAGAGAATTGGTGCAAATAATTTAAAAAGTGAGCTAGAACATGACAAAAAGAAATATGACAATGAGATGAAAACAAGGTAGGTTTTGAAAGCACCAGCTATTAGAAGTAACTTGTACAAATTATTTGAATGTGATATCACATTAGCAGCGCTGTGGGTACTTATTGCGACATTTCGTTTTTATATATAGGGAAGATCAACATTATTTACAAAATTCCATTGAATTAAAGCATTTAAGAGCTGATACTAATTATAAGCGGCAGCAGCAAATTAAGGCTGAAGAAATGAGGGCTGAGATGTATGCTAGCCAGAAACTAAACTGCATAGTCGCTCTTATATTATAATTATTACTTATAAAATTAGCCGCTTAATTCGTTAATAAAATGTGAAATAATCTTAGATTTTGAAGTAGTTAGTAAACTTAACAAAATGATGCATAACTTATGTAAGAATTAATTATAATATCCGAATAGCATGAAAATGCAAAAACAATTTCGTAAGCAACAAGAAACTGCTAAGTTGATGACCGAAGAACATGACGAATGGCTGAAGCATCTACAACTAGAAGAGGATCTGGTAATCATGATTTAGTTGGTTAATGTTGAAATTGCCTTTGTTTTGTGATGAACTATTTCATTTGCCATTGAAGAAACTCGAAAAAGCAGAAACGATTGCAGCGTTAGTTAAAGAGGAAAAACGATTTCGTGCGAAGGAGCAAAGGGAAGCTCGTCAGGCCGGTCAAAAATTAAACATGAAGAAGTAAGTTTCAATCATTTAACGCTTACTGTGTATCTAAAATAATAGTATAATATGGCTATAAATTCTTCGTTATTTAAAGGATTAAGAAGCAGGAAGAACTTAAGCAAAGATATACTACAGCTCAAGCTATGAGCAAAGATAGGAAACGACAGCAGATTGCTGCAGCCAAAGAAGAAAATTTAAGCAAAGTATGTCATATAGCGGCATAGTCATTATTATGATGGTTACACTACTGCTGTTATAAATATTTCTCTTGGATAATGGACTATAGTCTATTGAATTTAACGTCTATATCTCTTTCATTAGTTAAGGGATACAGCACGAGCAACATCCCTTATGCGATATAAAGTTAAAGAAATGACCGCTAAAAGGTATGTACAAATATTGTCATTGCGCGTTAATAACAATAAAAGAAATATTCATTTCACAAACTTTCATAATTGAATCTACCTGTAGTTCCTTTGATAAGATGTCAGCTATCCCAAAGCAATATGCTTCAATTGAAGGAAGACATTGGTAGAGGAGATGTTAAGAGAGTAGATTATTTTGCATAATACAAAAATTGGTTATTTATGCAGTCTATATAAAGGGCATAGCATTGAAGTTATTTGATGCTTTTATGTAGCGCTCTCATGCTTCCAGAAATTCTTCATCGGTATGAAATATTCACATCATGGTTAATCATCATTGATCATACAGTGTCCACTGTTATATCAATCATTGTGGGCTTTTATACTACCTTTAATTATACTGTACAGTTTTATCAAGTAATTAATCGTTAATTAATGTACGTATACTGCATAGTTCTATTGGGATTTTGCTAGAAAGCTTAGGAACCGATCAACATCATAATTTGAGCGGGAAACTATGAATAATGTTATTTGTAATGGCTGTGGAAAATCAAAGTAATTTTGTAGCTTACGGTTGATCGAAATCTATGCTATTGACACTTTCAAAAATTAAAGTTAAAATTTTGCATTGTGTTGAAATATTATGTTTCAATCTTAACGAGTCTACAGTAGAATTTATATCACGGTGATTTCAAACGAAATTTTATTTGTTTAAGCTAACTTTTATTTTGTAAAAATGTTTTACGATGGACACTAGCTGTACAATTTTGTTTGTGTTTGTATGATATGCAAGGCTTAATGAAATTATTTCTTTTCTTTTCAAACTATAACTGCTTCGTTCCTTTTCACAGCACTAGAGATTTCAGGTCACAAATAATTTTGGGTAATCATGACCTTATCAACACTTCAGAACCGTCTTTAACTTTGGAAAACCTTTGAGCATCTCTAGGCTTTCGAACTCTTCCCAAAACACTACATTTTTTTAACATATAGGACATATTTTTCATACGTTCTGGATCTTGGCATAAGAGTAACTATAGCTCATAGAATAACGTATAACTGCAACGCTCAATATTACCTTTCTGCTTGTATTAGTTGTGTAACGATGCATGTATCTATAAATTCTTAGCGAATTACGAAAAGACCAGCTATCTGGTGTGGAACCGTATATCTACTGTAGCAACAAAGTTATGTTACATATTTAGTTAGTATAAGTACAGTACTCTCTAAAACGCTATAACGCTCTGATTAATTATACAGCATTCAGCATTATCTACTGCTATAGTTAACCGACTGACTAACGCTACGATACTACTACAGAAGAGGCTGTAGTAGGTCTATCTACCTTAAATCATACAGTAACAACAACTTTACTGTTTATGGTCACGTTATTGTAAATTGTTGCTTCTACGTGAAATTTGCGCTAGCTTCTTGTCATAATTATAGCAAGGAAAGAGTTGACTTAAGGTAATGATATTAATTAGATTTACTTGAATATTTTTGGTTACGTTATTTCCGCAGTTATCTTCAAATAGTCGCTGCTGATTAATTATTTCTCAATGTAAATTCCAATATCATACTGAATAAGTAGTGATGAATAACAAAACGGAAAGTATATATAAATGCTGTACAGGCAGCAATGCCAAATAGTAAAAACCTTACGATTTGTCAGTAAATATTTCATGATCGGCAATTATATAAGCAACTGAATACATATTGCAGAAACATATAATCATTGCTTATATTGCAATTATATAATGGACATTTAGGGATAACAATTGTGTTAATCCAGTCAAATTATATAGCCAATGACGACAATTACCTAATGTTACCATTACATGGGAATACAAATATAATGCAATTCGCATTAAAAACATAGCAGGTAAGAAACATAAGCTCCAAAACTAAATTTAAACCATCAAGCTGAGCATGTATATCGGAATATCCATTAATTATATTGAGCAAATCGTACAATTTTTTAACATTATTTAAATCATTCAAGCAGATGTCTGAGTATACAACTTTCTTGCAGGTTATAACCTTAGTATTAATCGGATATGAATAAAAAATTGATAATCATGCTCCAAGGATAATAAATAATGGCGTAATAGCTTTCATTATACTCTACGGGAATACATCGGATTTTCGTATTTTCTTGTTGCAGGTTCATAAAGTGGGTTTTCGTTCTGATTTAAATCAAGGCTACCATTAGACTGTATACAGATTTAAGTACGACACGTAAAAAATCTAAACATTAATTTCATCATTCTTACAGCATTCCATTTTTCTTTCTTTCTTTGCGATTCAAATTCATTAAATTCTTTACGTTCCTGTAAAGTAAGCATTGCATCTAAGTTAAAGTATGTGCATGTTTGCCATTTATTTGGCGATAAATTCAACTATTAGCTTAATAATTGTATAAAAATAGATCAATAATAAAAGACCTTTAACATCATCATAATCTTCCAAATTAATAAAATTAGTAGACCAGCACCAATTACACCCCCAACAGTTCCTGCTACAATGGCCGCTATATTTGGTGGCTGAGGGCATACTAAATAATCACCAAAAGAATATAGTAAGATAGAAAGATGAATATTTTGATAAGCAAACTTAAGTAAGCCAACTAAGGATAGCCTAAAATCAGCCTTCTAAGATTCAGACTACGAGTAGAACTGTATATTTTGTAGGTACCCTAAAGCGAAGGTAGAAACTATGAAGTCTGACAAAAAATTACCTTCATTTTCTTGAACAACGAGTAACAACGTTCCATTTTCCAGCAAAGAATGCACATACATCATCTGACATGAACTATTCGTGCGCGGAATGACACAACGTTCCTGACCTTGAATTACTATAACACACGTAGACGTATATGAGTTTAGTCTGCGTTATATTTACTGTCAATACGTAAACGAAATTTAACTATTACCGTTTAAAGTATTAACAGTTGTTATAATAACATTGCTACATTTTGCGGAGCATTCCGCCGGGCTGTACTGGCCAGACGCAAAGACTTTACATTCAACACATTCTTTGTTCGCTGAACAAATGCCGGGACAAGTCTATCACAGAACAGTTATATTAGCTATCATTTAGCAACCTTTTCTAAGAAACACTACATTTTTATCTAGGAATTTTTAGACCTACCGGACAATAATCACATGCCCTTCCTGTATAAATCGATGAATTACAGTTGCATCTTCCACATTCGCAAGTACCTTGACCATTACACAATTCCTAAAGAATTAAATGCTAATATTACACGATGCATAACGGTACTAGACTAATTTACGACATTCACATTTGATATCGATGAAATGCAGGAGGCTGTAGAGGTTGGACAACTACAGTCTAATTGAGACCAGCCGGGGTTACACTGGCAACCAGAACATGAGCATTGCCCATTGCCTAATTGGGTAGAATAATTCAATAAATATACAACCCCAGTTACGTAAAAATAATAAAAAATAAAAATTTTTTACCAGAGCAAATTAAACCATTTACTCCGCGGGGACAACTAAAATCATCACATTCGCAAAACTTTCCATATACTCGACCAATTCCATTCTATGAAATAATAGAACTCTATTATATCCTGGTCCTAAAATAAGTCATTAAGCAGAAGTAGCACTGTACAAATATAGTACCTGTGGTTGTCTACAGTAGCAACTGCCGCATTGACAATCTCCTCGATTGCTGCATAGAATAGCGGTACTGTTTCTATAATTCCATAAAAGAATTGGATCTCAATCAGACAGCACATCTAGTATAGTGTAGAATTATAACGAAATCTATTAAACGTACACTTTACAACCAGATGTATCAGAGAAGGCAGCTTCTGAGTCACATTGGCACAGATTTCCAAATCTATAATTTCGTAATCGTTAAAGTTAATAGCGACCACCTAGATACACATACGTGTACAGTCAAAGCCAGTTTATCTAACCTTCCTGGGTTGCAGACACAAACTCCACAAGCGTAAGTACCATTTCCCATTGTACATCTTGGACTATTTGGTACCTTTGAATAGGTTTATTAAGTTTGTGAATATTGTGAATATAAAGTATATAGACTTATATGTTGACTTACTGCTGCTTGTCCTAGAGCGCAACCACATTCACAAACATACTTCGCCCTAACAGTGACTTCACCAAATCCTAGGACACGAATTTTAAATCTAATATACGTTCAAATGAAAAATAAACGTAAGGATCCTTATTGAGTTAAAATCAAAAAAAAAGGAATAGGAGAACTTACTCTTCTTGTGTGATGCCAGGACGGGGACATCGCGTTGCAGTAACGGAAACATTAAATGTAACCTATTAAAGCAATAACTAGTATTTAGAATGCAAGAGGAAACAAGAGGCCGCATCTAAAGATCCCATGCAGACAAGATGATCTCTTCTAACCTTTTTGCCAAGGCCAACATTAGTGCAGGTATTTGACCCTTTTCTTACATCATTGCTAATACAAATATAGTAAATCAATTACAGTAAGATAGTTCCGGAAGAGGCATTTTAATTTAACAACCTTTCATTTTTAATCTTACCTATCGCATATTGCATCGTAAGCAACATTTAAGTCGTTGGTACTTGTGCTAAATAATTGCACTGTAGAGACTAATGTCTAATATGGGTGTAAAACATAAATAATTAAGTACCAGGTACAAAATTAATTCTAAATGAACAGGCGCTAATGAAACATTACCTGATAACTATTCTTGATAATTTCTATAATGTTACTCGAATTTGACGATAATTCCCCTAATAGTGAACCAATTCCGACAAGGGTATTTTGTAGTTTCTGTCATAAATCATTCAAATCGTATCACATATTACAGTATTTGAAGTTGAAGTTCGCGCAAGGCTCTTTCTCTTTTCAGGGCCCTTACAAATGAATAATACATTTAATAATCCTCACCACATATTCTCCAAAAGTCCGCTTGGTAACGGCAAACACCGGCAAAATCTGAAACTGTTCCAACTTATCTCTTAGCTGCCGTAGTGATGGATAGTCCTGCATTGTACGAACATAATTTTCATTAATTAATGAGTAGACCTATGTTCATAAAAGCTAAAACTTTATAATTACCATTTCGATTCCATTAAATAAGCCTTCTGAGCTTACACGACATTGACCGTCATTGGGTTTAGTGATTCCTGCCAGCTACGAATTATAATCATTAAAGACGGTCAGTTTAGTCAATCTAAGGTAACTAAAGATACATTCTTGTAATAACAGCTTAAGAAGTAAACAAGTCACAATACATACCTTTCCATCACCAGAATAATGATAATTAGAGTCGCTAGCATAAATAACAACGTGCCTTGCACCACTACGCCATCCAATCCTCTACAGAAAGAAATACAAATATTAAAAATAACAATATATTTCGAAGATATTTATATGGGTGTTTGTTTACTACTGATCACGATCGTATAAAAGATACCTCAGTGCAGACTGCAACTTGCAACAGGGCATCTAACCCTCCTTCCGGACTATCTAAATTAGATGATATATTCTGAACGGCAAGACGATTCTGGTGTAAACGAATAGAATATTTATAAGACATTAAGACTAGTAGCATTGTAAGGATTTCCAGAATTCTGAAAAACTAGAGCTTTTAGTTATGCTTACCTTAAATTTATTAACATCATCGGTAACTGGCATTGCATTGACAAAGCCGTAAGTTGGATCACACACCATTTTCAAAGGATCAAAATCTGGAAATCCTGTACAGGGTACTTGGCGTCTATTTATTAGAAAGTAATAATATTGTTATGTAATCGGCAAATTTAAAGGAGCAAAGCATTATATACTGCTAAGTTCGTGTATGTTAAGGCATTGATCATCAGTCCATCCTCTAAGCCTAGCCAATAAATAATAATTTAAACTTGCTGTTGTACCTATAACGTGAAGGATCCATGAACGGTGCAATCGGCTTATCAACAAATGTTCCAAAACCAAAGCTACTACGATTCGACAAGGTTCTCATTTCATTTACTATGTAAAAGAATAAAGAGGAAATTTAGTCAATACCTTTTATCTTACTAAAATCTTCTGTAAGAAGCCAGCGCTAACCAAGTAAACAATGTATTTAGTAACTGACTTACCAATAGTGTTTATTGTGCCTTTCATGATATCCAAATCATCTCTCATGGAGAAGGATACGTCCATCAAATAATATAAATCGACAGGATAATTAGCAGCAGGTTGCACTTCAATGGAAAACTTTGCGGGTTGACCTACAAAATGCAACAGTAATTTATTTATTGCCTACGACTCGTTTTGAAGTTGTAGGCTCTTTGTGATAGAAGTACTATTCCAGGAAAAAATTATTGCATGATAGTGAGGCGCTATAGTAGCAAGTATGATGCTTACAAAAGCAACAAAATTCTATCAATTAAGTTGCAAGCTACTATTTTAGGAAATATTTCGAATACATTTATTAATGACGATAATCAGGGTTTAAACTTACCGACACGTAGATCAAGATCTACGACAGAAGGCGCAACTTGAATATTTTCATTTAGAGTTGGCCTCTATTTGTTAGCGATAACGAGTTGAAATTTAATGCCATCAAATTTGTAACTATGCATAAATTAAATATCTGTGTAGATCTAATCCTTCTGTAGCTTATACTAAGGATTTACCGAAGAAATAGACGCTTTAGAAATGTGTTGTACAATGTTAGAGCACGAAGGCTGCATATTCTTTAATAAACGACAGCGCGAAGATCCCCTATAATTCTAAATAGTAAGTCAATGACGATTAAACTTGAGAAAATTAAATAAAATTACAAGACCATTGAATGCCACGTAAAAACGTGGTTAAATAATATATTTATCTTGTAGTGCATTACTCAAGATCCATATCTAAGAAATATACTACAATATCGGGGGTTACTTTGAATGCTAGCTAAAGGCAAAAATTGCACAATTAACATCATATACTATGCGCCCCGTATTCTAACCAAAGTTGCTGCAGTGAGCGTACAATATAATTTTATTAAATAATCCTATGTGTGACATACGACAGACTAAGGATCGACATTGACGGCTAAGAAACTGTACTGAATTTTAGGTTCTAATATCAGTGAAATTAGTACTCAATTTTCTTCCAAACATATGGACAGTATCTTAAGGGTCTGATATCGTAATTCATTTAATAGTTTTTCACGATACGTTACCTCATCAGCACACCATGCACAAGTTGGATCAGAATTCATACAAGATGCGCAAGAATCCGAATAACTATTGCAACGGTCAACTAAAACAGATCAATATTGAAAGTTTACAAACATTTTAAAGTTACATAATCTACCAATACAGACTATATATACTGTGATTACTAGCAAAAATAAGTGTAGCATAATTAATTAACTGATTGTGTGCTCTTATAGTACCAACAAGTCAATTAACAATATGAGTACGAGTATACAGATATAAAGTTTGCTTAACATTCGAAATTAGAATTATTGTTCTGACAGAAGAGGAAAACCAATAGTGAATTACTTATACATTTTTATTTACTTCTCTATCTCTAACAGGATAAGGTGATTTTACCGTTAATTAGATTAAGTGCTATATGGCCGTAGCCATATTTTTCGCAAAATTAGATTTTAAAATATCACTATTGCTATTTTTTAACCTATTAAATTACAGGTGAACATTTCCAATATTATCCCATGTACTAATCTAAATTTATCATTACCTTGGCATAAAGTTAAACCGATGCAGGTTAGTAATAGAAAATAGCCTAAACTATATTTGGCGGAAACCATTTTATTTGGATAGGGCAATACCCACGTCAAGGATCTAAATTAATAACAATGATGTTATATTCAGTTGGCATTAAGTTATCTCAGTACAAGCAAATTAAGATTGAAAATGTAAGAATTTTATTTAACCTTTACATCAATATTTTTTAAAATTTAGGAGTTTAATATTGGTTCATTAGGATCTTTGTTCTAGAAAGTAATTTGTGGTAGTCTACTATCTCGCAAGACATCTAATTTCACCAGCAGGAATAATAACGACTACGTAGTTGAAAAGTCAAGGCTATTGTACGCGAGATAATAAAAAAATTTTTACTGTTCCTGTATTGCGGACAGCTGCGAGGCGTATAAACAGCAGTAAGGTAAATCATTTAACACTGGCTGGTATAGAACAATTTATGTGTTGGAACAAATTCATTATTCACAAGCTATAATACTACAGTAAGTATAATTACAGTACTATTTGAATGTGATTTATTATGACGTAGTCAACTCTACATCGTAACGACAGGAATTGGTTCATCATATAATGGCTGGAACTTTAACGTAATATTTCTTAAACGGAAACCTAATATATTCTATAGACGATTAGCCCAACGTATTAATGGACGTTCCATAGGAACCCATTAACATCATGACTCTTTTGTCATCAACTAATTTTATAACGATACTTTACATTTTTTAGGGATCTACTGCCATTCTACCGTATAGCCAGCAATCATGGTAAAATTGAGCATATAAAACGCAGCATCCAAACTAGCACCTTATAATTTATTGACAGACTATACTTTAAGGTACAGTGCTATTTAGCAATAGTATAAATGTGAAGAATTCTGTACACTGATCGACTAGCTTAATACTGTGATTGTCGTGTTATTTCCGCTGAAAGGTATCAATTTCATGAATCAAATTTTAATGAAAGGATATTGAAGCAAAAAATGTTCGATTTCTTACATATTACAGACGATTATTAAAGGGCAGTGAAAGAATCATCACGCTGTTTTACTGTAAATAAATAATCAATTGAACCGCACACGTTCAGTTGATCGTTCAATTCTATTCAGAACGTAAGACTATCCATTGGCTCCATTAACGTAAATAAGCGCAATTTTAAACGCGAAGGCTGGCCAGAAGTCATTACGAACGACGAAATTACTTGGGAGATAGCCATAATGCAAAACAATTTTTTACCCCCTCCCTTATTAAAAAAATAATCCATTACTGTTTAAGTATGCAAGCTATAAGGCGTTGTTTGATAATCTCCATGTAAATTATTCTTAGTAACAATCCAGTGTTGGACCGTATCTTCCAAACTTTGTCAATATTATGTTACGAACACTAATATATAATTAAAAAACGCTGCTATATCATAGTATTGAAAATATTCAATAATAACTAGTTATAACTAAAATACCATATTTTAATAAAAGTCACGGTTTGTTTTGCAACCGTAATCTGCCATAGATGATTGCCAATTATTAAAAAAAATGGGTTGAAAGAATTACGATCTATCTACTAATAGTAGGACTTGCTTGATCGAGAAATACTGTATATTGTAGTGAATTGTGCAGACTAGAGACCATTCTAAGTGTCTTTACTGCAGAGCACCGGTTTTACCGCAAATCCGATCATCACTACACTAGCGAACGAACACTACAATTTATTTGAGTAAAAAAAAGTATTTTGGACATTGTTGAACTACCTTTGCTGCTGGTGAAGAATAATTTTGAAGTTATTTTCCACAACCGGCATTGCAAATCATGACGATGAAGTAATCGACAGATATATCATTTAACATTATCGACCCATTCGGCATTGATTGATCTATGGTAGCTATAGACTCTAATATACTGTAATGGATGACGGTCATAGCGTGCTGTATATTGGAAAGATTACTTCAAAATATTTTAATCCTATACTTGATGTACGTCTCTATTTCTACTATTTCCTTTAATAAAGTATCTTATTGGTGTAAAATGAAACGTATCGATGATCGCATCTATTCTTGCCTCTTGCTTTTCTATGGTCATACCTAAGGCAAGTGTACTGTATATTCATTCTACCAAAAAGTTGTACCTCATGCTATAAGTGTAAAATACAGTACAATACTATGTTCGTCTACACTTTCGCAACGTTTTACGCTTAAACCAGCGCGATCCATGTAGAAAATTTGATCGCTAGAAACTTTTGTACGAAGTACAGCCATGTGATGAGGAAAAAAATAGTACAGCATGCTAAAATAAGTTACATTGATGTCAATAAGCCCGCCATGACAATTCCTTTCTCATTGCATAGCGGTCAAGGTATAGAATTGAGCATGAAAATAGGTTCGTGCTCGATTGATTGAGACGATAAAAAACACGAGGCTAAACCGATGTCGATTATGAAGAGTAAATTTAGACTCATTTCGCGGTGACTTGTGTATGGCTGCTACGGTAAGGAGATGGAGAAGTACATCCTATCGATATCCTCGTCTCATTCTAACCCCAACCTCGTTATTGGCCTACAATAAGTAGAATAACATTGACGTCTCGTCTCACTGCTGGCGACTCCTATTGATATGCATTAGCGTATAAAGACAGTCAGACATGGACGACATAGTCAAGGATAGGATAAGGAATTATCCTGGATAAAGCTGATCATGATATCCATTTCTCATTTTATGTAAGATTGGAGTGAATAAAATCATGGATAGCATTGCCAATCAAGTTACTGAGCGTAATATTGTACAAGTAGTAGCCTGTAGCAGCCGACTATGATAAAAAGTTCCTGGTGCCCATTGGAGCACAATACCGTAAAGCAAACAATTGACAAAGTCGAGAACTAGCAGTCATAGCCAAGTGCAGCTTTCATAACGGTCAAAAGAGATTTACCCACAAGCTAAATGATAGTTTCATTGTCAATATCCATTAATCGAGATACTTCTTATTACTTACCCACTTTGAAATCGTCTTTGCTAGTGGCAACTTTTCCAAGGTAGTATGCTAACGAGAGCGTTGTTGCCGACCGACTGGCTTCAATCTTGACGTGCAGTCTAGTACCGTTCCACTGGGGAGCATTTCACCTACAGCACTGTTGTACGACCTCACTGGCGTATGGTGAAGCTGCTGTACGTTCGAATTGAAACGCTTCGATAAGAGAGAGTCACTCGCCGGCCCCTGGTCATGCTATTCCACAGTCCACTGGCTGGCTATGAATGCACTACAGTGTAGAGTACTGTACCGTACTGTATTGTACTGTAATGTACAGTATTTCCTTTTGGATTTGACCAAGTTTACAATACTGTTGAAGAAGTTATTGTGACAATGACAGTCTACACTGAAATCAGTATTGACTGCAGAACAGTAGAGTATTTGTTTCTAACCATTGCATACTGTACAGTACTGTTATGTACTGTACTGTACTTCAATTTTGAATGATTTTTTTTTCACTTTGATTGATGTTACTCTATTGGAAGTATAAATGGATCGCTTAGTCCTTTATTGAAGGGAACGTATCCATTGGATGGCCAGTCTGACAAGATGTGAACATGCTAATACTGTGAAAATGAACTTGTCACTGCACTACGAGCACGTACTGTACTGCACGCTAAAATTAAAATGAATTAATCAACAGTAAATATGTCCATCCATTGGAGGTCAATGGGTCTAGTAGGCAAATCCTTCCTTCTTTCTCCATTTAACGTAGGCATGTAATATTGAAAATTAACTTTTGAACAACAACATTCCCTCGCTTTCTATTACCATAGACGACTAGTTGCATGCATATCTCGTAGTTGATACTATTACCAACCGTAGTCTGCAATGAACTTATTGCAACTTCATGATACAATAATAGTCTCAATTAGTACCCCTTCTATCATTCTGACTTTTGGGGGGATTTCTTTCTGTACAGTCAGGTGACTCAGGCCTAAGACTTTAATCCTCTCAAAATCTTTCATATCCTACTTGATTGTGAAACCACCCATTAATCATTGCAGTAAGCACTGTACAAACAAGGAAACGATACCTTGTATGGATTAATAATCATCCATTGATTTTGACTGCAGCTCGTTGTCGACTGCAATCACGGCAAACACAACCATGGACTACTAAAATGAGATTTAGCAGACCATGATATAAGAAAGACGATGACGAAGTGCATCAATGAATGGTCGTTGCTTCATACACATTACACAATCAACCTCGTGCACGTGTTTGCAGTGTTGAAGCGAACTCCCGCTGTTGTTGTCATTCTTGGTCAGGTGTGGTGGTAGAGAAATGGATAAAACGTCTAGGAATTTTTCTTGATCTATTATTGAGCGGGCGCAACCTGCAGAGCGCGTCACACACACAGTAGGATGTCTCGACTTCTCGGTCACCGTACTGCACAGTGGGCACAGTGCACTCCACTCTGACAATACAGTACAGTACTGTACAGACAGTGATAGGGCCAGCATCAAGCAACGTAACACGATGACGAGTGACGTCACTACGATATCCAATGGCTCCTATTTTTCTTTTTTTTAATCGATATCATGGATAGACTGAAGGTTGATATTCAAATGAAAAAAATAACGAAGGAAAATTTATACTTTGCACCAACATGTCCATCAATTTGCCTTTATGATCATGACTAGCACAGTGAAGAAATAAAAATATTTAAATCATTGCATACAACTAACTTGATACCAGCACAAACTGATTGCAATCAGCCACGGGCTACCAGATTTTTGTCCTGTAATCCATAAATGTGCAGCATTCAGTAACGGGTTACCAACTCCTTGAGTGCTGCGTTAATCCTATCTATCGGTTTGCCTCTATGATCATGGCTTTAAACGCGGTGAAAAAAATGGAGGCTTACATCATTGCATGCAGCCAACTTATTATCAGCACTAGCTGATTGCAATCAACATAGGCTTTGCTCGTGCCAGGATTCCATTTTAACAGCTACTATCAGTGTAACATAGAGAAAATGGAGCGACCTAATGCTTGATTGACCCCTATGATCATGACTCTCACAATGAAGAAATGGAGGTTTTAATCATTACATACAGCTAACTTATTGCGAGCTCGAACTGATTGCAGTCAGGGTGAAATAAGCTTTGCTAATGCTACAATTCCATTTCAATAGCTACTAGTAATTGCAGTCTAGAGAAAATGCAGGATACTACGAATGGTCTGAAGACCTCCACCGGGTTCCACGTCTTCACTGCGCCACTCATGATCATAGAGGTGAATCTACGGACCTGATTATGACGCAGAGGTGGATTTTTTAAACATCCGCAATGGTTTGTCGATGCGAAAATAAACTGCTAATTCCCCATTTAATTCAGAAATTTCCTACATGGAATTCATATTCCAATAGTAGTAAATTCCTGGTATTATCAGTTTTTCTGAGCTAGTTTAGGGAGGGACTAACCATACGAGTATATAAGATTGCGATTTTCTTTCGGTGCAAAATTGACTGCACTGTACACTTTAGTTATTTGGCTGCTTGGAAAATGATCGATACTAATTTTATTACTTCATATTTTGAATTAATTTAGTCATCAACCTGCAAGGCAACATATCATTCGGAGCCATGTACGTGGTGTACAAATGATAAAATACTTCAATAATTGATATATAATTAGTTAAAGAAAGATTTGAGTTAAGTAGCCTTCCGTTTTGATAAACAATTCTTTCTTTTTAAGCTGAGTTCTACTGAAGGGAAATCTAGCTAATTGTAACGACAGTACCTCTATTGACTCAATACTGTATTTAAGTTAATAATAATAATTAATAATACCAGCCTAGACCATGAGTAGATCCATTTGTCAACTTAGATATTATCACCAACAAACAACTTTTAAACTATTGTTAGGTAGTTTAAAGTCGCACGCAGTTAAAATGCAAAAAGGAATCAATCGATTTCATTAGTCAAATGGAAACAAATAGTAACGCCACTGGTTAGAATGATAAAACTAATTTCATTCGAGCTAACCATCAAGTGATTACAGTAATCCTAACCATTCCACTACAGTAGACGCTAAAAAGTGTTTACTATATCAACTCCTTAAATGCCTTAATAACAACATTGATCAATGATACGATTGATTGAAGACTACCGCAACGAGTCCAATCATATTGCAATGAATGATTCCGGTGAACTTTATTTTGTCATTGAATTACTACTACTACTGTAGACTACAGACTGAAGAGAAGCAACATGATGTGAACTGATACGGTAACAAATCCATTTCACTGCAGCTACACAAGCATTTCGTAGAACATCGAGTAAAAAATAACAGTTTGAATGATTTATAAGTGTAAAAGACCTTCATGCCTATGAATTCAAACTATCGTGATCCCATTCAATATCCTACACCTGATAAAGTAGAAAAGGGAAATAATATCGGGGACTTGTAAGAGCGAGGATTTCTCTTATTAAAAGTCTCTGGATAATTTGTGGCTTTCTATGACACCCTAAACGTTAAGGAGTCAATAATTTAATTAATTTTAGTTTGAACGGTTCAATAAATAATTTACTTAGAATTGGTTTATTTATTTTTTTAAATTTTGCTCGTGAGATAACGGCTATGTTCTAATTGTCAGAAAGAAAGAAAATTGCGATAAAGCTATTCGATAATCCAACAAAATATATTTACGCTGCTAATCATGGGCGTGGTGTGAAAGCAGATAAGTTATACGAGTAAATGGTAGGGCAAAAATAATGTTAATGTTAATTAAGAATGAACGTTGGTTTCGAAATGATCCAGTAAAGTACATTAATTAAATAAATAAACGAATTATTTCAACAGTGTCCTGCACCAACTGATTTTTCTCCCACTTTACAAGGAAAGAAACAATTGCCGTAAATACCGTCTTGAATCTGCATGACTTCTAGGTATTCACTGCAAAGAAATATCTAATGTACTAACAGTAAAAAAAGAAATAATTCTACGATTGGCATGAATCGTATCTATTTAAAGTTTAAAATGACGTTAAAGGACATTTTTTCCCTTATCTAATCATAATTAGCCCAATTCAATTCATGACTTGGATAGCTATACGACCACATACGGTATGAAGTGATTCCATTGGTTGATTTCAAACAGGGCTATCATAATCCATTTAAATGAAAACAAGATTTATTCTTAGACAAGGTCGATCATAAATGTTCAAAAGTAGACTACAATACAACATTGATTGTAGGAATTGATTTAGACAACGACTAAACTTAAACCATTCACAATCTTTGGTAGCAAAGAAAGCTTGAACGAAATTCAATTTTAATAACGTTCACCTCCTACGACGTACGATATTAGCCGATGCAGTACGGGTATATTTGTTGATTTTTTTCCTTTGGTCTTATGTGGGCGACGTTCCTTCTCAATTTTATTGATATTAAAAACAAGTAACTTCTCAAGCCATTCGCTGATTTCAAATGAAATCAATTTATTTGCTTTGCCTACTGACTATCAGAATTTCAGCTGTAGGTAAGGGAATTAGACTGTTTCTCTCTATCATGGATTTGCTTTTTAGAATGAATAATTGCGGTATCCTTGTTACTTCTGACTGTCGTCTTGATCGATTTGTGATGATGATTGCTATAAACGTTCGAGTCTTTTTAATATTGGCATATCTACTCGTAGTAGCCGTTATTGATCCTCCTAATCCTTGCCAGCCGTTAAAGGCATGTGAAGTATGTATTGCTAATCCGGAATGTGCATGGTGCGCCGACTTTGTAAGTAATTTCCAAAGATCCCAAAAGGAAAGATTTTTCTACTATTCAAGACAGAAAGTACACGTAAAATGGATTATTAAGCCATAATTATTTTAACTTTATAGCTTTTTCAAATCTTCCCTTGAGTTCATCAAAATACGATTTTACTCAACATTTGCCGACGTAATGATGCAGTAGTAAACCCCATTGTCGTACTTTATTTAGTGCTGTATCAATGTTCAAGCATGGTAGTAAGTTTTGAAGGAATATTGTTGACTATGAACATAAGAGTGTTGCAGCATGTTCCTGTGTTATAAATGATTTATGGGCGTATCTGAAGTAGAAGCCAAAGTATCAGAATAATACAGATATTTAAAAAAGCCAATTCACTAAAGATATTTTGCCAGAACGTTCAATTTGATGCATTTTCATCAACATTCGAATTCTATAGACTACCTCATGTTAGCAAAAGGCGCATTTAAAATACTAATTTGCATGTTTCTTGAAAAAACTTCATTCAACACAACATACCTAAAGTAATTATTGGCTTCTACTGCTATTTTAGAAATAAATTTTCAAATATCGAAGCTATCAATCCTACTGCAGTAGCAGTCTATTACAGAGGCTACTTCTCGACATAATTTCGTTGTATAAAAATATCTACAAGAATCGAATCATTAACCTGTTTGATCTCATCATTATCACAGAAATATGAAGGAGAAAATCTCTATCGTTGCGATGCTGCAGATAATCATGAAGTTCAAGGCTGTGAAGATATTGTCAATCCTCAGTCTTCCTTAGTAAATAGAACTGACGTTGACGATGATCTTGATTCTGTAAGTCACCATTTTTATATTCTAATACGAAAAGAAGAGGAAGATTGATCGATTGCAAAATAATCTGGTAAATATGGTGTTAATGTCTTATTTTAATATCATGCATACGCGTATTGCAGATCTTACTGAATAATTTTACGGATTCAGTATTACAACTACCCCGGTTTAATGTTAAGCTTCGAACAGGTAAGTTAACTGCATCCGATAATACCAGTGAAATAAATTCGCTTATTAGCTGTTAATTATAATTAATAATATCAAGTTGGACACGTTGAGAAGGCTTTGATCTACAATTACCCAAAGTAACGTATACGATGCTTTGGCATAAATCCCACATTGAAATAAATAACAGTAATGTTTGAATTTAGATACTATTAGCAACAGCTGCTTAGCCTCACTTGCATTGTATGCAGCAGATCAAGTGTACAAGTTCTAATTCATTGGCAATAGCATGCAGTACTTCAATGGAACTGTTATACTCTTTCTACATATTGTTTTAGAAGCCTTTTAGTAGGGTACTGAACTCTTTTAACCTCATCATCTTACTATTTTTGTTAATTTACAGGCCAACCAGTACAAATCAGCTTCAATATTGTGTCTACCCAACGGAGCCCTGTCGATATGTACTTTCTATACGATATATCGCGATCAATGTATGGTGATCTAGATATGCTGAAAAAGCGAGCCATTACCTTAGGTATTGGTTTAGATTATTAAAAGGGTTCGCTTTCGCTTCTATCATTGAACAGCCTCTGTTGCATGGATGAAAGTGTCTAAACCTTTACCTGACGTACAACTTAATATATTCTTACATGGATTTTAAATGATCTTTCTTTTAAAATACTTCTGGTTCTTGATATCTGTGTGGGTAAAGCTCTCGAAATGAAAAAATTATCCAGGGATACAAGGTGGGGATTTGGAACATTTGTTGATAAATTTGTTTCGCCGTTTCGGTTACAAGCTAAAGAGAAGTAAGTAATCAATAATAAAGTTACACCATTATGAATGAGTACTCCCCAGTCGTACATATATCCTTTACTCTGCTTGAAATATTTTTTCAGTTAAAAATATCCTTAAGATAGTAAAATCTACAATTAATAGTTGCGCCATTGCGGTTATTATCCCCTCAAATTCACAAACACTAAATATGTAACAAAGATTTGGTGTTGCACACTACACTATTTTACAGTTTTTTGTATTAAATTAGCATTCTTGTAGCCAGGACTAGATAAGAAATGAGGCACTCTACATGACTTTTTATGCTTTTAATAAGACCAGAAAAATTAAATGACCGATTGTTACTGCAGCGACAATTCGATATTTGCGTAAATTTTATGCAATGCATATGCAAGTTTATGTCTTCATGATCGGCTATTATGTTGTACGTATTATTAGATTGGTTAATCCTTGCAATGACGGTGAAAAGGAACCTCTCCAATGTATTCGACCTTATTCATTCAGGAACAATTTATCGCTTACCAATAACATGACTAGTTTTCAGGTAGTAAATTGCTTACATTTAGCGTTTATTTCTATCTCAATTATCAATAAATATAGATACATGTATACGTATATTGCCTTTTATATTCGCATTCCCTTGTAATATAACAGGAGGTTGTCAACGCTCAAATGGTATCCAGTAATCTGGATGCTCCTGAATCAGGCCTAGACGCCCTTTTGCAACTTTCCGTTTGTAATGAAGTACAAAATAATCGTAACTCCGAAATACTCATAGATTGTTATATCTTATTCGACAATCCAATTTTCGCAACGGGCTTAAAGATTATATATTTACGTATATAATACTGTATCAGATAATAAATTGGCGACCATATGCCCGACATATCGTTGTTTATGCATCAGATGCTGATTTCCATTATGCTGGCGATGGCAAGGTGATCATTTCTTGTAACATGTACTCTATAAATTTTTAATGAAGCACCTAATAACTGTTACGTACACTAATTAACTTGTAATATGAGAGAAAGTTATACAGTTCGTACTGTTATATACGGTATTTAGTATTGTTAATTAATATTACCGACTTTTTTGAATGGTTTCATGACATATGTCGTTTAAATTATAATCTAGTTAGCAGGATTAGTTATTCCAAATGACGCTAAATGTCATCTAAGCGAACATGGAGAACATGAAACAGAAACAGTAATGGTAAATTTTAGCACATATTGAGATATATTGAGAATATGAAGATTTGATGAAGCCATTGCCCGTTGCATGTTGTAAATTATTAGATTTTATATTCTGTATATTTATATACGTTACAGGATTATCCTTCCATTGGTCAGTTAAAAGAGAAATTAAGAGAGAACCGAATTATACCTGTATTTCTAATTAGAAACCGATATCAATCGTACGGTGCATTTGCTGTAAGTCACCTTAACAAAATTTAAATTATTCAATGTAAAATGTTACATTGCGGCTTGTATAGCTAAATCAAGATGTTTTAATATACAACGTTAAGACTACGGTCAGTGTTCATATAATTGGAGTATACTGGTATTTTACTATTAACTACTATAACTTTTAAGTAGATCGATAGTAGCGTTTGATATTAAGTGATATAATTATAGATTTTTAGCTTAATTAGGTATTATCATACGATTAAATTTCGAAAAAGATCAATATCCCTTTTAAGTTACAGTTCTTGTCTGAAACTCAGTTAAGAGCTTGACAGTTTACATATATTTCAAAGGCAATCTTTGGCATAACTAAACCATTACCACGACTTATGATATACTTTACATAGTATGTGAATATATGTACTATAGACATTCTAAATTATATCTTGGCTTTGGGAAATACAGGAACTATTAGATAATTTACAAGGAGTAATGGGATGGTTGGGACATTTAGAAGCTGAATCGAGTAATATTCTTGGTTTAATTAACTCAAGTTATGATGTAAGGAAAGAAATTTGGAAAGACAAGACTACGAAAATAATTAACTCTCGCATCTGAATCATTATAAAAACTAGCTAATTTTGTTCTCTGATATGACTATATTCTCATTAATTTATAATTATCTTACAGGCCGTGTCTACTACAATAGAGTTATACAACGACCCAACAGATTTACTGAAATTTGAATACTTTTCAAATTGTACCAAGTGAGATATAAATACCTTTACGTTATTCTTAGATTTTATAGCTGTATATTGCTATAATTGCCGATAAGTTACTAATTTCAGTACGAAGCTTATGGAAAGAACTTCAATTTTCGATTAAATGGAATGTTTCAATCACGTAGGGATGGCCAATTTAAGCCGATTAATACTTGTCTGAACTTAACAGAAAACATGATTGTAAGCAATTACAGATCTTTTCAATTTATAAAATTAAATAATATACAACAACTAAAACTTTTAATCGCTTAAGACCACATTCAACGTAACCATTGAGGCAATAAAGTGTCCTAAGACAGAAAATATTTCGTATGAGTAAGTCTGGCATAATACCAGTTAAGATACTAAAATAATGTGATCCTACTTTTTCTGAATCTTCGCTTATGGAACCTTGAGATCTATTTCAGCTCATTTGATCTAATGTAACAATAATAATTGAAATGTAAAACCACTGCTAATAGTATGTTAATTGTTGAATTTAGAATAAATGTCCATGTTGTTGGTGTTGGAGACTTAGTTGTGGAAATAGAACATCTATGTCGGTGTGGTTGTACTAGAAATGTAAGAGGATTACACGGTTTTATATTATGTAACTATTATCTTTCAATTATTACAAAATGTAAGAGGATTACACGATTTTATATCATGTAACTATTATCTTTTCAATTATTACAATTAAATCTTCAATTATTCGATCTCATAGACAACTGTCAGCGAAAAATGCTCATATAATGGTACACTACGTTGTGGTCAATGCAATTGTAACCGTGGAAGGTCGGTGTAGGCTTATTCGTTATGCTATAGCTTCAAGTAATGAGATCATCTATTTCGTCGTCATGCTAGATCCGGAGATTTCTGTGAATGCGATGCAAGTTTATCTAATACTGTCCGCGATTGCGATGTGTAAGTTGCATTTAACTTTCTTATTGGCGATAGCTAATAGTTATCGAATTTTATAGCATATTGTTAATCATAAAATCGTGAGCACGTACTAACAAATTTAAAAGACTACATGATTATTTATGTAGTGATATTATATTTTCGATATTATTAGCACAGATAATAGTACTTGTAATTATAGAGGCCACTGTGTTTGTCAACAATGTCAATGTAACCAGGTACTGGTAGAGCTTAAATTCTATCTCGTGCTAATATAGGACGACTTGTACTGTACAAAAGCGTCATTGAAAGCCCTAGATTACGTAATGTAAGTAATGCTTACCAGCGAACTTATTGTTACTTGAATAAAACTATAGGATGACCGAGGCTTGATATATGGGAAGTACTGTCAATGCGATAACTTTACGTGTCCTGCTGATAGAAACGGCAATTTATGCTCCGGTAACTTCTCATGAAAAATTTCATCGTATTTAACTTATGATTTATATAGCATGACTGTGCTTCGGACAGATCGACTAAAAATTTTGTGTTCTATTCGAATGCATGATGTAGTAGTACTGCATTGTTTTAAGTAACTTAGAATATTATGTAGTAATAAAATACTTCTACTTCAACTTGAGTCCACCTTTTGTATGCAAACTTTGATTCTTTGTCATCTGCCAATCAAAACTTTCAAACTAAAAGAACTTAGCAAATTAGCTCCACGCTGCTTAGCAGATAATTACTAGATTAGTTAAAAGTAATTCAATGGTGCATATTGCTGGCGTAAATGATATTGTGCAAATAACAATCACTTCGTGTCTGCGAACATAAATATTTTGTTTTGTAGGCCATGGAAGATGCGACTGTGGAACATGTAAATGTAACCATGGCTGGACTGGTATTGACTGTGGTTGCACCTTATCCATTGCTCAGTGTATAGATCCAAAGAGTAGGGTAAAATCAAATGTAGAAATATACACCATTACATTGCAACATTAAAATTTACTATTGTCTTGTATTCTTATTTCGCTGACAATGTATTTTATAGAAAATATGTAATGGCAAAGGTAATTGCAACTGTGGTACTTGTGATTGTCATCCAAAAAGTGGATATAACGGAAAAACATGCCAATCATGCCTGGTATTTGCCATAAAACTTATCTGAATTTGAATTATTCAAAAATTTCGATTTAACAGCTTGTATTAATATCATACCAAATTATATTACGTAGTTCTGTCCGACAGCATGTGATGTACATGGGCAATGTCTATCATGTTGGTTACACAAACAACCAGTATGCAGTGATTACTGCAACAATATTACTATTACTAATGTGACTGAGTTAGATACCAGAGGTGAGTGTCGTACTGAAAGTATTGCTTACATTACTGTTACTACAATCTTATAGAAGAATATTCCCTATCCAACTAACCGCAATAACTAGTACTGTATAGAAGAAATTTATGTTGCTCTGATTTATGTCAAAGATTCTTCTTGAAATTATTTAGGCAATTTTTGCCTCCGATTATGGTCTATTCGATCAAAGATATTAATTTCAATATGCTTCTTTAATTGCTAGATGAATGGTATTGCTATGTGCAAGACATCAATAGTTCCTGTTACTTTAAGTTTATTATCGAAGGCGAAACAAATAGAAATTTACTCACAAGCGTTAGTAAGTTGCCCAGTATGCGGTACTTTATTTAAGAGTAAAATTATCACTAAAGGATAATTTAAATTTGTTATTATACATTTTATTACTAGGTTGTCCTGTATTTATCAGCCAGTCGGTCCTTATCGTCAGTATAATGGTAAATATTGTCGGGTTCGGCCTACTTTGTTTAATCGCTTGGAAAATAGCTGTAACTATAAAGGTAATAAGACATTCCAAATTGAATGATTTCTCTTACACACGCTGATAAAGATGATCTACTCTTCTTGTGTTATGTTAGGATAAGATTGACTATCAAAAATTTACTAAGAAAATATGGGTCAATGCCAGCATTCAGGTAAGTTTAGAATTTTACTATAGCGTAGATATTCTTGTTTCTTTCCTTAAATATATCCTTTCTGTCATACTTTTCAGTTCTTACATGATGTTATTATTCATTGTCAACATTTGGTCTAACAAACTAAAGCGAAAAATAATCATTTCTATCCTGATAGGAAAATCCAGTATATATTCGAGCCACAACTTCTTACAAGAATCCTATGTATCACAAAAACTTTGACAGAAATACATAAAAAATTTAAGACTTTTTTGTGCCTTTCATAGTCCTGAAAACGTAAATGTGTTACTAGAAATGCGTACATTTAATTTCTCAACGAATAATTTGCAGCAACAAGAAAATATATTTTATAATAATTTTCATTAATTACTATCATAGAGTAGCTTATAAGTCAGATTGGATTTAATGGTATCTACGAGCACAATACTTTGCTAGTTATCTGTTCACATCTATAGACCGAATATCGTTAGTCTTTTTAGAATTATTATAATGTTAGTAGATACAAACTGTAAAATGCATTGCACATCCTTGATTTGTCACACATAGCTAAAAAAGTTTATAAGATATTGAGATGAACTTCTCTCGTTTTCAGATCTAAATGAAATTTGTTTCTCGTTTTGCCCAAATATATATTAAGATTAACAAACGAATATTGCTTCGGTAAGATTATATCAACCAGAGTTGCGTAAAGCTGTTTCGAGATGTCTCTTGTCGATAAAGCTATCTGAAACTTACGTAAACGATTTCATGATTTAAAATAGGACAAGTATAACTATGGTTACATAGTAAAAATGACACTGTAGTTATAAAATGTTTTTTATGAAAGTCTTAATTAAGCCATGGAAACACACTAGTTGTATATTAACTTTTTTTGGTAGCAATATTGCTATAAAATTTACAGTTACTGACGAAATCTATTTATTACCGCTTGTACATATACGCGTATTTATTAAACACGGCAATGGAATTGTACAGGTGCAACTAAGCAATTTTCCTGTTATGTTACTTCAAATTGAAGACAGAAATAAAAAAGTATGAGTCTGTACAAAAAGATAGTATCGAGTCTAGAAACTTCCAAAACACAACGAGAATAAACTGGCGTAATATTCTACTAGTTAATGAATAATAAACGTTAATTATGTTGTCAACCAACCAAGTCTAAAATATTATCGGTAGACAAACGGTAATGAGACATAATTGATGTTTTATACATGAGCGATTCTCTATTTTTGGATCATGAAATTAACGGATTTGAGCAGTATACGCATAACGTTTGGTTATGACGTAACTTCCAAGTTTCAATTGACATGTACTGCAATGGTCTGTTAGTATACTGCGATAACAATTTCAATCACTGTTTGCGTATTTCTCTATATAACTTTAGTCAAGTTATGTATTTCTATACAGTATTAACATCCTCTATCGAGGCCTTTTAACAAGACATGATAGAAAAATAATAGGATTATTTTGCACTACGTACTATATTATATTCGAATAAGTACTGTATAGTTACTAGACAAACCCTCACTCGCGATACCTCGTGTACTGCAATTGGACTGTACTGTTTACTTTAACATTATCACTACCGCTTCGCTCCAAGTACTGTATATTTCATATGCATACGATTGATAATATATATGCATAATCTAATAACTGCATGCATGCTTGTGAATTCATTGTGTGGAATATAATACAATTTTATATTTTTTCCCTTGGTATCGGATAACATATTTCAAATTAAAACTATAATTTTCAAGTTAAGGCGCTGAACTATTCGATGAATTTATGGAAGATTCGAGAAATAGATAGATAAATAGATAAAAATGTTATTGTTGATGAATTATTATCAATGACGACAAGATAACATTGGGTCATATGATTATGATATTCTTTAAAATTGAAACTGTAAATTTAAAATATAGGGCGTTAAAGTATATGATAAGGCTCTATAATGATACCAAGTTAGTTATTGTTTTCAGGTCAAGAAGCTGAACTTTTCGATAAATTTATGGAGGCTTTCGAGAAGTAAATGGATATTTAAAAAATATTATTGTCGATTGTTATCGATGACAAGATAGGCAACAATATGATTGGATTAAAACTGTTAATTTAAAGTATAGGACGTTAAAGTACTGTACTTGACAGCACCTTATAGTGATAACGAGTTAGTAGAAAACAAAGTATTCCCCTTGGTTAAGCCAAGACAAAATCGATAGGAATAGTATAGAATCATTAAATACGATGAACTAATAGCTACATGTAGTATAATTCCGTTATATTCTAGAAGAGATTTATAAACCAAAACTATGCGTCAAACTCTAGCTGGGGTAAGCACCTAGAAAATAAGCTATTCTACTTGACTTAAGCAAGATCAGATTGGATAGATAGCAACTATCGATGAATTAGGTACATGTATACAGTACCGTGTAATATCGCACTTCTAGCCTAGAATAGACTCTTTTGCTATGGGCTGATTCTTAATAATTTAATTGTTGAGATTCTTTTGCAAGTTTTTATCTGTAGATATCATAAAATAATGAAATTGTCTGCTTGATCTTGCGTCAATATCTACTCTGCTAAGTATTAAATTATCCAATAAGAATGAATTAAAACACCTGGTTACAAGATAATTTTAACAGCAATATGACGTAGGTGCTGACATTAAAACATCATTACGAAGATTTTCAGTATTAAACTCGTGATGAAACTACTCACAGATTCTTTCTCATTATTGTCCACTTTTCTTCTAAATTAATGTACTGACAATTATCCATTATGCATAGAAGAGGCAATCAATCTCCATGAAATGGGATTGAAAATTGAATTGTCAGCTGCTATGTCTGCGGTACTAATTGCCTTATGCTGAATATTATCCATCATTCACATGGGATTATCCTGTCTTCTGAATAGTTCTTGTCTCGCACTTCTGATTCTCTGTTACCATTGAATATGCGTACGTTATGAAATCAATTCTATTCTTTCCATCAAGACTGCAATTATAATATGCTAGGCAACGGTACTTATTAAAAAGGATTAATTTACAGACATTGATAGGATCAGCATGACGGCGCCAATTTATTTCTGGCTAATTGCTGAAGATAATTTATTATTACTTGTTCTATTGATGGAGTATCATATGATATTATTCCATTTTAGTAGGATATGGCTTTTAAGACAATAAGCTATTTCTTAGAGAGCTTAGACATTATTAATCCAACGTGCAAACATTGGCAGATTGCAATTTTTCTCGGTAGACGATCGGTAAGAGAGGCATTATAAAATATCCATCAATAAAGCTCTTTCATCGGCTGGTGCTTGAAATACTATCCCATATCTCTATAGTATTTAATTCAGTCTTTCCCTTCTCATTATATTATTCAAGAACGTAACTCAATTTATTATAATCCATCCTGTCTCGAATGGAAAATATTAACGGTAAGAGGAATATTACTTATTTTCTACTACTCTTATAGCTTATAGAAAGAAAATGGTCAAAAATTATTAACCTTGGACTAGACTACTTTTATTTCATGCTCATCATTAAATTGGAACGCCAGAATTCGAAATGTACTGTTAACGATATGATACTATCTTCTGTTCAACATTTTCTTTAATTTTAATATTGGGAACAGATGAGGCTTGATTAATCCCTGATACAGACAAATTAATTCAAGTTTGTTATCCATATTACAAGAATAATAGAAAATTGACCTTCACAGAAATTGCTCCATCATCGCTCCTGCATTTGCTTTATCATTCATATATTGTTGAGATTAAAAATACCCAGACTTGTACTCATAATCAATTAAGAGAATACTAACCTTCGGTAAAGTGGTACTGATCATCTATTACTATTTTCTATAAATTTGAGTACGATGCGAAGAACAGCCAGACTTATCGAGAAACCGATTTAGAATAATTTTATCTAAGCGAAATTAATCATATTAGAAAAGGAGACAAATATTCTTGCTGGCAATTAGAGAAGTTATTTAATCTTCTATCCTACTGGGATGTAGTGTTATACTGAAAACAGCCTAATTTGATCAATATTGGATAAGAACTAATTGAATCTAAATCTACTATTTGTAGAAGGAAGATAGATATTTTCTAAATGACTAATTGATCTATTCCTCTTCTGCTATTGATTTAATATTACAAGAACTATCAAATCGACTAATATTGCGTCAGGATAATTTTTAGGAATCTCATATACATTCTGATTTTAGAACTCGATTATAGGGGCTTTGAAAGAAATTGACAACTTTACTTTCGGCCGTATACCAGCGATTGAAAATCATCCACAAAATAAATAGAGTTGTTTAAGTCTCATTCTATGATTATCATCTTAATATCAGCTATGAATAATAAAAAAAATAATCAGATCGATTAGCTGATTAAGTCAGAAACAACATTTTCAGGCTTAACTAGGATTAAAAGTTTTACCGATACAAATTGGATTGCAAATCAATGTTTCTACAGCATGGAAAGGGAATTATGGCAATTAAAATTTTGATTCAAATTTATCATTTTTTCAAAATAAATCTATACTTGTATATTACCTGGTTGTAATAAAATCACTGGCTTAGCCAAGATTCAAGATATTGAATAGTACATATCCTATTTGAGTTTAGGTTAATGTCCAGTAACCACTGAATTAAATATATAGGTACACTGATATTTCATCGGTAAAGTTTGCACTTGCTTCTTACAAGATTAGCCCAATTTTATATTCCGAGCCGCAAGAATCCGACATGGTTGCTAGATATGTCTAATAAATTTTTTTCCTCGGAGCTCATGTAACGAAAATCAATTGTCGATTAAGGAATAACAATCAACTCGTCATAAGCCTATAAGATTCAAATCTAACCCACTCGTTAATCAATTAAATATCAAGTAAATATTATAGCCTACTTATCACACAGTTCTAGCCAATTTTTAACAAGAGTGACAAGAATCTTATACCTGGGAGTACGATAATAGTCGATAGATCTTTTCGATAAATCTTTCTCTTGGGTCTAGTTATAGCAAAACTCGTTCAAGAATTCTATTCAATCTTATGTTTGCGCCTTGGTACTGCAAAATTTGTTGTTTCTACGGGTCGATGAAATCAACAATCACCGGAGCTAAATTCTATAATTGGATTCGGATCAGTCTTAGTTTATTCTGAAATTGAATATCGACAGCATAACTGGAGTTATAGTAATTTGTAGTAAATTAACGTCGACAATAACTGGTAGTAAGAACTACTGATCAATCCACAATGGAGAATGAATCTACAATAAATAAATCTTTAGCTAGCCAAGATCATACAAAAAATGGTCAAAGATCTCTTCAACTAATATTGAATGAGTATAAGAAATTATTAGCCTCTAAATTAGAATCATTTGGTAACTGCCATATCGAGGTTGCTGTTATTTATGACAAGATTGGGCATATTTATTACCATCAATCGCAGTTCGATGATGGCCTTTGTATGTATCATAAGTCATTAGACATTAAATTAATTATATTGGAGAATAATCATTTAGATGTAGCAATAACTTGTGATCATATAGGACGTATCTATTATCATCAGTCCAAATATCATCGAGCCTTATCCATGTTTGAAAGATCGCTAAATATTAAGTTACAGCTATTAGGCAATTACCACGATATCGATATTGCCATTTCCTATCGAAATATTGGTAACGTCTACTATGACTTGGCCAAATATAAGGATGCTTTAACAACGTATGAGAAATCATTGCATATCTATTCGAAATTGCTAGGAAATCAACATTTAGATGTAGCTATCCTTTACAATAACATGGGAAATATCCACTACCAACAATGTAATTATCAATTTGCACTATCAATGTATCAGAAATTTCAACGTATAGCACTGAAACTGTTAGGAAAGGATAACCTACTGATAGCAACATCTTATAATAATATTGGTAGCATTTATTTTGATGAATTGAAATATCAAAAAGCGCTTGCCATGTATGAGAAAGCATTGGAGAGCCGAATCAAAATATTGGGTCTACATCATTTAGATGTTGCTAATTCGTATAATAACATTGGTAATGTCTACTTTAAGCAGAATAAATACAATCTTGCTATCGTTATGTATCAAAATTGTCTGGATATTACATTAAAATTAGTTGGAGCAAATCATTACGATGTTGCCGTTTGCTATAATAATTTGGGTAGTATTTTTTCACATCAAGCCAAGTATGATGAAGCTTTATCCAAGTATCAAAAAGCTCTAGCTATCACTGTACAACTATTTGGAGTTCATCATTCCTTGGTCACAACTATTTACGATAATATTGCTCAAATCTATCAAAAACAACACAACTATCAAATGGTTAAAGCGATCAAACAAATTTCATCTAGGATTCGAAGTAAAGCTCGACATCAGCAAATTACGTATACACAGTCTACAAGTAAAGGAAGGAAGGAATTGCTTACGCAACCAGGTAGGCCTCTCGATAACCATTACCTTACTTTGGTAATGCACAGTAGTAGTGTATTAATATTAACTCCAACGCCCTTTTACATTGTTTAACTTGTTTACAAATGAATATTGCATTTACTACTTATCGTTTACTAAATTTGTTTTAACATTGGAAAATTTTTATGTCCAGAATGGCAAACGGAACCTGCAGATTTATTAATAGAGTCAGTCTCTGGACAGGAAAGGAAAGATCGCAATGGTAAGCTCTATGTATTCTTGAAATTGATTTTGAGCTTGGTTTGGTAATAGCCATACCACGTTTTTATCATCTGTAATAAGACATAGATGATTAGCCACATCAGTAGATGTAGATATTAAATTTTCCATTGTGCTGAGTTAGCTTAGGGAAGATTAATATTTACTGGTAACTATCATAAAAAATTTACATGAATGATGTACAAAAACGATGAAATTTGGCGCACTAATTTAACTCAATTATTAGATAAAAATTGAATTTGTCGGTTCTTTTCCAACAGGAATTTCTTTACTATAAAAGTTTTACTGCACCATTCTTACTGCTATTTGTATTGTATAAAAATTAAATTTCCTTGTACTTCTCCAATAGGAGTTTCTTTTACTATAAAAGCTTTATCCCGTTGTTCTAGCAGCTATTTGTATTATATCACTTTGTTGAAAGCTAGTTACGTTTATCAGGCCTTTAACATCTCTATTATGCAAACTTGAGCCCGATAAATAAAATTATAGGCCTTACATTTATTTGGTTGCAAGTCAATTACGTTTAACAGGTCTGCTGATGATACTGTTATATGAAATTGAATTTTATAATAAGACTACAAGGGCAGATTTCTCTTGCTACGAGCTGGTTAAACTTGCTAATTGTTTTAATGCTATAGGAATACTGAGCTTAAAAACAAATAATAAATAATATATCTAATTTATTAGGTTCCACATTAAATTCTTCAGCAGTTAATTACAAGATTATAAGCAATATAACCTTTTACTACAAGTAAATGGGGTTTGCTGCTTATAGTCCTCTTAAAAACGAGCGTAATAACAGGATGCAACTCGATTACATTTAACAGATCTTTTAAGTTCCTCTTCATAGCAAAGTTATGCTTATCGACATGATGATGAACATTGTATGCAATTTATTGCAAGTCAATTACGCTTATCAAATCTTTATCGCCAGTATTCTACTAAATTAGCCTTAACGATAAGATTATAAGAATTGCATTCGCTTTACTGCGAGTTCATTAGGTCTGCTAAACATGATATCTTATACTTTTATTAGCGCAAAATTTAGCTCATAGCACTGGTCAGTCATGGCGTAAATTTTCCATGACCACAATAACTGAAGAAGTAGCAGAAAAAGAGATCGGTAAGTATTTTAAATTAGAGAAGTACTCGCACAGTGTGCATTTGAATACCATAACTGTAGTCGTCTATAGAATCTAATATTATCCTAAGTCATTTCATTAGTTAGATTGATCCGTTACTATTCCAACAACCAAGACTACTATAATATCCGGCTCCTTTTCTAATTATAATTTCAACTAACAAAATATGATGTTAATTTTAGCATTTGATGGCTATCCACAAGTATCGAAAATTTGTCGAAGTGGTCAAAACCAAGTTATGACTTTATCTCAAGTGCCTGGATTAAGGCTACAGCTAAATTCTCCGTCAATGACGGACAATACTTTAATAACAATGACTGTCTACTACGCAGATCCACCGTACATGCTTGATTTACTAACTCAGTATGAGAATAATCATGTAGGCTACCAATTAATTCCCTTATCCCCCGTTGTAAGACTAGAACCAGACTATTGTCAATTAGAATCAAATGGAAATAATCCCGTATTACTTCAGGTACCTATTGCTAATACTAGTGAATTATGTAAACTCCTTCAGCTTGATGATATTAACCAAATCCCTATCAGAATTGTTTGTCTAAATGATAAAGGAAGCAAGTGCAAAATGGAAAAGATTAAATATAATTATAAATTGGATAAAGATGGTCGTCACTGCTTGGTATTTGCAATCAATCACTTATGCGATTATGTTGTTTATTCATATATTCGATCAAGCATGCAATTTGTTTCTAAGCGACTATATCCAACTTATCAGCAGCAAGTTAAAGTATTAGCTTATCTATCTGAAATTCATAGTAGTAAGCATACTACTCACTTAAAACTGATATTAGCGAGAATAAATGCTGATGAGAGAGCTATTGCAGATCAAGTCCGAACCAAATTAAAAGTGACTCAACTTGCCGCGTCGGGCCTTGAACAAGTTATATTAGAAAATGGTCCATACCAAATCGAATTTAGGAAAATGGATTTAGAATGCCTAAATCAAGATACTGCCATGCAAATCATCTCTATTGATTGGAATCAGAAAGATTATTATCACCTTGATTTCGATTGCAAGTTTATCAATCCACATATGCCTTGGTTTAATATTGCTCGGATCTTTTTGCTACCTATAGGTCAACAGCATGGTCTCGATATGAAATGTTGCTTCCTCAGCAAAACTGGTTGTGGATAGCTATGAACCATGCAATTTTTTAAATTAATTCTAATTTTCACCGTTTAGATTCTTCGTTCGCTTTTCTCTTAGCTTAATATTACTTCGATCAGTTTGCTGCCTATTAGTACAGATTGATAGCGAGTTCTTAATGTGATGGATATTTTCTAAATAAAATTGTCTGTGGGATAGATATAAGTTGATTGACGTTGCATTCGTTTTATAAGGTGATATCAATTTTTACTCTCTATTGAGACTGTCAACCCATTCGTACATTGGTTAATATTACTCCAATCTTTCTGTCGCCTATTTCAAATGCCTTCAGTATAAGCTAATAGTAAAGCGTGCTTTTACTGTTACTTTCTTAATGTATTGGTTGTGGATAATTATAAGTAGATGTTAATTTCTATTGAATGTTGAGACCATTAACCCATTTACAACTTACCTTAATATTGTTTAAGCCCCTTTATGTCCATAGATCGATAGCAGACCTTAACTGGAAAAATTATTCCGAAATAAACTGATTGCGATATGTTAGTAAATGATCAATGTTCTATTGGTTCACATAAAATAATATCGAGATACTGTGATTACTCATCCACTTTATATTAGATTAAACAGTATCATAATCGTATTATATTCAGAGTATAACATTATTTGCCATACAGATCTATGAATGTAATTAATTCTATGCATTCCAATATTCTAAAGTTAAAATATAAGTTCTTTCGATTTAAGGTTTCGCCGAAAATATTTTACGCTTATATAGGAAATAATTACAATTGCTAATTTCATACCCTTGTGGTCAGAATTTCTCCCTACCTCTGTATCTAGTAATGCATGTAATACTTTGCAGATCCTTATCATTCCAATAGCTAACGCCTTGGATGTATTAATAAATTGTATTTGATGTCAAAATTACTTGAGAAAACATTCATTTCCTTCACTGATAGTAGGACTTTTATGTAAAAGAAGGGCATAATTAAATGTTACTCGTATACTCTAATTCAAACTACTAAATGTATGACAAACCTTTTCTCTCATTTTTCTTTATAAAGTGGATATGATTTCGAATTGGTCATTTAATATATCTCCATAAAATCAAAGCTATAGTTCAGTATATAATAATAAACGACAGGACTGGTGAAATGAAAGAACTGCTTTAATCTGTTAGTAGTCATATGAGTAATTTAATGATAGAACTAATTGAACATATATCCTAATTTAATCCACAGAATGCATGAAAGATTGGTCATTTAAATATATCTCCATAAATTCAAAGCTATAGCACAGTACATATTTGTAAACGACAGGAATGGTGAAATCTAAACACTGCTGTAATCTGTCACGGTAGCTGCTATACGAGCGATTTATTCGGAAATTCCCTAGATAATTGACAATTACGCTCATGATCATATTCCGTTTTGTACCTAACTTATGCCTATACATAGCATCTATCTACATATAGTAAACTTGAATGTAACCTTTTATGATACTTTGAGCTGAGGTAACAATGGTGACAATATTGGTCTGCTTTTAAGCCTATTTACTCACTAGTTTGCATTGCCTATCTCTAGCTTTTGCAACGTCTCTTTTCCTGCCAGTTATTTCAGTACTATTACCTGTCAATGCATCTAATTTTTAACTATGATCTGATCATTAATTAATCACCAGCTAAAGGGAAGCAATCATAAGGCTTTGTGGATATTAATTATTTTAATCTATATATAAATTAATAGGTCTGGGACCATTTGATAGTTTTCAATAGGCTATGTAACTAACATTATCTTAATTCATACTGTAAACGTTGCCCCTTCAATTTCAACTATACAATTTGATCAGTAATTATATGACTAAATGGATACTATTATGACAAAATCATCACTGGATCGCTATTAGAATATCTGCTTCTTATATGACAATAAGACGTGTTGATAATTCAGTTTCCGCTAGTTTGAATGATCCTATAGACCATTTCCCATGTTAACTAGTAGGTTAATTTGGTCCATAAAGATGAGGGCTAACCGCTCACAATCTGGCATTCTTCGCAATATTTACAGTCCTTTACCAAGATTTCATCATTTTTAGTCATCAATTAACCGGGTTAATTGTTAAGTAGACAACGTATACTATATTGCAAGTGTAAGCCATTGTTTATATGATCATAGGGTAATTTCCATGACAATATCTATTTTAACACAACTAAGGAAAGCAAAATAATAGAGATCTAGGCTGTAATAATAATAATTAAATCTTTCAGTGAAGACTATAATCGGGAAAAGGTATCAAAACACTTCTTATTATCCATGCTGAACACGACTTGTTTGTTTCATCTAATTTTATACCATTTGTTCTCCACTTTTAAATGGTGTCTTGATATCACATTATTCGGATCCAAGAAACGAATGTCGTTACAGCATTTGGATTAATATGGAACGACATAGGGATTTTCTTCTGCCATCGGAAGATTTAACTGAGTTTATCTCCAGAGAACGAGAAGATTCTCAAATTGTAATCGACGATGCAAGCAATGCTCGTTTTGGTTTAGTCAAGGCAAAAGGTGGCGATAAGAGAGGGATGATGGATGATCAGGTCAATACTCGATCAGATTTTACCAAGATGAAAGAGGATAATAAGGAAAAAAACGATAGAGATTATACAAATATCCCTGTTGGCGACTTTCACTCAGAGAGACCTAGAAAAGAAACTGATGAAGAGCGGGATAGCAGCAGCAACGATAAGTCAGTCTTATTAAATACGGATTTCTATAACTCTCCTCAATCTACTCTATCGAATAAGGTAGAAAGTGATATTGAGCAAGAATGGAATCATAGGGAAAGCATACCTCCTGTAATAAGTGGTAATGTGGCTAAATCTGACATTACCGAAGCAGAAGGTATCCATGGATCGGAGAGTAGTGATGATAGTGAGGAATCACAACAATCTCTAATGGATCAAGCCAGCCATATTCAACTTGATGTGCTTAAGGGATCTACATCGTATCACCAAGAGCAATTGAGTAGTGATGAGGAAACTCTTGACACCTGGTCTAGTAAAGCACACACCTACATAGCCACAGCGAGTAATGAAAGATACTATAAAGAATCGATTAAAGGGTCTATCCATGATTCAGAATATTTACAGGAGACGGAAAATAACTATCAACTTAAACCTAATAAGGAAAGGCAAATGATGGAAATGATTAAGTCATTCTTCAGCTCAAGTAGAGAACATAAACGATATAAAATGAGTAGACATAGAGGTAATGCGGAAAGTTCCATGAAAGCTTCTGGTAGCACAAACAGTAGTCTGGGAAAAGTAACTACCAAGCTGTTACAGTGTTAAATACTGTATTACAGTAGAAATAACTATGTTAGGATAATTCTGTTAGACTATCCTTATTTAGTTAACTTCTAATTTGGATATACTGTATTTTAATATAGCACTGACTTTTTATGACAGTGACACTTATACACATACTGAAATTATAATAGTTATAATAGGGAATGCAAATCATCTGCTTACAGTTCGAATCATTGTGATTGTAATTTACTTATGATAGACTGTAAATTATCATGGAAATGTTCCGTGATAGGACATATCGTAATCTGACTATTCTGTATTAGTTATTACATGTCTATGTTCGTAAATACTGTTGTCTGCATTAAGAGAGCAGTAGCTAAAATTAATATCTAATTCAGTAAATGATTCTAATGTTAATTGTATTAACTATGACTCATGAACTATTGAGGAATAGTATATAAATGCAGTATATCGTGAAATAAAGAAGAATTGTCCAACTTAGTGTTTAACGTAAAATACGAGGCGTTTAAGTCTTTGTGTAGTCTGCTAGTAGAGCAAAAGTGCTCGTGATAGTGCAGATATCGTTCCTTGATACGTAGTTCAAGGAATTGACTTATTGATCGTAGATTACGTTATCTTGTTGCAAAGCTGTTTTGTGACACAAGCCTAAATCATTATCAATGTTGATTACTCAAACTAAAAATCTTTCTATCGATGCATACACTTTTGGTGCTACTTCAACATCAAGTTCAAAGAAAAGTAATCAACGAAAGATGCAAAGTCAAAGCGTTTCTAAGCCGCCTGCTGCACCTTCTTCTGGCTTACTTTCAAATCATAGCGGTAAGGCTATGGCTGTTTTATGATCTATCCTAGCAAATACGATTAGAAAGTGATAATATCATGTTAAAAACGATGATGCTACTAGATCAAGGCTAATCATGAATCGATTAACATCATGAGCATATGATCAGGCTCGTATACCTCTAAGTGAATAATGGCGAGAAAGTAAACTTATAATTAGTAAATATTTGATTGGTATGATTAGAAGCAAAGCTCCTTCGGATTGAAGTCACTAAAGGCTACCATTCATAGTGCAAACCCTAATTATCTACGATTCTATTAATTTTCTAATCCTCACCATTCTTAAACTAACTTTATCCTAAATCTGATAGGCTAAGGTTGCAATAAATACTAGGCTATTAGTTAATTACTGTTCGTATAAGATAGAGAAAGAGAATGGTGCATCGCGCATTATATAGTTGCTGATTTGAATTTAGTTTGGGACTATTCTATAACTGAGTAATACGCGTATAGTAACAGAGAATTGAGGCTACTGAACTTGGATTGAATATCTATTATTACTATAACATTATATTTATACCAATCTCTTATTCTGATTACATTAATTTTATATCAGCAGCTCCTAACCAATCTGCTGGATTGTCGATAGAGAAAGGTATCATAATGAGATCCTCTCCAACAGGTAATATTTAATTCTGAAAAGTTTAATTATTAAAGTTCCTTGCTTCATTGTACTTGAAATGATAGCAGCAGGAACAATTGCACAGAACTTAAATTAATGATTATAATTATCGCAGTTTTTCTATGCTAGACTTGTCGTAGCTATCATTACCAACTCAATCTATAAATTAGCATTTAAAAAAGGATTTAGAATTGTATAGAACTTACACCCATAATTATCGTAGTTTTGCTATGCTAGACTTTGTCATAGTTACCATTACCGGCTCAGTTTATAAACCGGAGCTTGAAATACTTTTGGATAAAAAGCCCCGTTATACATCAATATTGTTATGAGTATATTTCATGCCGATTTAAGTGTATGCTTCTTAAACATGAGAGAGTTTGTTTATGATAAATGATGCATTGCAAATTGTTTTGACATTGAACTGTTTCAGGTGGTAAGAGCTCTAATTCTCACTTGACCGAGAACATCGGAAACAGGAAGAACAAGAGTAAGCAATTTATTAACTAAAACACCTACGACCAATAATCAATATTAAGAAATTAAGGAAATACGTATAATGCTGTTGCGTTAAGTAAATGCGAATGGGATTAGCTATTCAAGTAGACAACAGCTGCTTTAATATAAGAAAAGTGAATGGCTGAACATGTTGTTGTTATTTATGTTCTTCTATTATTTTTGAGCCAGATAATAATCTTAGATCAGGAAAAATAAAAAAGAATCCAGCGAAATGCCATTTATTTCCAGGAATGAATCCAGGTTAATTTTGTTTTCATAAGAGATAGGAGAGCAGTTTTCGACAGTATCTTTCTATCCGCAACCTTTCCTCTCTAAATTATAGTCTCATTATGTAATAACAGAGCTATTCTATTTATTAGTGCATTGAAATCGAAGAGTACTTTTAACTAGAAGAAACGCAGGCATAGGAGAACATTTCTTGCCATTGACAGTACTTTCTAAATCATCAATTTCATTTCTATTCTTATATAACGTCAACTATCGCAACAGCCAAAGCTGGCTATCCTAAGGTATCGAATAACTGTCAAGTTAATCAAGATCATGATTTAACCTTGCCTGGAGTACCTGGATTAAAATTTCATCTTCCAGCTCAGTGTATAGCCGACGAGGCCGTCCTAACCATGACTGTATACTATGCAGATCCACCTTATAATCAAGGTTTACCAATTCAGAAAGATGCTGATGGTAACCACTTTATCCAGTTATCACCAATCGTTCGCCTCGAGCCGGATGGGTATCAATTTACCCCTAATAGCACAAGGAAAGCTTTACTTCAAGTCCCCGTTCCATATATCAACCAGATAGTTTCACTTCTTAAGAAAAACAACAACTTTAATATCCCAATAAAAATCGTTTGTCGAAGCTATGGATGTGAGAAGTGGGAACAGCAAGATGTAGAGTATGAATATAGCCGCGATAAAAATGGATATTATTGCCTTACTTTTGCAGTAAGCCATTTCTCTGACTATGTCATCTATTCCTACGTCAAATCTACCATTTATTTAATCTCCAAGCATATCTTTCCATCTTGTCAGCAACGAATTAATACGTTAGCTTTCCTATCCGAAATAGACACAAGTGATGATACTGTCCATATGAAATTAATCTTAGCTAAAAAAGATGAAGATGAAACTGCTATCGTGTCAGGAATTGATCAGGCATTTATCAGGATACGTTTAGCTACGACTGGACTTGAAAATACTATTCTAGAAAATGGTCAATACACAGCTAAATTTAAGAAACGAGGTTTAGATTGTCTGGATACTGATTTCAATAATCAGGCAATTTCTATCAATTGGAATCGATATAGCTATCATGCTATCGATTACGTTTGCAAGGTTATCAATAAAGCAGCTCATGATATAGCTCAAATCTTTCTAAAGCCTATAGGCCAGCAGCAAGACACTAATGCAAAGGTTTGTTTCTTGATGAGAGCAAATTCCAACGAGGTAAATGAACAACATCTATAATTAATCTTGAAGTTGTGAAGTATATAGACTCTATTTAATTTACTAAGTAAAGTTTGTCATGTTTGGCAGCCCAACCCATCAAAGCAGTCTGATCCAGAAAAGCTACCTGTTCTACCCACTAAAGATCATCCAGCATCACCGGATGGTAATTTTACAAATATAATGATTAAAAATTGTGAGCACTAGTAGAGAAACTAGCTTAGAGTATTGCAAGTTTGAATTATAATCTTAAAAGTTTTAACGACACACTTAACGCTTTTAGCTGCCTGTATTTAGTTTTATTATTGCTTCTTTCTATCTCTTTCTTTCATCCATGTTTCTCCAAATGATCAACTATTTAATCTAATATTTAATATTACATGATAAAGAAATGTATTTGATATGCAGAACTTGGCACTTCAAAATCAGTATTAATATTAACATAATGATAAAAGTTATAACTATGTAAAATTCATTTCATCTGTTCTAATATCCGAATAGATCCTAGTCGTTTCTTTTATGAAATAGCGTCGCGAATTCATCGAGATTGGACAAAATTAGCTCCCAAATTAGACCATCATATCAATATTTATGAAATTGAAGCTGATTATCAAGGTGTATATAACAGAGCTATTGCCGTACTGTATAAATGGAAACAAAATAATCGTGCAACTACAGAGCGACTTATACAAGCACTACGACAAATTAATCGACAAGATATAGCCGATATCCTTGCAGATGCAATCGCCGAAGAAAAATCGACTTCAAATTGAAGATAAAATTGATCAATGTTACTCCTTCTATTTCTACTTTTAATAAGCTGTATATATTTTATTGGTGATGACCATGGATTTTGAGTATTTGATACTTAGTATGGATAGAAAAATAATTCTTAATCTAGGTAAGATATTTGATGAACAAGTTGTCAAAAAATAATTTTCATTTAGTCCTTCTAATACGCAAGTAAAGCTCTAATTTATTGAATTAAAGACTACCGTACTGAATATTCTAACTTTTGTAATATAACTTGTTGTTAATACACAAGTAAAATTCCATTTACTGAATTAAAGACTACCGTACTGAATATTCTAACTTTTGCAATATAACATGCTGCCAATACGCAGTCTTGAACAGTTTCACCCTTAATGGCTATTGCTAACTTAGCAATGATTTATTTTTAATATAATGTTATTAAGTTGCTGCTTGATCATCGTATCGACTGATCAATACTAAGCTCTATATTTTCGATAGGCTGTATATATTTATTCTATTGGTAGTGAGCTTAGGATTTAAATATTTCTTACTTAGCAAGGATAGAAAAACTGTACTTAATCTATGTAAGATATCGGATAAACAAGTGATCAAAATAGGATTTTCATCTAGCTCTTCCAATATGCGAGTAAAGTTCCAATTTACTGAATGAAAGGCTACTCTACTGATTATCCTAACTTTGACAACATAACTTGTTGTCAATACGCAGTGTGCAGCAGTTAATCGTTTAGTTCTCCATTGCTATTGCTAACTTAGCAAGACTCACTGATTCATGATCAATATTCTATCGTCAAGTTACTGCAAGATCATCGTATCGACTAACTTGATCAATGCTAACCCTCCGGTATTCTATATTACTGGCAGTGAGCTTGGATTTTGAGATTACTTAGAAAAGATAGGAAAAACTTATTATTAATCTACAGTATTTATGTACGCGTACACTAAGATATTGATAGTCATAATATAATATACATATAGCTCATTTCATGTAAGAACTTAGCAGTCAAAACCGAATCAACCTAGTCTATAGATTGATTAGAATTCAATACTGTTGCCTACACTTCTATTCGTTATAACGTCCTTCAGCAGTTGCTCGATTGTGTCACTGGTCTATTTTTTTCTAAACGAAGTAATATTCCATTGAATCCTATTTTATTGGATCAAGTTCTGCTTGAAAGCAGTTCTAGAACTTCGTTTATGTTTCTAATGAGTAGAAGTAATTTAAAAAGCAGACGTAGAAGATCCATACTGGAACTGGATAGTAGTCAAATTGAAGTTTTTCTACATTTTTCGCCCGCATTTGCAATAGAAAAGTCTATCCGTCTAGATGTTATTTCCAGGTTGATTGCAGTACTGCTGGTAGCCCATGTGTAGTCATTGATTTCGCTAGTGTTGCGATGCAGCGTGATGGAAGATCGCCATTGCCAAAAAGTCCAACCAGTTTCTAGTGTGCCTTGACACAGGCAATCCTGTATTGAGCCTTTACCGTGACGAGCAAAAACATTCAAGGATAAGCCTGCAGCCAACTTGTAAGTACAGTGCAGCAGTAGTCGACAGCCTTAATTCTAAACCTTTGACATATCGAATTGAGGTACATGAGTTTGCAACATAGCCTTTGCTAAATGCATTTACGTTCGTACAGTACTACCTATTCTACATCGCAATCTAACTTCAAATTGCTAGAAATGATATTAATCATGCACCTTAGAGAATTATACATTGACGAAGAGTATTGGACTAGCCACGGACTACTATTTAGTAGCCCATTGAGTAGTCCATGGAGTAGCATAGGAAAACTTTTTCAAGCAGATTGTTGCAACAAATAAAACGGTAAAACGAACATTTTTTTTAATCATTAAATTCCCAATATAGAATCTTCTTAAACGCTAACAAGAATCCTTGTCACTAATACCTTGCTATACGTACTAGTAGCAAAAATTGTTACGCCAATGCCTAGCATGAATCAGCACAACCTCAATAATAATTCATCATCATCACATCCAAACCAATCTATCATTGATCCAGTACAATTTTTTATGGAAAGAAGGTCTCGATTGCTGTCAAGATGGAAACAATTCACAAACAGAAAGCCACTATTTACCAGCTATTGATATGGCCGATAAAATTACCAAAATGAATTATAATCAACGTGATGAATTCAAATACGATATTTATCGTGATCTATCAGCTGTATATGGGAACCAAGATCAAATTACACAAAATAAACAATATTGTCAACTAGCTGAACATAGCATTAAAAGGATAAATGATAAAATTCGATTAGCTAAATGCTTAGCAAGCAAAGGATACAACAAAAAGTTAGAAGATTATGATGAAGCACTCAACGATTATAACGAGTCATTAAAGCAGTTAAAGGAACTATTGGGCAATGATAATGAAGACATTGCCCTAGTATATGATAACATAGCAAATGTTTACTATCGTCAAGGCAATCGTGATGAAGCTATAGCAACGTATGGAAAATCTTTACAAATTCGTGGTATTATTGAGGAAAATCTCACCAATGCAACCATTAAAGTTGCCAATACATTTCAACAGATAGCTGCGATCCGTTGTAGTGACGATCGGCATGAAGAAGCGATGATTATGCTTTAGAAATGTTTAGATATTAAATTAGCAAAATGGGCCATCATCATTTGCAGATTGCTGATTTATATGATGAATTTGCTGATAATTGTCACCATATACATCGATATGAAGATGGTATCACAATGTATAACAAGGCTTTCGAGATTCGATTAGATATACTAGGCGATCATCATATCCAATCGCTAGTACTATTAATAGTATTGGGCATTTATATAATCACCTCGGACGATATGATGAAGCGATCGAAATGCATCAGAAATTGCTTAATATTATATCACAAAGCTTGAAACTTGATGATGATGACTGGACAGCCATTAATTAATATCTATGAATATCTTGGAGAAAGCTATTACAAACTTGGAAAGCACGAAGATGCTAAGGCGATGTTCCGTAAAGTATTAATGATTAAAATGACAAGGCCAGTTACCAATCAATACTCGGTTTCTGTATCGCATCATCAAATTGGAGATGTTTACCGCTATCAATTAAAAGAGGAAGATAGTTCTTTCATGTATGCTGAAGCTCTCGCTATTAGATTAGATATTTTTGAAGATCTTCTTCCGTTTTATAATACCACTGCATATGAGAGCGCTGCAGAAAGTTATTCCTATTTAGGTCGCTAAGATGTTGCTATGAAGTTGTTTTACAAAGCGCTAGACTTGAGACTGGAATGATTAGGAAAGGAACATATTCTTCTCGGTTACTCCTATTATGATAAAGGAGAAACATATGATAAAATCTCTAGATACGATGATGCTCTATCTATGTTACAAAAGTCATTAACTGTTAGGTTAAAAAGTTAGGCGAGACACATTTACAAATTGTGCTAGCCTACGAGTTTATAGGTACAATATATAAAGTACAATGTAACTACGATGATGCCTTTAAAATGTATCAGAAATACCTAGATATTTGATTACAATTATTACCTGATAACAAGCATCTAAAAATAGCTAGTGTATACGACGATATTGGAACTATCTATTGCAAACAATCAAAGTATAATAATGCCTTAATGATGCATGATACATGTCTTAATATTAGATCAGAAAAATTAGAATCACATCATTTAGAAATTGCTGTAGTCTATGAACATATTGCCGACGTCTATGCATCATTACTCATGTGAATTATCAGTTTTGAATAGTATTGTTGGCATACTACTATCATATCAACCGAATTGGCTCTTATCGATATACATATAAAGTTCATTCTGCCAGGTTGGTTATTTTGAAAAGTTTTTGGTTAATAGTGATATAGTAAGATCTTGCTTACTTCACTTCACTTCACTTGGATTTGATCAATTTGCTAGAATTACTATTATTTTCTATAGTACCAAGTACTTGTAACTAGAGTGTTATTTAATTATTTAATACTGGAGGAATGTTAAAATTTACGCGGCTCTACAGATATATACTTAATCCTATAAATAGTTATCATCAAGACCAGATGCATCGCACATTTTGTTTATTGATGTGCTAAAAAAGTGTTGTATGATTTTAATAACCAGACATTGACGATGAGAAGAGCGATGCGGAGAAAATTGAAAAGGAAGGAAAGATGAAAATTTATTATAATTTTATTATTTACCCACATGCTTAAATGATATCTTATGTACTGGAGCATAGTTAGATATGCCAATGCAGGTTCTTAAGAGCATAAGTAAGTTCTTGCAAGTATAAATCTTATTACTTGGAGCCCCAGTTTTTGGTTAAATCAGCTCAAGCTACAATTTAGGAATACTCTTACAGGATTATGAGAAGCGTATAAGCTAGCTAATGCTATATTTTCTGATGACACTTTCAAGTCAAGGCATTACGCTATTACTTTATATATTCTATTTCTAATGATACATTATAATCTTATATTATATTATTATTGATTGGACCATAGACCTTAAAAAACAACAAGACTATATCGATCAATCCTTGGCCAGCCGAAGATCAAATACATTAAAACTAATTAAGTCTTACACTAGAATATTAATCTTGGATTGAATGTGCTGTTATATAGTTTAAAGTAACTAAGAATAGTCAACCTTGCACTTTCTTTAACCCACGGATATCATGAGTTTCAAAGTAAAGATAATATATACTTAATTAAGGATAATAACATGTTCTTAGTACTGTTTAACTTGCATCTTAACAATCCAATCTCTGAAGTGCTTAAAGTTATGTGATACATAAGAGACTTTTAATTTAGTTTGGATTTATATCAAGTACTGGCATGGCTATGAGACGATCATCTTTCTTCGAATTAGCTTATGAGTAAGTCGTAATCAAGTTAATCGATATTATTATATTTTGATTTGGGTCAATATTCAATTTTTAAGCTCTATTTTAATGCCAGCCAGTTACGAACAGCGATTTGATTCATAATTGTAGTAGAATTAAGCCAGTATAGGAAAACACTTGCGATTGGCTCCATTTTAGCGCAGTATAATCATGCTATTCTATCATCAATTGCATCCCATGAATGATCAGGATTTTCTTATGTGGCGAGTTTTATTTATTACAGTATCTGATATTGCAAAATATCATTCTCAAACATCGTTTTAATATCATTGTGACGAACAAAGTTGATTCACTCTATAGAATAAAATGACATTTTGCTACCACCTACATTTGGCAAGGATTGTATCGAAATGAAATTGACATTTTCCGTTAGTTAATGCGGCATTAATATGAGGTATTAAAACAGAGGAATGCTAATTACAAATGTTAAATTACGAGTATAGCTAGTTTTCTGTAATGTACAGGTAAAAAAATTATGAATAAAACTCAATAATAAGTTTCGAGCCGCTTTTTTAGTGACATTTACTTCCGTATAAAATATTGTATAAAAATAGGGAGAATATCAAGTGGATGAAAGTCCTCCATGTGTATTTTGCTGTTAATGTAGTTACTGATACTAATGCAAGTAGAAATGTTGAATTTCTCCTTAAAGATTGTTCTTGAAACTAGACTTTAGATTATAAGATTGTTTTTTCTAGAAGCTTTTCATCAATCGTATTCGGCTAGAGTAGAGCTGTGTGTAGCTAGTCTTTTTATTAGATCTAATAAAGTTCTAATTTTCTCCAACTTTGGAATTTTCGTGATCGGATTTGAATTACATATCTATTTTTACTTGCAGCATCAATTGTGACTCAGCACCTTACTGCATATAGTTTGAATCCTAACATAGAATCTTTAATTACAGTCTATGGTTATGAGCTACTAAATAAGGCTTATAATAACTATAGAAAGCTGTTATACCGTATATCATACTAAAATATGGCCAACAGTAATAGTCTACTATCCAAGACTAAGTTACCCATTACAAACAGCAATAACTTTACGCGTCTGGCAGTTTCTTATGGTGATGACATTTACTGTTCATTGTTATTCCACACGATAGTATGGTGAATAAGTTTGCATAAATTAGAAGAGATCTACTGATATTAAAAGTACAAGCTGTATCCAGTTAATGGGCGTATATGAGTATATATATATATAGATATACATATAGAATTTAATATTAAATAGAGTAACATATTTACAATAAGAAATAGCTACTTTGTATCATTTAGTTCTATGACGTCAGGATAATCCAAAATAGATCCATGAGAATCTATACAAAAGTTTGCCCAACCGCATGGGATGAGAAATATCTTCGATTTTAGAAGAAGGTTTGAAGCAAGTTTGCAACAATCTTAACGGCTGTATCGATGATATTGGCTTGGCTTGGAAATTTTGCAGGCTTTTATTAGATATCGTCCGTCAAAAAGAATTTCTCTCCTTGACTACAACTACCTAAAGATATTTTGATATTCAAATTAGCTTAAAATACGTAGCTATAACAACAAGGATGGGTTTAAACTGGTGCCGAATGAGAGGAATTGAATCTTTAACTAAAAAGGCTCAACTAAATTATCAATGCGGTTATTTTGAAGGAGCTGGATGGCACTATAACCAAGCACTAGAGGTTTTAAAAACTATTAAAAATCGTGGTGCAAAAGGTAATCGGCTTGAAAGCGACCTTTGTCTACGTATTTCCATTAATTTTCTAGAGCAGCGTGATTTGACGAAAGCTGAAGAATATTGTAATCAAGCAGAAGAAGCAGCCAGACTTATAGGTGATCAAGTGCAATTAGCAAAGTGTTTAGATAATCAAGGCGCTATTAAGATAGCAAAAAAGATGTATGATGAAGCATTAGTTGATTACAAGAGATCATTAGAGTTAAAATTAGAGAAAATCAGCGAAATTAGCCCTGATATTGCTGACAGTTACAGCGGCTTGGGAGAAATCTATTTGAATTTATCCAAATTCGACACGAGTCTGTCCATGTTTCAGAAAGCATTAGCGATTAGGCAACAAGTTTATGGGGAAGGTCATTTTGATGTAGCGAATTCGTATTACAACGTAGGATCAGCTTATTTTCAGAAATCCGATTTTGAAGACGCCCTTACTATGCATGAGAGTGCACTAGATATTCGATTAAAATTACATGGTAATGATAGTCTGTATGTTGCTCGTTCTTATAACAGCATTGGAAATGTTTATCATATGACATTAGATTATGAGGATGCATTGTCGATGTATAGAAAATCTTTGGATATCAAGTTAAATATTGTAGGAGAACATAGTTTAGAAGCGGCTCAAGCCTATAGCGATTTGGGGCTTTTACTTCTAGATATGTCGCAATTCCCAAAGGCTGTTATTATGCTACAGAAAACTTTAGATATACAACTACAATTACTGGGAGATCACAATATCCAAGTTGCTGATACATATAGTAATCTTGGTAACCTTTACTCCTGTCAAACTCAATATGAAACAGCGCTAATTATGCATCAAAAAGCTCTTGGTATCAAATTAGAAGTATTGGGAAATCGTCATTTAGAGCTTGTTAGTTCGTATAATAATATTGGCATCGTTTATCAGAATCAATCTAAATATGGCGATGCTCTAAAAATGTATCAAAAATCACTTGAAATTCAGCTAGATCTGGATGGAGGTGAAAGTATTACTGTCGCTAGTCTATATAATAATATTGCAGTGATCTATCAATCTCAATCCAAATATGCAGAAGCACTTTCTATAAGTCAAAAAGCTTTAAAGATTCAACTGGATAAGTTAGGAAACCAAAACATCGACGTAGCTAATTCATATAACAATATCGGGCTGATTTATAATCATCAAGATAAATACGATGATGCCTTAGAGATGCATAATAAATCATTACACATCCGATTGAAGGTCTTAGATGATGAAAGTCATGATGTTGCCAATTCTTATAGTAATATCGGTGATGTCTATGTCAATCAACTAAAATATGAAGATGCTCTTTGTATGTATGAGAAATCATCAAATATACGGTTAAAGTTATTAGGAGGTAATCATGAAGATGTCGCAAAGTCTTATATTAGTATTGCCAATATTTATACTGAGCATTGCAAACACGAAGAAGCATTGCTGCTCTACCTTAAAGCTCTGGATATACAAACGGATAGACTTGGATATAATCATTTAGATATTGCTATAACTTATAACAAGATTGGCCATACATATTGCTATCAATCGAGCTTCGATAAGGCTTACGATATGTTCCATAAAGCGTTGAAAATAAGACTGCTTTTACTTGGAGATGGTCATATTGACGTAGCAAACTCTTATAATAATCTTGGTCTAGTTTACTCTAACATGTCTAAATTAGACAATGCTGTAGTCACGCTAAAGAAAGCTCTTGATATTCAACTGAAAGTCCTAGGAGAGCATGATTTAGATGTCTCTGCGACCTTTAATAATATAGCAAATGCTTACGCTCGTCAGGCCAAGTATGGACAAGCTCTATCAATGTATCAGCAATCCTTAAATATTCAATTAGATATATTAGGTGATAATAATATTAAAGTTGCAACATCCTATAATAATATTGGAAACGTATATAAGCTACAAGGAAAAACTGATACTGCTCTAGAATTCTATCAGAAATCATTACATATCAAGTTAGAAGTTTTGGATAGTAATCATGTCGACCTTGCTACTTCCTATTTCAATATTGGATTGATTTATTCTGGTCAGGATACACCAAATTATAACGAGGCTCTCCTCGTGTTTCAGAAAGCACTAGATATTTTTATTCCTGCATTTGGAGATAGCCATCCAACTCTTGCCACTATTTATGATAATATGGCAAAGATATACCGTGACCAAAATGACTTTCAAAATGTAGAAAGATTAAATCGACAATCAAAGTCTATTCGCGCTACACGAAAGTAGTGATGAAACGATGGCCCTCGCTATAAGCTAAAAAACTCACTGGCTTAAAGCTAGAAGCCGTTATATTAATTACTATTTTCGATATCAAAATACAAAGCTGTATCCAATAGCTCGTCAACTTGAATAATCATCATTTACATTTATAAGCTAAAATTGCTGCCAAAATTTCTATCAACTTTAACATACAAATATACCATATGATTGTATAGTTTATCTTGCAAGATTTTCGTTGCTATAACTTGTGGATATTATTCTTTTGTAGCAAAATATAAGACGTAATGCAAAAGGCTTAATCATGTATCGACGACTAACTTGCTAAACTAGTAATAACATTCTAGTGCTCATTTTGTTAACAAGAAGAACTTATGGCTTATACAATGTTAGAGCTAATCAATTGAGATCGAACAAAGCAAATAATTAGACAGATATTACCTCATAAACATTCTGTAATATAAGGAACACTGTACATGATAATGGCGTTTACGTAATTTTGATTTGCGTAGGTTAGTAATTTTAGTATAGAGTTTTTATTTCTACACAGGACGAATTCCATGATCTGTAGTGTTAGCTAAAGTAACTAAATAAAAGTAGTATTAGATTTTTTAATTCATGCTTTATATATTTTCGATCTAATACATTCTGAAAATCTTTAAATACAAAGAAATTCTAATTTGTAGTAGTTTCGAAGTTAGTCTATGATTTCATCCCTATACTAAAGATGCAATAAATATGTTTCTCTGAAGTTAGAATTGCTTAGCTACCGTAGTTTATATCTTCAGTGGTAATCTCTACTTTATATATAAAAAATGATAAGGGTATGATAATAATTTCTCCGAATTTAATCTAGAATAGCTGAAAAGTGATCGTAAATAGTGAACACGAGAGTTTCTAAGCTACCACAGTGCATAAGTCCAGTAAAGATCTTTAGTTTAGATATAAAATATCCTAAAAGATATGGTAATAATTCTTCTCAAATTTAGTCTATAATAGTAAAGAAATGATCCTGAATTGTGGCAATGGGAATTTCTAAGCTATAGGAGTGTATAAGTCCTGGTATGATCACTGCAATTGTATTTAAAATATACTGAAAGATACGATAATATTTCCTCCGAATTGAGTCTAGAGTAACTGGCATGTGATGGTAGATAGTGACCGCGAATATTTTCAAAGAGTATAAGTGCAGTCACAATCTTTACTTTATGTATAAAAAGTATTCAGAAAAGATACGATAATATTTTCTCCAAATTTTTATCTAGGATAGTTAAAAATGATCGTGGAGACCATTAGTTCCAAAAAATTACTAAATGCGATGATCCAAATTTTCTACAAGAGTGCCGAAGGTATGAACTATTACGAATAGTATCTATGTTTATGAGCAGGCATAATCTTAGGTCATCTTAAAATAGTATAATTCAATCTGAGCGAGAAGAACATTAATATCACAAATATTCTATATTAGAATAAATCTAGCTTTCCTTTAATTGAGTAGTAAAACCATTTCAGCAATTTTGATAGCATTCAAGACTACCGTGTACCCTGTAGCAATAGTAAATATAAATCATACGATGGTAGATAGAATGGCATTATTGTCTTGGAATGCTCTTTGAAAATCGGAAATGGCTTTATTTTAATGATATATAAAACCACGTCTGAAATTTTTATAACAAACAATACTATAATAAGCGATCTATAGCTTGAATGAAACATCAATCGATTAATATAATGCCGTTATTATTTTGTGATGTGATTAAAAATAGTACGGTGAATAATCTTGCGTAAATTAGATAGCTTTTATTGACTAAAGACGTCCGTAGACCATGAATATATACGACGACTGACATAAAATCCTCAAATAAACAATGTAAATAGAGTTTGAGATACAATAAGAAATAAACGCATCGTCCGATTTAATTAAATGGTGCCAGGACAATCCAGGATACGCTTCCCACCTCCATGTAATAAAACAAGATATCCGACCGCGTGAAATATTGACATCATTAGCTTAACAAGGGCTAAAATCTTAACGTCTTTGCGTCTATTCTCGTAAGATTGGCTCAGAACCTTACCAGCTTTTAGAACATATTGATAGTAAGCCGCTATCATTGATAGAAGAGGTCAATTTTTTCTATCAAGTAGCAGCATAAGAAATTCTGACATCATATTTGACTTCTATAACAACATCAGTAACAAAGATGGGAATATATTGGAGTAGAATGAGCAGAATAAAATCTTTATCCAAAACTGCTTTGATAAAATTATCAATCTGGATATTATTGCGTAGCTGAAATGCACTATATGAAGGCTTTAGATGTTTTAAAAACCTTTAAAAATCGTGACGAAAAGCATAATTATCTCAAAAGTGATTTGTGCTTGCATATTGCGGCTAGTCTTGTAGGACAGCGTGAATTTAGCAAGGCTCAAGAGTATTGCAATCGAGCGGAAGAAGCGGCTAAACTTATAGATGATCAAGAACATGATCTTGAGGTCTCTGCCACCTGTCACAATATAGCAAATGCTTATGTTCGTCAAGCCAAGTATGGAGAAGCTTTATCTATATATCAATCATGGCTAGCCATTCAAATGGATAAATTAGCTGACAATAACATTACACTTGCAACATCCTACAACAATATTGGAAATGTGTATAGGCTACAAGGAAAAATTGCTGATGCTTAAGAATTTTATCAAAAGGCTTTAGATATCAAATTACAAGTCTTGGGTAGCAATCATACCGATCTTGCTACTTCCTATTTCAATATTGGATTAATTTATTCTCAGTAGAATATTTCTAATCATAGCGAAGCTCTTGTAATGTTCCATAAAGCAGTAGATATTTACATTCTAGCATTTGGAGACAATCATCCAGATCTCGCCACTATTTATGATAATATGGCGAAGATATACCGCGATAAAAATAACATTGAGGAAGCTGAAAGATTGGATTAGCTATCTACCGCTATTTGGGATAACCACGATCAGTATTTTTATGATGCTCTTCATCATTGACTAAAAGGTTTCAGATATGCGAGACAATAGCTCGAAGTCGCTGTAGTTAATGATGTATCTAAAATATTAAATCTTTATTGCATTCAATAGCTCATTAATTCGAGTAATTATTATTTATACTTATGTACTAACGATTATATTCGAATATTTTTAACAACTTTTATAGGACAGAAAGTAAGTGTATCGTTTGTTTTTAAAGCTCGTGAATTTATCAGTTGATAATGTTAATTAAGCAGCATTTTGATGACGGAGCAGAAAAACTGAAATATATATAAATGTAATAACATTGAAATTCTCAGTTTAGCTAATTAGAAAAATCTTACTCTTCATACAAGATTTTAAGTGAAATTTGTAAGTTTTAGCTCAAATTTATATCCAATAGCTGGGAAGAAATATACTACGAAAAATCATTCTATTATATTTAATATTAACGAAAAGATGATATTGCAGTAATTTTGATATCGAAAGCTAGCGGTATCTGTATTATATATGGTTTAAATTTCCAGGAAGGAAAAAATGAATAATATTCGTTACAGTACTACTAATTTCAAGTAGTACTGGATTTTTGGGAGTCTATGTTAAGACTTTCTGACCTTTATTTTCCGTAAATGGAAGTATAAATGTTTTTAAATAAAAAGAGTGCCTAATTTTTATTTTACAAGAAGTGCATTTTATGAATTCGGCTATATTTTGAGGATATTTGGAAAAGTAGTGCTTGTTCCGAATTTAGCGATCGCTTATTTACTATGAGTATTCAAGAAGCTCTTAACGTCTGTGTTGTTATAGAAATTTTGAAAAACGAAGATTCTTCTGATTTAAAATGTCTTTAATTTGTTGTTGACTGTCATTTACGTAAAATTTCTATATTTTTATGAAAGTATTCTGAAACTTCCGCATTTAAAGCTTAAAATTTTACTCTACACTTGAATTTTATTTATATTTTCTAGTTTATAACAAATATGATCGGAAATGTAATGGTTGTTCAATATTTAGAAGTTTCTAGTTTGCTTCAGATTTGAAAATTTTCCTGCTTTATAATGAAATATTAAGAGTTATCACCAACTGGATTTTAATGCAAACGGCGTAACGAATAGCAAATATTTAAGATTTCAGCCACGTCAACAAGTAATAGTATACTGGGTATTCTTGCATATACAGATAAGAATTCTAATGATATATATGTTATTATTACTAATGCTTCCCTAGAGAGATATGATAATGGTCACGTTTATGTTGCCCTAGCCGAAAAGTAGTTTATTACTACTTCATCATATTCTTTAAATTGTGGTTTCATTTGCTGCTTCTTCCATACATACGTGTATTAGGCATTTAAAATCACTAGCAATCTGATCACAATTAGATCTTCAAAATTACCTATTTCATCCATCTTGAATGATTTAGCATACAAAATTTAAATTATTTAATTTTATTTATAGTCATATTCTAAAGTCCTTTAAGAATTTGCTTTTGCTGGCTAATACCGCTGGCAAATTTTGTTTGTTTATGTTGTAGTGAGAAGATGATAGTAACGAAGCGGTTCTGGATAATAAGTAGTCCAAGAGTTTATTTTCTACGTACAAATAAACTAAAAAACTGATTTATATTCAGCTCAGAATTTTTCTACCTGTTTATCAGTAGATTGCATGTTTAAGTTAGGCATACTTATTTTGCACCTTTTGATTGGTTAGGTTATAGCTATGATTCATTTATGTAAATTATTTAATAAAATTACACCATATTTCTCAAAGTAATCAAAATATCCTCACCAGACAGTCTATCAAATTCTATTACAGACAAAGTCTTACACATACATAAAAGTAAAATTTGCATTTCTTGTGTTTAAGCGAATGTATTTATAGGCTTCTATAGTTTCATTAGATCCAGTGCTTTCGTTACTGGCGTTTCGACATAACTTTAAAGAGAATTAAGCAACTTATTTCTGTTTCCTCGTTTCTTCTTCAATCAATCAATGATCGTAGAAAGGCTTTGCTTGATCAGTGCTTATATTCTGTTAACAGATCACATCGAATATCATCGAAAGGTACTGTAGACAACTTATAACTACGGGTAATATTTAAGTTACAATGGTCTAGCTGGTATTGATTTCTATTCGATATTTTTCTTTTTACATCATTCACGAATTATCGAATATAATCATTTCATTATACATCATATTTAGCTGTACTTATCAACTCTACTATCTTCTTAAATCAATTGCAATTACCTCAAAATAATCGCTAACTGCCATATTACTATTGGCGTAGAGTTATACAAATGCATGTTAAGAAAACTGCAATTATTTTGCTAGCAAAATGAGTTGAGCTACCTTTAGATAGGTTAGATTGATTTAGTTGGAATAGATACTATACAGCTGTTATTGGTACTTTGATTAGAAAAGTTTTAAAATAATTTTTAGATTATGTCAATACTGGATTTTTAAATCATTGTGTTATAGTAGAAAGCATACGTAGGATTGTAACAGATCTGAAATGATCTAGGCAAGGTTCGTCTAAATGGAATCATTTGAGTTACGTTGGTTAACCATACACATCGATACACGATATTTCCTATTAGCCATTCTGTATTTTAGAATCAAATCGGCTGCTCAGCAGTGTTTTGCAATTTATTGCAACACGTCTCAAAATCAATCCGAAATCCGAAATTCGAAATTGGTCCATATCTGTGAATTCGACTCCGATCCTAAGTCACGGCATTCGTCAATCCAATTCCGATCTAATACGAAAACAGCAAAGGATCTGAATGCACCTACATGGCTTAATCCGAAATTTTCCGTAAGATTACATCGGATTGCAGTCGGATTTCGTATACAATTGCAAAACACTGCTGCTCAGTTATGCAGAATTACTATCTCTCAGCGACTATCTGTATCTTTTTGAGCAAGAATTTGTCTCGATGAAACTATCAGCCTCAGTACAACTTGAACAGTGATAGCTAGTATGCTGCATAGCTATATTCGAAACAATCTACTTGTTCTAGCATAGTATCCAATATCCTAATATCACGCTAATGAGCCATTCGAGTGCTAGGAAGATTTATATCAGCATGAATAAATCATTAAAGAAATAAAGTACTTATCTTAGGTGTTAGATAGTAAATGCTAAATGGGCTGAAGCAACTACAATCGAGGACGAGTTCATTTCTGACAACCAAAGTAAATTTAAAATAACTTAATTTTAAAATAGTATTAATGATCGAACTTATTGAGTGCTACATTGTAACTTTAGTAAGATAAACTAACTATTTAACTAGCACTTAACCAACTGAATTGATTTAAAAACAACTTTCTTAATTAACACCAATTTTGTATATTAAAGTCCAGAAAGTCGGATCGGAACTTCCTTACGTGTACAAGAAACAAGATTAAAGTCTTCACTAAATTCATTTATTACCGCTAGTAGGTTGTGAGTAATTAAAAAATAAATATGATGAACAAACGACAAAATGAAATTTTTCAACTACAATCTCAGCAAAGTGCTGGCGAATATGATTTACAGGAAAAGCACTATCAGAAAGCTTTATGCCATTTCTTGCAAGCACTAGATCTCTCTGATAATGTGATCCCGGATGATACGGAAAGATTTCAGATACAATGCGACCTTTATCTTAATATTGCTACTACTCATCGAGAGCAAAATCAATTTATGCCAGCTAGAGAATTTATCCAAGAAGCAATCGTTCTAGCCGAAAAAGTTCAAGATAAACTACGATTCGCACGATGTTTGGATCATCGAGGTCAGATCAAGACAGCTCAAGGGCTTCACTTTGAGGGCTTAGACGATGTCCATCAATCATTAGTTGTAAAAAGGCAACTATTAGGAGAAGCAAATGATTGTGTCGCCGTATCTTACCAAATCATAGGATCCATCTATTTTATCCAGCACAAGTATGAAGAAGCTTTAGCCATGTTTCAAAAATCGTTAGATATAAGACTTAATTTGTCTGGAGATTATCTCATTAAATTAGCACATTTGTACTACAATATTGGGGATACCTATTTTCAATTAACGAACTATACAGATGCTAAGATAGTTTACTATAAATGCCTTAACATCAGACTGCAAGTGTTAAAACCAAATCATTTCGATATATCCAAAATATATAATAAGATTGGAAGCGTTCATATCGAAGAAGGAAATTATAATGATGCCATATTGATGTTACAAAAATCTCGTAATTGCTTATCATCGCAACAGCTTCAAAGTCCCGATACGGATATTGCAACTCTGAATCATAATATTGCAACAGTCCATCATTATCAATATAAATACGAAAATGCATTAATACTATTTCGAAAAGCGCTAAACACTAGAATAAAAATATTAGGAAGGAATCACTTGGATGTAGCAGAAACATATTACAACATTGCCCATGTTTACTTTGATCAATGCAAGTATGAGAGAGCCTTACATATATATGAGAAAGCATTTCATATTCAATTCGAAAAATTAGGTATCATTAATTCTATTGTAGCTCAAACTTATTATAAGATTGGAGAAGTCCAGTATCATTTGGGAAGATATAAAGATGCTCTTATAGCATATCAAGAGTCGCTCGATATCCAATTAGCAACGGTAGGAAATCATCATCTTGATATTGCTATACTTTACAATGATATTGGAATTGTCTACGAGTTACAATGTCAATATGATAAAGCTCTAGACATGCATCAGAAAGCTTTAGACATACAATTGGATATTGTAGGAGAAAATTATCTACAGGTAGCTTATTCCTATAACAATATAGGAAATATTTATGCAGGTCAATCGAAAGATCGGGATGCATTAATAATGTACGAGAAATCATTAAAGATTAAATCGCAATTATTGGGAAAGAATAATTTAGAAACTGCATGTACGTATAGTAATATCGGACTGGTGTATGCTCATCAAGGTGAATTTATGCGTGCAATCGACATGTATCAAAAAGCTATAGACATCAAATTAGAAATATTAGGAAGTCATCATGCAGATATCGCTACTTTGTATAATAATCTTGGACTTGCTTATTCCAATCAAGCCGACTACGATGAAGCTCTATCGATGCATAGAAAGGCGTTATTTATACGATTAGATCTATTAGATGGCCAAGATTTAAAAGTAGCACAGTCCACTCATAACATTGCAAATATATATTACTGTCAAGGCCGATATGATGATGCGTTAATCACATATCAAAACGTCCTCGATATTCAATTAAACATGTTAGGAAGCTGCCATTTAGATGTAGCTAAATCTTATAACAACATTGCTAATGTCTACTCTGATCAACTCAATTATGAAGATGCTTTAACTATGTATCAAAATTGCCTGAATATCCGATTGAAATTATTAGGAGATAATCATTACGATGTAGCTACTGTCTATTATAATGCTGGAACGATGTACTTTGATCTTCAACAGTATGACGATGCTACAGTAATGTATCGACGTGCTTTGACTATTTTACAACAATTAGAAGTAAATAATGATATATTTAAGGCTACTATATACGATAGGATTGCTTTAGTCTATAATAAGCAGCGACAATTTACAGACGCAGTAGCGATGAGTCGACAAGCTTCAAATCTTCTTTCCATAATTCAGCAATACGATTCAAGTGATGACGAAACTATAGACAATCAAAGGGAAAGGAAATCGAAATCGTTAAGTTAGTAGATGAGTAACTTTGTTTTCTTTCAAGTGATGAAAGATAATGTATTACTACATGCACAGTGCGAGTATTATGCGGTGTTCAATGTTGATAATCGAGTTACTGAACATTTCTTTATTTTTAATTTAATAAGATAATATTGGATAGACTACAAATAACTTTGCCTTGTATCTAGTGATAAAGATAGTCTATTGTGAGTTGCATATTGTAGTATGAGTATTATACAGTGTCTAATGCTGATAATAATTATTAAGTCACGAAACGTTTTTATATCTTTATTTTTACTATAAAATATGGAATAGATGATATAGCGATACTATCGGATGAAGTTTGCCAAAGCTTATTAGTTTCCTTAACCAATGGAGTAGAACCTGATCAAATTAGTAAGGAATGACTAGCCTATTTTTTATTTTTAATGAGGAAACTAGGTTTTCAACTTGCTTTTCATCAATTTTTTGTCTTCTTTATTCCTTCATTATACTATTAGATCAGATTGATGCAAATTCAGATGAAGAATATGATGGTTTGATTATGAAAGCAGCCAACGAGGGTACAGTTAATCAGACAAGTGATGATTGATTGTTTTATTTTCACGATGAATACTACCTGCTTTGATTTGGTTCATAACTCTTAATGTAATTGTTACGGTGTCGTCTTGTCATTAGGATAGCTTAATAAGTACAGTAGTAGCTAATATGGAGAATATCCATATTTGTAGTGCTAGGTAAGATAAGTAATGCCTTAACGTGGATGTTGTTTGTAATAATTCATTACATATTTGATATTGATTGTTATTGTGTGATAGATAGCAGTAGGATGATTCAAGTTCTAGTTGATGATAGTTGAATTAGACAACCTACGGGCTTAGATTAAGATTAAGTATGAGTAAGAGATTCAAAATATTTACTGAAAGAAAAGCTATGTAAGGAGCATCTTAGTTCGAGATGATTCTCGTAGTAAGGTATAATAATAATACTGTTGTTGTTTACAAATTAGACGGTTCCTATATAAACGGGAACATTTGAGTTGAGAGGGTGGTAAAAAGTTGTAGATGCATCTTTGCTAATAAAAGCTTCACCTTTACAGTCTTTTGCTGTGTGTGTTTAACGTCAAGTAAAAGGGCGTTTAAGTCAGTAGCTACTTATAGACTTTTACTGTACGTTACCTTGTCGCAGAAGTGAAATTGTGACAGTAATACAAGTACTAATTGGTCCATATCTTATTTTTCTTATTGACTTACAACACAATTTCGATAATAACTGATGAAAGCTTCAAAGGTATGATGCTTAATTGGAATTGCCAATGATGGGAAGGGCGTAGCAGCTAATAAAATGGGTAGAATTGATTGAACATGATAGGCATGAAGTCGGCGGGAATTGAATTGATCTACTTCGATTTTTGTCTTCTGGTATCTTAATTTTAACGCAAATACTAAATATGATTAATGCAACTTCTAACTTTATAAACATTATTCAATGTTTTATAGCATATATTTTACGACACCTTTCGAAGAGCAGTTATATGTACAGTATCAGATTATCAACTTATCAGTCCAAAGTATTGTAAATTAAGCTAGTAATTCATCAAGAATGAAGACGTTTTAAATCAATAATAATAAGCGTAAAGTAAATATAAATTATATTTTCCTACAATAAACCGTATACGGCTATAGAAATAAATTCTATACTGACTAAATATATCAATTAAATTGTAATCTTAAAATGTATAATTCTTAACAAATTACGGTACTTGATATTATTAATATCTAACCCCAATAAAGGTTATTTTGAAGCAACAGTACTTATTAACATACAAAATAACGAAGAAGAATTCTAAAAATTAGCCTTTATTAATATTAAAATAGCGTCTCAATATTTAACTTAGATAAGTAATTTTCAATCTCTTAGCATAGATTTATTACAAGTGCAAGTAACTCACAATCGTAGACTACTTAGATTATGATATTGAAAGAAACAATTAATTTTTTATTGTACAGTACGAATGTTCAGCTACTTGTACATCTTCCATATTTCTTTATGAAACAAAATAATAAATAAATTGTTAGTTAAGCTATTTACTTATTAAAAGTCTAAGTGAGGGCCTATTGCTGTTCATAAATATTTAAATATTAAAGAATAATGCTACTGAGTATGCATATGTCTATCATAAATTGGATATGCACGGATATGATATTAATCAATTACTTCATTAGACAGAATTTTGTGTAACGGAAACTATTTTATTCGAAATTCGGATAATGATATGTAAGGTCACGTTAAGAATAAATGTAAGAAATACCTTAATATAGACTGACATTATTATCTTTAGTAAGCACCTCGATACCGTAAAGAATTAACAATCGTAATTTATCATCTGATCTTATCAGCCTTTTTATGAAACAATTATAAAGTATTTCTTCACGAAAGAAATAGTATAGATAGGGGAAACATGATATTAAAGAAATTTATTATTATAGGATCAAGGATTGTCAGCAATTTTCATGCCTGTATAGTTCAATAGCGCCAAAAAAATTAATTAACGGAGATATTCTTAGCTAATGAGCAGAAGTGTGAGGGTTGGAATAATTTCCTTTATACTTTTAACAGTTTTGTATTTACTTCAATATATTCTAAGATATCACAACGTCATATTTAAGCAAAACCAAACATATTCGATATCTGTAAGTGTAGAGATTGTATTTAACAGATGAAATACCAATACCTCGTCAGTATTATCGCGAAAAAGAAGCAAATGGTAGGAATTCAAAATTACATCCTATACTTCAGTTTTAGGTCATCTAATAAAATAATTATCGAACACTTTTCTTGTGGATAAGTTATATAACTACTGCAGGCGATCATGGAAATATTACATAGCCTCACCAATAATCACTCGCTCATGTCGAATACGACAGCAACATCATGGATTACCACTTTATTTAATCGTTATTGGTATGCTGTTGGTAATCGTTATACTTCTATTCATGTTAGGATTTATCTTGAATCTTATAATTGTTGTTATGATGACCAAAATCGATAAGATAAAATTTTCTTCAGATATCCTTTTCCTGACCATGATAATTTGCGATGTATTTATTAGCATCGGAACTTGTGGGTACTGTATCATGATCTACGCAACTTATTCGATAAATTAGCTTGCTGCAGTTCTGACTCGTACATGTAAAGTAGTAAGCTTCTTGTTCTCTACATTAACTTCATTGCATCTTTTAACGCTAGTGTTGCTAATTTGCGATGTATTTATTAGCATCGGAACTTGTGGGTACTGTATCATGATCTACGCAACTTATTCGATAAATTAGCTTGCTGCAGTTCTGGCTCGCACATGTAAAGTAGTAAGCTTCTTGTTCTCTACATTAACTTCATTGCATCTTTTAACGTTAGTGTTGATGTCGATGGATAGATACAGACTAATTGTTCGTCCAACTAGGTCTAGTTTGAAAAGTAGGACAGTAGTTATCCGATTGGTTAGCATATGGATGTTATCATGGTGTAGTGATTTCAATGATGTTAATCTATGCTATTTCGATGATAGCTATATATATGTCTGTAACGTATCGTCCTAATATAGATATTGATAAAATATTGATAAACTATTAGCCACGAGTTTAAAGTTATCCGTTTCATCTTAGCCAGGGTCGATTTCTATTTTTTAACAGTATTAGATTGATACGTTTACTATAGGATGTAAGCTTTTGCAATATGATTTTGCATGGAAATGATTGCTTGTAAAAATAATCTAAGTCCGTTTATCCGGTTTATCTTAGCCGTTTTCGACCGATTATATGAGAGAAGAAAATTGAATTCAGTCTCATGGACAGACGGAATAATAAACGTAGTTTTTAAACTACTCTCTCGGTTGTGGCGGCTTATTGCATATCATAAGGATTTACTCAAATTAAATAACTCAGATTAAGAGTTAAAGGTCGCGAACCTATAGTAATAGTAAACGTCTATTACTCGGGCATTACACATGGTGTTATTAACAATTTTTCTATCAGATGTAATAGCAGATCCACTTTGTATCTATTTTGGGGAAGTAAATAGTCGACCTTATGTAGGACAACTTAATATTATGTCATTTTTGTGAATTGTTTACAGTTAGGAAGTATTATTATTTATTGCCACTTGAGAGCTATTAGAAAGCTATATCAAGTTAGCATAAGAGTGAGGGAACGTTTTGGTCACGTTCGTTCAGGAGGGGAAGATAAACAACGAGCTATCAAGATGTTAATATGTATTTCAATTTTATTTTTTTACGACAGGTCTACCGACAGTAATTGTCTTCGTGAACAGTATTTATGCAGAAATTAATGCAACAATCCTAAAAAGTTATGATAACGAACATCTGCCATTATAAATATTCTTACAAGCCTGCTTGTATATTTGGTTCCTTTACATAATCCAATTATTTATCTAACGAAGAAAAATATAATTCGTAAATGTTGCTATATTAGAATTAGACTTGCGCGTATAAATCAATTCAAGTGAATTTTTTCTATTTGATTTTCCTCTTCTATGATTTCAGTCTTGGAATAGCTTGGATTTATCCTCATCTTTACCTGATTTTCTTTACACTTTACTGTGTAATCTGACTATTGACTTAATCAATAAGATAGATACAGTGGAAATCTGTAGTAAGCAGAGCGCACTAGTGAATCACATGGATTACTTTGTGAAATTTGCCCAGGTTATCTGAAGCTCACTTGCTACTTCGAACCTTAACAAACGACTATTAAGCTTGAATACAAATTATTCGTCATTTTTTATTACTGTACCTTGATGTTATGGTATTGTAATAAATATATACTTAATTAGTGAATTTTCGTCTTTTTAGCGTAACACTAGTATCGTAGAGTTAAGGTAACTATGCATATTTAGAGTATGATCTATCATGGTCAATTGAATACATTAGTTAATTCTCTAATGTATACCGTTAACCAGTTAGTATCAACTCGTGCTAACAATTTATTTATACAGTAAAGCTATAGCTCTAATATAAATTTTTTCGGAATAGTCTTATTCTTTTACCTTTAGAAAGGTTTCTAATAACTGAGCTCTTTTAATATTGTGTGTAGTGTATTTAGAATATACTGTAACTATATTCTACTCTTAAATATAGACATGTTGTATTGCTCTTATATTTAGACAGATGTACAGTCCGCTTACTCTACATTCATATATAGCCTACTGTATTTAGTTATTATTACGGTACTCGCTGTTTTCTACAATCATCTACTATTTTGTAAACCTGTTATGGTATATGTTGTATCTAATTCCACAATCCTATTCTCTGCATGTGCTCTATCTTTAAAACTATAAATACCGGCGATTTCTACCTCAGAGTTCATTAGCCTCTCAGTTAGTCTTCTAGTTAGTCTCTCACAGTCTAATACTTCTACTCGTTACTCACAACAGCTTTCACTCTGATCTACCGTAACTACCTCACTGTACTTCACATTGCTAACCTACAATAAAGCATAACTTTTATAAACCCTTTGTTGTAATAATTGTAAATGGCGACTAAATCTCAATCCTCTGAGATATCGAACCCTCCATCAC